ACGCTGGGCGGCGGCTTCGGCTGGCTGTCGCGCAAGTACGGCCTGACCGCCGACAACCTGCTGGCGGTCGAACTGGTGACGGCGGAGGGGCAGCTGATCCGTGCTTCGGCGGAAGAGCACCCCGATCTGTTCTGGGCGCTGCGCGGCGGCGGCGGCAACTTCGGCGTGGCGGTCGGCTTCGAGTTCCGTCTCCATCCCGTGGGCCCGGAGGTGCTGTTCGGGCCGACCCTCTATCCGCTGGACCAGGCCGCTGCGGTGCTGCGCAACTTCCGCAACGTCGCCCCCGGCCTGCCACCGGAGGCCTGTGCCTGGGCCGACATGCTGACCGTGCCGCCGCTTCCCTTTCTCGACCCGCGCCATCACGGCACCCGGATGATCTCGGTGATGCAGTGCTATGCCGGCAAACCGGAGGACGGCGAAGCGGCGCTGGCACCGCTGCGCGGCTTTGGCGACCCGGTCGCCGATGCGGTCATGGCCCGGCCCTATACCGAGGCGCAGTCGATCTCGGACAGCTTCTTCGGCCACGGGCTGCGCAACTACTGGACCTCGGCCAACTACACGACCCTGAGCGACCGCAGCCTCGATGCCTTCGTCGAGCTTGCATCGAGAACGCCGACGCCACAGTCGGAGGTGATGATCCACCTCGTGGGCGGGGCGATCAACGATGTCGCGCCTGACGCCACCGCCTATCCTCACCGCGATGCGGTTTTCGTGCTCAGCCCCGGCGCGCGCTGGAGCGACCCGGGCGACGACGCAACCTGCCTGGCCTGGATCGCCGACTGCCGCAAGGCCCTGGCGGAGGAGTCGAACGGCGGCACTTACGTGAACTTCATCGCCGAGGGCGTCGGCCGCGAGCGGGAGGCCTATGGCCGCAACTACGCGCGCCTCGCCGCAGTGAAGCGCCGCTACGACCCGGACAATCTCTTCCGCATCAACCAGAACGTGGCGCCGTCATAACCGCGCCATGCAGGACGTCAGGCCGCGTCCCGCATCTTCCGGGCCGCCGCCGTCACCGCCTCGATCGTCGGATAGTTGGCCCGGTTCACCATCATGTCACGGGCGAGCCTGAGGCAACGGGTCTCGCAGGCAGCGCGGCGGTCCAGGTCTTCGATCCATTCCAGGTCGATGTTGTGAGCGAGGCCCAGGATGCGGCGGATCATCTTGGCGGCGGCGAAACCGACGCTGTCGGTGAAGAGGCGGTCCATGTAGGCCTCCTGTTCGGCCTTCAGCGCTTCGGCGCCGGCGGTATCGGCAAAGAGCGCGGCCGGGTAGGCATCCCCTGTCGCTCCGTTACGCCAGAGCGCCAGAAATTTGGCACGGAAGCCGGTCCAGACGCCCTCGGTCGCCGCCAGCACCCAGTCCTGATAGCTCTCGCGCGGGTCCTCCGGCGTCGCGTGGCCGTCCTGGCTGAAGTAGTTGATCAGCAGGTTGGCGATGACGGCGCCGATGTCGAAGCCCATGGGTCCGTAGAAGGCGAACTCCGGGTCGATCACCCGGGTGTCGTCTTCGGTCACCATGACGGAGCCGGTGTGCAGGTCGCCGTGGATCAGCGCCTGGGCCTCCGACAGGAACTTCAGCTTGAGGCGCGAGACCGCCACCTTCAGCGCCGCGTCCTCGCGGAACTCCCGGGCGATGCCGTCGAGCTGCGGCGTCGTCCAGCGGTTGTTCTCGGCGATCCTGTAGGGCTCGGTGAAGATCAGGTCCTCGGTGATCTTGCAGAGCGCGGTGTTGCCGCAGAATTCGGCCATGGCGGCCTTCTTCTCCTCCGCCGTGAGCGCGAGGTCCGAGGTGCCGAAGAGCGTGCCCGCCATGAAGGTGGTGATCGCCTCAACGAAGCCCGGATAGCGCACCGCTTTGATCATGCCCTGGCGCATGATGATGTGCGGCTGCAGCAGTTCCATGACGATGAGCGCCAGGGTCTGGTCGTAGTGCAGGATGTCGGGCACCAGGCCGGGCGCGTGCTGCGCTTCGGTGGCGAGCGCCATCTGCTCGAAGTGGGCGCGGCTGAGCGGCAGCGGCCAGGATTCGCCGACAAGGCGCACGTAGGGCAGGGCCTGTTTCACCGCGACGCCGCCGGCGGGTCCCTCGACGATGAAGACCAGGTTCAGGTTGCCGTCGCCGACCTCCCGCACCCGCCAATCGCCGGCCGCGCCGCCGAGGTGCGCCGCGACGGCCGAGACACCGGACAGGTAGGCCGCCAGGCTGGCTTCGCTCTTCGGCTCGTAGCCCTCCGGCACCGGCAAACCGCCGGCTGTCCGTTCCCCGTCCGTCGATTCCCTGGCCACCATGCAAGACCCTCCCTTTTTTGCCTGCTTCGATCTTTTTCGCCTCGGCCTTGGCCGGGCCGCAGGATAGCAGCGGGCGGCGCAGACGCCAGACGGACCCGTAAAGGCGTGTCCGGTCAATCGTTTAGCGGAAATGGATGATTCTGCAGTCGGGGTATCAGGAAGTGTTACTCCCTGTGGGAAAACTCACCGTACGCGCGATCAGCCTGAACCATAGTGTATGGGCAGCCGACCAATGCTGCATCGTCCCCCTCAGGGGCAAGCCGCACCACACGCCTTTCACCGCCAAGGCTAAAAAACTAGGAGAGCCCTGTGCCCAAGTTCTTTCGGGCCAGCCTGCTGGCCTTGGCGACATCCGCGGCCCTGAGTGCCCCGGCGTCCGCCGATATCAAACTCATCAAGGATGCCTCTTTCGGCGCTTCCGACAGCTATCTGAACAACCCCCCGGCGCTGGTCTTCGTGCCCAAGAACGGCAAATACGAGGTGCAGAAGTCGGGGAACTACCAGGTCAAGCTGCACCTCAAGGCGGAAAAGAAGTGGAATGGCCGGATCACCAAATGGGAAATCGTGGAGACGAGCGCCGGCGGTGGCACGATCGCCAGCAATGGCTTTCAGGACAGCTCTCTGAAGAAGCTCAATAAGACGGTCACCTTGAAGATCGACTGGAACAAGCTGAAGCACTTCGAGGCGAAGGGCCGCAAGGTCTGTGAGCAGCACGGCAAGCCGGACGAGAAAGTCATCAAGTCCATTAAAGGAGTACGCTTCGAGTTCTCCAGCTTTATCAAAGCCCAGAACAAGAACAGGACCGATACCTGGAAGGACTGGGATTACGTGCCGATCCGCGTCGTCTGCATGCCGGAGCCCTTCGCCGTGAAGGACGTGAAGCTGTCGGTGAAGTTCCACAGCTCGCCGTTCCAGTGCCCGGTGAAAGCCACCCTGAAGGCCGAGTTCGAGGGCAACAAGCCCGGCACCTTCAAGTTCCGGATCTTCCGCGATGACGCCGCCACCCAGGACCTCGTCACCCAGGACGTCACCCGGACCATCGGCAATGCCGGGAAAGTCAGCTACACCAAGCACTACACCTTCAAGAAGGCGGCGAAGCGCAAGTATCTGATCGCGGTGATCGGCCACCCGGTCGCCACCCAGTGGGTGCCTATGAACGTGAACTGCAACCCGAAGATCGACGGGTTCCAGGCCCCGACCAAGCCGCAGACCACCAACTACTGACGCTTAGGCCGTCTTAGAGGATGGAGCGGTGCTGCGCTGCGCCGCTCCGTCCCGGCCCCGCGCGAGACCGTTTTTACCCCCGCGTCTGAACCCCAACCCCAACCTTTTCGACAGACTAGTCACCGCCTCGTTAGGGGGCGCACCTCAATCCTTGCCTTTCCACCGCCGGGGCAGTTCCAACTAGGGAGATTTTTTCGTGTCCAGGTTACTGAAAACGACTTTATTGGCTCTGACCGCGGTGGCTCCCCTGGTGACCGGCGTCCTGAGCGGCCCGGCTCTTGCGGCGAGCGGCGGCATGAAGAACACATCATTCTCGGCCACACCTGTAGGCGATCTGCCGACCCTGGTTTTCCAGGAGAAGAATGGCAAGTACGTCTTGGGGAAGGGAGGGCCGAAGGCCACCATCAAGTTCCGTGTGAAAGCAGAGAAGAGGAGGAGCTTTCGGATTGTCGGGTATCGTATCGATAGTATGAATTCGGAAAGAAAGCGGATCACTCAGGTCCGGAACTTTTCCGTGAAGAAACTCGACAAAACGATCATGCACGAGATCAAGCCGGCCGAATTGCAGACCTTCACTGAGCTGGGCCGCAAGGTTTGTGAAGACGAGGGCGACCTGCAACAGGAGATCAGGAAGACCATCAAATCCGGCTCGACCTACATGCTTTCCCTAACAGCGCGCAGAAAGCAGATTGGCGGATATGGGTTCGATTACCGCTACGCCTATGCATCCGTTCCCGTCCGAATCATCTGCAAGCCCGAGCCCTTGAGGGTGATCGACGCCGACCTCACGGTGAAGTTCGACGGCTCGCCCTTCAGTTGCCCGGTGAAGGCGACGCTGACGGCGAAGTTCAAGACCAACAAGCCCGGCACCTTCAAGTTCAACCTTTACCGCGGCGATGGCGAAGTCCAGACGGTCACAAGAACCGCCGGCGCATCCAACACCGTGACTTTCACGAAGCGTTACACCATCAAGAAGCCCACCAACCGCAAGTATCTGGTCGCCACGATCCCGTCCGGCGCCGCGAGCGGCTGGGTGCCGATGAAGGTGCATTGCAACGGCAACGCCGGCGGCATCCAGGCGCCGAAGAACCCTCACTCCACCAACCACTAACCTGAAACCCTTTGCAAAGACGCCGGCGCCCCGGGAAACGGGGCGCCGGTTTTTTTGTATTGGTGTCTTCGCGCCGTGTCGCCGGCGAGGGGCTTGGCCGGCCTTGGTCCCTTGACTTCGGCATCGCTGCCGAAGAATGATATCCTCAGCGTCGCAAAGCGCTTCGCAAGGCACGGAACGCGAACAAAAAAGAAGGCACCGGGGAGGACAGAGGGCATGCAGGCTGGTGCAGCCTCGGCCGCGTGGGGGGTCGTTTCGGTCCGTTCTGCAATCGATTGTGCAGTGGAGAACTGCGCTGGGAAATGCACGGCGGGCTGCGCAGGAGACCCTGCGGTATCCGGACGTTTTGAAGCCTTTCTGACGCCGGTGCGCGCCTGATGGCGGAGACCACCGCGGCCGCGGAACTCCCCGGCGCGCAGCCTGAGACGGCGGGCCCGCTGGACCGCGGCGATCCCGCGACCTACCCGGAATGGTTCACGACGCGCAAGCCGCGCGCCAACCTGATCGTCGCGCGCTGGGTGCCCATCGCCCTGGTCGGCCTGCCGGTGCTGGTGCTGTTCTGCATCGTGGTCTATCCGACGGTCTGGATGTTCTACCATGCGCTGCATGACACCAACATGATGCGACTGTTCCAGGGCAACTGGAACTATATCGGCTTCGAGAACTTCGCCACGGTGCTGAACTCCGACCGCTTCGGCGATTCGGTGGTGCATCTGGGCATCTACCTCACCTTCGGCGCCTGTCTGCAGGTGATCCTCGGCACAATCCTGGCCCTCATCCTCTATGAACTGGTGAAGAGCAACGCCCTTCGGGTCGTCCTGCTGATCGCCATGGTGCTGCCGATGATGCTGCCGCCCTCGATCGTCGGCGTGCTGTGGAAGTTCCTGCTCACCCCCTCCAACGGCGCCATCAACCAGGCGCTCCTGAACCTGGGGCTCATCGACCAGCATATCGAGTGGTTCAACGCCGGGCTCTCGCTCTGGACCATCATCATCGCAGACGTCTGGAACTGGACGGCGCTGCCGCTGCTGATCGTCTACTCGGGCCGTGTCTCCCTGCCGCCGGCGGTCTATGAGGCGGCGCGGGTCGACGGGGCGGGCGCCTGGACCACGCTCAGGCGCATCACCCTGCCGATGCTGAAGGAGGTGATTGCCATCGCCTTCATCGTGCGCTTCATGGATGCCTTCAAGTTCGTCGACCTGGTTTTCATCATGACTTCCGGCGGGCCGGCCCAGTCTTCCGAATTGCCGGCCTACATCGCCTTCCAGCGCGGCATCCGCGAGTTCGCCATCGGCGAGGCGGCGGCCTACGCCATCGTCATCTTCATCGTCTCCGCCGTGCTCATCACCCTCTTCCTGAAGTATCTGAAGAAGGTGCTGAAGGCGCAGGGATTTGCGTGAGGGCGGCATGAGCAAATCCAACTACCGCCTCGTCAAGCTGCTGTTCCTGTCCTTCATGGGCCTGTGGCTGCTGATCACGCTGTTCCCCTTCTACTGGCAGGTCATCACCGCCTTCAAGTCGGCGGCGGAGACCAACCGCACCATCCCGACCTTCTGGCCGGAGGTCTGGCATCCGCAGAACTTCGTCTCGGTTTTCGCCGAGGCCTCCAACTTCAACGCCCTGGTCGACAGCTTCATCATCGCCACCGGCAACACCCTGGCCTCGCTCTTCCTGGGCACCCTGGCGGGCTATGCCTTCGCCCGTTTTCCGCGCCAGGCCGGTGGCGAGAACCTGGCCTTCTGGGTGCTCTCAAACCGCATGTTCCCGCCGGTCGCCGTGGTGCTGCCGATGTTCTTCCTCTTCGACGCGACGCCCTGGGGCACCGACAGCCATATCTCCCTGATCATCCTCTACCTGGTCTTCAACATGCCGCTGGCGACCTGGCTGATGATGGTTTTTTTCCGCGACGCGCCGCGGGAACTGGAGGAGGCGGCCTATCTGGACGGCTACACCCCCTTCCGCGCCTTCTTCAAGGTGACGTTGCCGCTGGTGCTGCCGGGCATGATCTCCGTCGCCATGCTGTGCTGGATCTTCGCCTGGAACGAATACCTCTTCGCCAACCTGCTGGTCGGCACCGACGTGCGCACCTACACCATCGTCATCCCGACCTTCACCCACGGCAGCCAGACCCTCTGGAACCTGCAGATGGCCTTCAGCCTCATCGCCATGCTGCCGCCGGTGCTCCTCTTCATCCTGCTGCGCCGCTACATGGTGCGCGGCCTTTCTCTCGGCGTTGTGAAAGGCTGAAGCGATGTCGAGACTTGAAATCGAGGGACTCTGCAAGGGCTGGGACTTTCCGGTCATCGACCGCCTGGACCTGACGGTGGAGGAGGGCGAGTTCTTCGTCGTCGTCGGCCCCAGCGGCATCGGCAAGACCACGCTGCTGCGCCTCGTCGCCGGGCTGGAGCGGCCCGATGCCGGAACCATCCGCGTCGGCGGGCGCGACCTCACCGCTTTGCCGCCCTACCGCCGCAAGGTCGCCATGACCTTCGAGAGCTATGCGCTCTATCCCCATCTGACGGTGTTCGAGAATATCGCCAGCCCCCTGCGGGCGCGGCGCCTGTCCAAGAGCCAGATCACCGAAACCGTGGTGGCGGTGGCGCAGCTGCTGCGCATCGAACAGCTGCTGAACCGCCGCCCGGGCGAGATCTCCGGCGGGCAGAAGCAGCGCACCGCGCTGGGCCGCACCCTCGTCGCCCAGCCCGATGTGTTCCTGCTGGACGAACCCATCAGCCATCTCGACGCCAAGATCCGCCACGAGCTGCGCCTGCAGTTCCACACCCTGGAGGAACTGCGCTCCGTGGCGACCCTCTACGTCACCCACGACTATGCCGAGGCGCTCTCGCTGGGCGACCGCATCGGCGTCATGGGTCACGGCGGGCTGGTTCAGGTGGGCTCGGCGCGGGAGCTGTTCCAGCAGCCGCAGCATCTTCTCGTCGCCCAGCACCTGGGCCAGCCGAGCATCAACGTGGTCGAGGCCTCGCTGGCGTCGTCCGGCGACGACCTGAAGTTCACCGCGGAAGGCGCGAGCCTGACCCTGCCGGTGGCGGGGCCGCATCGCTCGGTGCTCTCCGGTCTCTCCGGCCGCGGCGCCGGGCGCATCACCGTCGGCATCCGCCCCCAGCATGTCCAGGTGGTCGCGAACGGAGAGACGGCGAATGGCGATGCCGTCGTCGACGCCACGGTGTCGATTTACGAAGCGCTCGGCGCTGCCGGCATTCTGGTGGCGGAAAGCGGTGGCGTGAGGCTGACGGCGCTGACGCCCCCCAACGCCGTCTTCCAGCATGGCGAGCCGGTGCGGCTTTCTCTGCGCAACGAGACCTTTCTCTACTTCGATGCCGACAGCGGCCGCAACGTGATGGTGGCCTGAGATATGGCGCGGGTTTCCCTGAAGGACGTGAACAAGGTCTACCGCTCGCGCCACCACGAGGTGCATGCGGTGAGCGACCTGAACCTCACCATCAACGATGGCGAGTTCGTCGCTTTGCTCGGCCCCTCGGGCTGCGGCAAGACCTCGACCCTGCGCATGATCGTCGGGCTGGAGGACATCACCTCGGGCGAGATCCATTTCGACGACACCCTGGTCAACAGACTGGACTCCCAGGCCCGCAACGTGGCCATGGCCTTCGAGACCTACGCGCTCTACCCCAACTTCACCATCGAGGAGAACCTGGCCTTCCCCCTGGAGGTGCGCGGAGTCGCGCCGGCAGAGCGCCGCAGGAAGGCGCGGGAGATCGCCGAGATCCTGCGCATCGACGACATCCTCGATCAGCGGCCCAGCGCCCTTTCCGGCGGCCAGCAGCAGCGCGTCAGCCTCGGCCGTGCCCTCATCCGCGACCCGGCGGTCTTCATCCTCGACGAGGTGATGAGCCACATCGATGCGCACCTGAAGTTCCAGATGCTCTTCGACCTGAAGGCCATTCATCAGGAAATGAAGAAGACCATGGTCTATGTGACCCACGACCAGGTCGAGGCCCTGGCGCTGGCCGACCGGGTGGCGGTTATGAGCCACGCGGAACTGCAGCAGGTGGGCACGCGCAACGATCTCTATCACACGCCCGCCAACGTCTTCGTGGCCGACTTCATCGGCGAGCCGCCGACCAACTTCTTCGAGGCGGAGCTCTTCACCGGCGGTAACGGCACGGTTCTGAAGGTCCAGGGCACGGACCTGGAGATTGCGTTGGAGGAAGGCCATGCCCAGCGTATCGCGCGCTGGAACGAGAAACAGCTGACGGTGGGGATCCGGCCCCAGGCGCTGCATCTGGGCGGCGACCCCAGCCTGCCGGCGCTGGAGGCGGAGGTGGCGATCAACGAGTACCTGGGTGAGCGCTCCATCCTCACCATGGTCAATGGCCGGCAGACCTTTCGCGCCGTAGTCGATGCCGACACGGCAGCGCAGCGCGGCGACAAGGTACGGGTGCACTACGCGCTCGACGACGTGATGGTGTTCAGTGGCAAGACGGAGTTGATTATTCTTTAGACGGTCAGAAAACAGGCGCGCAGGGACCGGCCTCGGCGGTCGATCTTTCAGGGCGCGGAACCGCCCGGCACCGAAGAGGGCCGGCCAATCGAAGAGGGAGGAAGCAGCTATGGGTCTCTTTAGCGGATTTACGCGGCGAAAGTTCCTGCAAGGGGCGGCCGCCGGCGCCGCGGCGGCCGGGGGTCTGATGCCCGGTGCCTCATTGGGCGCAACGGCGGTGCCGCCGGGCAAGAAGCTCTTCAAGGACGTGGAGCTGACCTACTTCCAGGATTCCAACTGGCTGCACTCGCCGCTCTGGCTTTCGCCGCATCTCATGAAAGAGGCAGGCGTCGGCATCAAGAGCCGCGAGATGTATGACGGCGGCGACGCGGTGGCGAAGATCCTGCCGCAGCTTCTGTCCCGCCGCCCGCGCTTCGACTGGGTGCAGTTCCCCAGCCTGTTTTTCGGCGCATTCGCCGAGACCGGCCAACTGGAGCCGCTGGACGACTACTTCGCGCAGTACGCAGGCAGCCAGGACTATCTCGACTGGGTCATGCCGGCCTACCGCGAGTTCTACACCAAGTGGGACAACAAGACCTACGGCGTGATGCTGGACGGCGACATCCACATCCTGCATTACCGCAACAGCTACTTCCAGGATGCCGAACTGCGCAGCAAGTTCTCCAAGCGCTTCCAGCGCGAACTGGAGGTGCCGAAGACCTGGCTCGACTTCGTCGATGCCACCCAGTTCTTCACCGAGGAACTGAGCAGCCAGGGCGTCTACGGCACTTCCATGGTGGTGAATCCGCCGAACTTCGGCTGGGGCTTCTGGATGGATATCGCCGCCTCCGCCGGGGTGAACTACTTCGATGAGAACATGAACCCCACCATCAACCAGGGCAAGGCGGCGGAGAGCCTGGATATCTACAAGGAGATCATCAAGTTCGGCCCGCCGGGCGCCGAGGCCATGGACATCGGCACCACCATCCAGCGCTGGCAGTCCGGCTCCGACGTCATGTCGGTCTGGTGGATCGACCTGTCAGAGTTCACGGTGCAGCAGCAGGGCCCGGAACTGGCGGAAGACCAGCGCGGTGCCATCGTCCCGGGCTGGCTGAACGACGACGGCTCGATCACCAACCGGGCGATCTCGCTGTGGTGCCGCACCGCTTCCATCCCCAAGAACATCCCGCAGGATGTGAAGGACGCGGCCTTCTACTTCATCTACCGCATGTCCCATCCCGACTACTCCAACGAGATGGTGGCCGACGAGTACTGCGGCTCCGACCCCTACGGCAAGACCCACTACGGCGATGCCGCGGCGCAGCTCTATCTGCAGGCCAATCCGCAGCGCGGCACCGACAACGAGCTGTGGTCGACCAACGCCGGCATCTTCAAGAACTTCGAGACCGCCAAGAACCACCTCGACGCCGGTCTCGCCAACGTCGAGGTCGGCTATCCGCAGTTCTTCTGGGAAGGCACGCCGGAATACGCCGACGCCCTGGGGCGCAACATCTCCAAGGCCGTCTCCGGCGAACTGACCAGCCAGCAGGCGCTGGACGAGGCGGCGGAGGAATGGGCGCAGATCGCCCAGAAGCTCGGCCTCGACAGCCAGAAGCGGCAGTACAAGAACTTCATCGATGGGGCCCGGGCGCTCGGCTACAAGATCTGAGCGTCTGACATCGCGGAAGTAAGCGTCACCCCCACCCCATCCCTCCCCCATCAAGGGGGAGGGGGCACCAAGAGGCCGTTGGGGTCTCCTTTCCTCCCCCCTTGTGGGGGAGGGTCAGGGTGGGGGATCTTTTTTGGTTGGCAATCGCCGTGCAGGTTTGGCCGGTAAGGCTCCCGACGGAGGGCAGGCATCATGAAGAAGATTCTCAACGATCCCTTCAGCTATGTGGATGAGATGCTGGAGGGCCTCTGCATGGCCCATCCGGAATTCTACGCCCAGCCCGAAGCCCGGGTGATCGCCCGCGCCGGCGGCGCCACTCAGGGGAAGGTGGGCATCGTGACCGGTGGTGGCTCCGGTCACCTGCCGATCTTCACCGGCTATGTCGGCAAGGGGCTCTTGGATGCGGCTGCCATCGGCGACGTTTTCGCCTCGCCCTCCGTCGAGCAGATGGCCGCCGCCATGCGCCACGCCAATGGCGGGGCCGGAATCCTGCGCCTCTACGGCAACTACGGCGGCGACGTGATGAACTTCGACATGGCCGGCGAAATGCTGGAGATGGAGGACATCGCCTCCACCACCGTACTGCTGGCCGACGACATCGTCTCCGCGCCGCCGGAGGAGGCGGCCAAGCGCCGCGGCGTCGCCGGCATGGTCTATGCCTTCAAGTGCGCCGGCGCCAAGGCCGAAGAGATGGCCGATCTGAGCGAGGTGACGCGGGTTGCCCAAAAGACCGCCGATGCCTGCCGCTCCATCGGCATGGCGCTCACCCCCTGCACGGTGCCGCAGGCCGGCAAACCCACCTTCGAGATCGGGGAGGACGAGATGGAGATGGGGATGGGTATTCACGGCGAGCCGGGCATCTGGCGCGACAAGCTGAAATCCGCCGATGCCATCACCGACGAGATGGTCGACCGCCTGCTGGCCGACATGCCCCTGTCCAAGGGCGAGCGCATCTCCCTGCTGGTCAACAGCCTGGGCGCCACCCCGCCGGAGGAGCTCTACATCATGTACCGCCGCGCCAAGGCGCGGCTCGACGACCTCGGCGTCACCATGGTCATGCCCCTGGTGGGCCGCTATGCCACCTCCATGGAGATGACCGGCGCCACGTTCACCTGGTGCCGTCTGGACGACGAGTTGGAGGCGCTGTTGAAGGCGCCGGCCGCCTGCGCCTTCTGGCAGGTCTAGGCAGGTCATGGCGGAGCTCACCAGTGCCGGCCTTGGGGCTGCGCTGCCAGGCCTGGCAGCGCATCTGGAGGCGCAGGCCGCCTTCCTCAACGAGGCCGACGCCAGGCTGGGCGACGGCGATCTTGGTGTCACCATGCAGCGCGGCGCCCGCGGGCTGATCGAGATTACCGACGATTTGCCGGATGACCTGGGCATGGCCTTCATGCGCTGCGCCCAGGCCTTCACCAAGACCTCCGGCTCCAGCTACGGCACCCTCCTGGCGACGGGGCTGATGGCTGCGGCCAAGGCCTGCAAGGGCCGCGAGGCCGTGCCCTGGTCGGAGACCTCGGCGCTGCTCGGCGGCGCGCTGGAGGCGATGATGGCACGCGGCAAGGGCGCACTGGGCGAGAAGACGGTGCTGGACGTTCTGGAGGCGGTCCGTGCTGCGACAGAGAGTTTGGACGCGCCGGGCCCGCTGCATCAGGCGGCGCTGAAGGCGACGGAGGAGACGATGGAGCGCATGCGCAGCCAGCCGGCGCGCCAGGGGCGCGCCCGCATGTTCGCCGAGAAATCGGTCGGCCTGGACGATCCCGGCATGCTGGCCTTCCGCGCGCTTCTGGAAGGGCTGAAAGGATGAGCGGTGACGGCCCCTATGTGATCGGCATCGACGGCGGCACGGAATCCCTGCGCGCCGGTGTCTTCGACCTTGCCGGCCGGCCGCTGGCCTTCGCCGCAACGCCCTATCGCACGGACTTTCCCCAGCCCGGCTGGGCGGAGCAGAACCCGAAGGACTGGTGGGCGGCGCTCGGCGCCTCGGTGCGCCAGGCGGTGCAGGAGGCCGGCATTGCTCCCGACGCGGTGGCGGCGCTCGCCCTCGACACCACCTGCTGCAGCGTCGTCGCCCTGGATGATAAGGGCGAGGCGCTGCGCCCGGCGCTGATCTGGATGGACGTGCGCTCCGCGGAGGAAACCGAGCGCGTCGTCGCCAGCGGCGATGCGGCGCTGAAGATCAACGGGGGTGGGGCAGGTCCGGTTTCGGCGGAATGGATGATCCCCAAGGCGCTCTGGCTGCAGCGCCATGAGCCGGAGACCTTCGACCGCGCCGCCACGATTTGCGAGTACCAGGACTACCTGAACTATCATCTCACCGGGCGCCGGGTGGCCAGCATCAACAACGCGGCGATCCGCTGGCACTACCTGGCCGCCGACGGCGGCTTTCAGCCCGGGCTTCTGGCTAAGCTCGGCATTGATGCGCTGATGGACAAGTGGCCGTCGGAGGTGCTGCCGCTGGGAGCGGTGATCGGCGGCCTTACGGCCCGCGCGGCGGAGCATCTGGGCCTGCCGAAGGACCTGCCGGTGGCCCAGGGCGGCGCCGATGCCTTCATCGGCATGATCGGGCTGGGCGTCGTGCGCCCGGGCTCACTCGCTTTCCTGACGGGTTCGTCCCACCTGCACCTCGGACTCAGCGAGACGGCCTTTCACGGCGCCGGCATATGGGGCACTTACGCCGATGCAGTCATCCCCGGCCTCCATGTGGTCGAGGGCGGCCAGACCTCGACCGGCTCGGTGGTGAAGTGGTTCCGCGAGCTGTTGGGCGGCGGCGTCACCTATGACGACCTGAACGTGGAAGCGAGAGATCTGCCGCCCGGTTCCGAAGGCCTCATCGTTCAGGATCACTTCCAGGGCAACCGCACGCCCCATACCGACCCGCTGTCGCGCGGCGCCTTTGCCGGCCTGACGCTGAAGCACGGCCGCGGGCACATGTTCCGCGCCATCATCGAAGGCATCGCCTTCGGCAGCGAACATATCCTGGAGACCATGCGCGGCCACGGTTTCCAGCCGCGCGAGATCGTTATCGCCGGCGGCGCCACGCGCTCCGACCTCTGGCTGCAGATCCATGCGGATGTGTCCAACGTGCCCTTGAGCCTCACCCGGGTGCCAGACGCACCCAGCCTGGGCTGCGCCATTCTGGCTGCCGTGGCGGCCGGGCAGTTTCCGGACATCCCCACTGCGGCCGATGCCATGGTGGCGGTGGAACGGGTCGTGGAGCCGGATCCGCAGCGGCACGAAGCCTACAGGCCCTTTTACGAGGCCTACAAGCACGCCTACCCGGCGCTCTCCGGCATCATCCGGCCGCTCGCAGCGGCGCCGGATCAGGGTTAGAGTGCTGCCGTAAAAGAGGGAGGCCCTAGGCCATGTTGAAAAACATCGATCCGATCCTGAGTCCCGATCTGCTGCGGGTGCTCGCGGCCATGGGGCATGGCGACGACCTCGTCGTTGTCGACGCCAACTTCCCGGCGGATTCCGTCGCGCGGCAGACGGTGGTGGGCAAGCTGGTGCGGCTCGACGGCGTCGATGCGGTGCAGGCGGTCAGCGCCATCCTCTCGGTGTTCCCGCTCGACAGTTTCGTCGAGGCGCCGGCCCGGCGTATGGAAATCGTCGGCGCGCCCGATGAGATCCCGGAGGTCCAGCAGGAGGTGCAGCGGGAGATCGACGATGCTGAGGGTCAGGCCCTGCCCATGGCCTCCGTCGAGCGCTTCGCCTTCTACGAGGAGGCGAAAAAGGCCTATGCCGTGGTCGCCACGACGGAGGGGCGGGCCTACGGCTGCTTCCTGCTGAAGAAAGGCGTGATCTTTTTCTAGTCCGCGGAACGCTCAGATCGCTGTGCTTCGCAACTGCTGGACCCAGGTGAGCCAGGCATGGCGCGGCCCCTCGGTGAGGACGCCGCCCTTGCGGATGTAGCTCAGATCGTGGCGGCCATCGGCGGTCTCCATCAGATAGCCAACCATGTGATGGGCCGCGAAGCCCAGGCAGGGCTCTGCGACCACCTCGTAGAGCAGGCCGTGGCCGTGATCCTCCAAGACGCGCCAGGTAAGGGCGCCGGGGCAGCTCACCTGGAACTGGCCCAGGCGCCGGTCCAGCAGCCTGCGCAGGCTGCCCTCGCCGGGACCCTTGCCGTTCCAGGACCTCAGGGCGACGCGCTGCGTCCAACCATCCAGGGATTCGTCGCGCCGCAGCCAGAGGCGGGATCTGCGGTCGCCCTCTTCTTCTATGGATTGTGCCAGGGTCCAGCCTTCGGGGGTCTGCAGGTTGAGGGCGGCCCCGGGAGGGGGCTCTGACCTTGCGCCCAAGGGCACGGCCTCGCAGGCAACGGCGGCCAGGGCGCTAAGCACCAGGGCCCAAAGGGTGAGGGCCTTCGGCATCGACTTTCTCCGGACAGGATGGAGTCTGCACTCTGGCGGCCTGCTGTTTCCCGATGACCTCCTCTCAGGGGAGTAATCGTTTCAATGGTATCAGCGCAGGCGAGTCCGGCAGGCGGCCGCGGAGGCCGCCCAGGACCGTCCTCTGCCCCGGATTTCCGGCCTTTTCACCGGGGTGTGGTTGAACCGCCGGGGTGCGGCGGATAGAGTGCCGGCTCCATTCCAGCCACGTGACAGGGCACCATGGCCAATCCAACGCACCTCAGCCTGCGCAAAGCGATCATCGCGGCTTGTTTGAAGATGAACGAGCTTGGCATCAACCAGGGCACCTCCGGCAACATCTCCGCCCGTATCGAGGGCGGCTTCCTGATCACGCCCTCCGGCATCCCCTACGAGAAGATGAAGCCCGAGCAGATCGTCGAGATGGACCTTGGCGGCGGCTACTTCGGCGACTATCTGCCGTCGAGCGAATGGCGGATGCACTACGACATCTACCTGAACAAGCCGGAAGCGGGGGCGGTGGTGCACACCCATTCGATCTACTGCACGGCGCTGGCCTCACTGCAGGAGCGCATTCCGGCCTTCCACTACATGATCGGGGTCGCCGGCGGCACCAACATCCGCTGCGCCGACTATGCGACCTTCGGCACCCAGGAGCTTTCGGGCAACATGCTGAAGGCGCTTCAGGGGCGCTCGGCCTGCCTGCTGGCGAACCACGGGATGATCTGCTTCGCCAAGGACCTCGACAAGACGTTGTGGTTGGCGGGCGAGGTGGAAACCCTGGCCCAGCAGTATTGGATCGCGCGCCAGATGGGCAAGCCGAACATCCTGAACAAGCGCGAGATGACCAACGTCCTGGCGCGCTTCAAGAGCTACGGCAAGCAGAGCAAGGATCTCGCCAAGGGCGAAGCCCTGGCCGTCGAACCCCCGCCGCGCCGCGACGCCCCAAAAGCCGCCAACGGCACCGCCAGACGCGGCGCCAAGAAATCTGCCGGCAGGGCCAAGGCGGCGCGCAAGCCCGGGAAGCGGGCGGCCAAGACCTCCAGGTCGGCACGAGAACCAGCGGCATGATCACTGTCTTCGGCTCCCTGAGTGCCGACCTTGTCACCCAGGTGAAACACCTGCCGGCACCGGGAGAGACGGTGACCGGGCCGGCTTACACCGTGGTGCCTGGGGGCAAGGGGGCCAACCAGGCGCTGGCCGCGGCCCTGGCCGGTGCACCGGTGCGCTTTATCGGCTCGGTCGGCAACGACGGCTTCCGCGATCTTGCGCTTTCCGGTATGCGCGCGGGCGGCGTCGACCTCAGCCTGGTTGCCGAAAGCCCGGAGCAGACCGCCTGCGCCTTCATCGCCGTCGATGCCGCCGGCGAGAACCTTATCTTCGTCGCCAGTGGCGCCAACCTGGACAGCAGGGCCGCGCAGTTGGATGCGGCCGGCCTCACCTCCGATGACGTTCTCCTGCTGCAGATGGAAATCACCCATGCGGAGAACTGGAAGGCGGTGGGCATCGCCAAGGCGAAGGGCGCTCGGGTGGTGCTGAACCTCGCGCCCGCCGGTCCGATCCCGGAGGAGACGCTGCGCCAGCTCGATGTGCTGGTTGTCAACGAGACAGAGGCGGGCCAGCTCGGGGCGCAGCTCGGCATCGCCGACACCGATCCGGAGGCTGTCGCCGGCAAGATCGCGGCGGACTTCGATCTGGATTGCATCGTCACCCTGGGCGCGGCCGGCGCCCGGTCCTTCGGACCCTCCGGCCGCTTCTCGGTGCCGGCCCTGCCGACCGAAGTGGTCGACACTACGGCCGCCGGCGATGCCTTTGTCGGCGCCTTCGCGGCTGCGCTCGATCAGGGCCGGCCGATGGATCAGGCTCTGCGCCAGGGTGCGGTGGCCGGCAGCCTCGCCTGCCGCTCCGTCGGCGCCCAGCCCAGCCTGCCCAAGGGCAAGGAGATCGCCGCCCAGCTTGCCGAGCTCACCTGACGAAACGATGGCAGGTCAGGCGCCGGCGCCTCTTTCGTGGCTGATGGAGTAGACCAGGACCTGGGTCACGGAGACGCCGTCCTCTGACAGCGGCAAAAAGATCGTGCTTTCCTTGCTCCGGCGGCCTCCGGGCGTCACGTAGGCGTTGGGGTCGTAAAGGTAGGTGCGCTTCTTGCGGACGTGCTCGTAGGAGTCGATGACATCTTCGAGGCTGGGGCCCCAGAAGCCTTCCTCGATGCGCTTGCCGGTGGGGTCGTGGCCCCGCAAGGTGACTTCCGCTGTGCCGACGACGCGGTAACGAAACACGCCGACACCGTGGTTATCGACGCTTTCGACGTCGACCAGCAGAATGCCCGGCAGATGCCGTGGGATGTCTGCCGGATCGATGTCCGCACGCCGCGGCATCGGGCGGTCGCCGCGCTTTGCCTCCCAGTACCGGAAGATTTCCACGACCTCCTTCGGGCAGTGCTCCAGGAAGCCGGGCTCGGACGGCGATGGGTGCGGCACGGACTCTTCCTCTGACGGTTCCCTCTCACCACAGGATGACCGAGAGTACGAAAGAGAATCTAAACAAAGCAGTATAATTGAATTGATTTGATTGCAGGGGCGGTGATCTTGAGCCGGAGGTGGAAGAGCCGGTCCGCATGTTCGCCGCTATCCGCCGGCGCGCCCCGGTCGATGGCGCCGCGGAAAATGCTCCTGCGAATCTACAAACGGTCATGTCTGCGATGTTCACTATGGGCCTTTGCTGTTGCTGACCGGAGAGGAGCAGCCATGACGGGACGGTATCTTGCAGCCCTGCTGCTGATCCTGGGATGTCCGCTTGCAGCCCAGGCCCAGGACTTCGTCGCCCTCAGTTCCCAGCATTTTGCCGGCGTGACGACCTCGCAGACCACGACCCGGGCCATGATGCTGACGGTGACCCCCGATACGGGCTCGTCCTTCAGCGCAAAGGCGGAGACCCTGCGCGATCAGCGCGGCGCTCCGACAGACTTTGCCTATACCAGCGACGCGATTTCGGCCGCGAAGGTGGAGACCGAGATCGTTGCCCGGGTTTCCCGGTCCAATCCGCAGGCCGGCAAAACGCTGGCCCGGCAGTTCGCCCGGCACGACTTCGCCGAGGTCTACCGCGGCATCGTCGGCCCCTATGGCCTGCCGCACCGCAACCTCGCCGGCTCGGTCACCGCCTACGAGGTGCTGGCCTGGCTGATCGCCAACGACAGGCAGGAACCGCCGGCCGGCGCCGTGCAGGCGGCCTTCGCCCAGAACGCGGCGGCCATGGCGGCAGATCCGCGCTTCGCCGCGGAGGCGCTGCGGCGCGACATGGACGAGGAACTGATGCGTCTCTTCGTGGTCATGCACGCGGGCTGGCTGAGCGCGCTCAATCGCGAAGGGCCGGCGGCCCTGGCGCGCTACGCCGATGGGGTCAACGCGATGTGGAAGACCACCTTCGGCCAGGATCTGCGTCAGGCCAAATTGACGGCAAGCGGCTTCAGCGCGCGCTAGCCTTGGCGGGTCGATCCAGTCTGCGGTGTTCCGATAACGACGTCACCACGTCGGCGTAAAGGGCGAGCGCTTCCGCGCCTTTGGGCGAGAGGGCGTAGACGCCGCGCTCGACCCGCTGGAACCAGCCGTAGACATCCCGTTGCAGGATGCGCTGGGCGCCGGCGACGGCGGTCGCCTCGGCCACGGCGGCGGCTTTGGTCGGGCCGCTTTCCCTGAGCAGGGCGGCGCAGGCGAGCGCGGCCTGGCGGTAGGCGGTGACGATGGGCCGGCGCGTCTGGCCGCCGGTGTTCGGGTCGCCGATCCTATGGGCGAACTCCTTCAGCAGCAGCCCTTGGCGCTTCCGGTTGGGGCGCGGCTGGTAGGGCAGGGGGTCGAGCAGCGGCTCCACCAGCGGGTCCTTGCTGGCCGTCGCTTCATGCACCGCCAGCAGGCCGAGGCCCAGGCGGCGGCAGAGCTTCAGGATGCCGCGGCGTTCGCGGCGCCACAGACTGCCGCGGGCGGGCCGGGCCGGAACACCGACTGCAAGATAGACATGATCGCTGAGTGCCAGACGGTCGATGCCCTGCAGGACCAGGGGCAGGGTGAAGCCGGTCTTCAACTCGACGATGACCGGAGGGTCCTCACCGCGGCGGGCGACCAGGTCGCAGCCGCGCACCTCGGCCTTCACCACGTAGCCCTGGCCCTCGAAGAAGGCTTTGACGGGGGCGTAGAGATCTTCTTCCTTGGCGAATCCCACGCCCGTGAGTCTAACGCCCGCGCCTCGGCCGGACCAGTGGGGGACTCACGTCGTCAGGGCGCGGTTCCAGGGCATGAGGCCGAGCAGCCTGGCCATCCCGCAGGTGCCGGAAAGGCCTGCGAAGGTGAGGCCGGCGCCGACGAAACCGGACAGCACAAAGAACCAGGGCGAGAGGGCAAAGCCCAGCAGCACGCCCAGCAGCACCATCAGGCCGGCGGTGATCTGTACCTGGCGCTGCATGGAGATCGGCACCCGGCGGTTGACGCGGGTGGCCATGCCGGCGGCCTTCCAGCCGGCAAGCCCGCCATCGAGCTGGCGGACCGCGGCAAAGCCGCTGGCCAGGATGCGCGGCGCGGCTTCGGCGGTGCGGGAGCCGCTGGCGCAGTGGAAGATCGCGGTCTTGTCGCGCGCGCCGGGAAAGTCGCCCGCGTCGAAGCCCGAAAGCGGCACGTGATGCGCGCCCGGAATGTGCTCGCGGGCGAACTCGTCGCTTTCGCGGATATCGATCAGGACGGCCTGATCCTGATCCAGCATGGTCTTCGCCGCCTCGGCGCCGATGGTCTTCAGTGTCTGCATCGCTTTGGGTCTCCTTAGCCTGCGTCCTGCAGCGCCGCGGACGGCGCGCTCTGCGTCTGTTCCCGATTGTGGCGGCAGAAGAGGTCGTAGAGCAGGGCGATCACCGCCCGCGCTTCACGCCCGCTCAGCCGATAGTGGATCTGCCGCCCCTCGCGCCGGGCGGCGACCAGACCGTCCTTGCGCAGCAGGGCCAGTTGCTGCGAAACCGCAGCCTGACGCAGCCCCAGGGTCTCCGCCAGGTGCCCCACCGTTTTCTCCTCCTCGGCCAGCTGGCAGAGGATCATCAGCCGGTTCTCGCTGGCCAGCGCCTTCATCAGGTCGGCAGCCAGGGTGGCGGACTGCTGCATCGATTGAACATTCATATATTCATATATATGAAGATATCGGGTTCAGTCAAGGACGGCTGGACTGCGGCGGTGTACTGCTGGGATTGTGGCGGCCCGTGCGGGCAGGTTATGGAAGAGGCAGGCAGCGGCTCCGATATCAGGGACTCGATGAGCGATTCGGCCAGGGAGTGCAGAGATGAATGAAGCGGCCGGCCGGCCCGAGGTGACGGCGTTTTTCGATGAGGCGACCTTCACGGTCAGCTACGTGGTGGCCGAGCCCGGAGGCGGGCGGGCCGCGGTCATCGATTCCGTCCTCGACTACGATCCCAAGTCCGGGCGTCGCTCGACCGCCTCGGCCGACAGGATCATCGACTTCGTGCGGACGCAGGGTCTGGGTGTCGACTGGATCCTGGAAACCCATGTCCATGCCGACCATCTGACGGCGGCGCCCTACCTGCAGCAGCAGCTCGGCGGGACCATCGGCATCGGCGCCGAGGTCTGCCGTGTGCAGGAAGCCTTTCGCAGTGTCTACAATCTGGATGGGGGCTTCGCCGCCGATGGCAGCCAGTTCGACCATCTTTTCCGGGACGGCGAGAGGCTTTCCATCGGCGGCCTGACGGCAGAAGTGATGTCGACGCCGGGCCACACGCCGGCTTGCATCACCTATGTCATCGGCGATGCCGCCTTCGTCGGTGATACCCTCTTCATGCCGGACTACGGTTCGGCGCGCACCGACTTTCCCGGCGGCGACGCGCGCCAGCTCTACCGCTCCGTCCGGCGCATTCTCGCGCTGCCGTCCGAGACGCGGCTGTTCCTCTGCCACGACTACAAGGCGCCGGGGCGCGATGTCTTCGCCTGGGAGACGACGGTGGCCGAGCAGCGGGAAAAGAACATCCACCTGCACGACGGGGTGGGGGAGGAGGACTTTGTCGCCCTGCGCGAAGGGCGCGATGCCGGGCTCTCCATGCCGGTGCTGCTGCTGCCGGCGGTGCAGGTGAACATGCGCGCCGGTCACCTGCCGCCGCCGGAAGACAACGGCATCTCCTACCTGAAGATCCCGGTCGACGGGGTCTGACCGGCACGTCGGAGTCCGAAACCGGCCCCGGACAAAAAGAAAGGGGCCGGTCGACGACCGGCCCCGGAGCTTTGACTCGGCTTTCTCTTAGAAGCCCATATCGCCCATGCCGCCCATTCCGGGGGCGCCGCCGGGCATGGCCGGGGCCTTGTCTTCCGGCTTTTCGGCGACCATGGCTTCCGTGGTGATCAGCAGACCGGCGATGGAGGCCGCATCCTGCAGGGCCGCGCGCACCACCTTGGTGGGGTCGATAACGCCGTCCTTCACCAGGTTGGTGTAGCGGCCGCTCTGGGCGTTGTAACCCGCCTGCTGGTCCTTCTGCTCGCGCACCTTGCCGACCACGATGGAGCCGTCGGCGCCGGCATTGACCGCGATCTGGCGCAGCGGCGACTCCAGCGCCTTGCGGACAATGCGGATGCCGACTTTCTGGTCCTCGTTTTCGCCCTCCAGCTTGTCGAGCTTGGCGGCCGCGCGCAGCAGGGCGACGCCGCCGCCCGGCACGATGCCTTCCTCGACCGCGGCACGGGTCGCATGAAGCGCGTCGTCGACGCGGTCCTTGCGCTCCTTCACCTCGACCTCGGTGGCGCCGCCGACGCGGATCACCGCCACGCCGCCGGACAGCTTGGCCAGGCGCTCCTGCAGCTTTTCGCGGTCGTAGTCCGAGGTGGTTTCCTCGATCTGCGCCTTGATCTGGCTGCAGCGGGCCTGGATGTCGCTCTTCTTGCCGGCGCCGCTGACGATGGTGGTCTCGTCCTTGGTGATGATCACCCGCTTGGCGCGGCCCAGCATGTCCAGGGTGACGTTCTCCAGCTTGATCCCGACGTCTTCCGAGACCGCGGTGCCGCCGGTCAGGATGGCGATGTCCTGCAGCATGGCCTTGCGCCGGTCGCCGAAGCCCGGCGCCTTGACCGCCGCCACCTTCAGGCCGCCGCGCAGGCGGTTCACCACCAGGGTGGCGAGCGCCTCGCCCTCCACATCCTCGGCGATCACCAGCACCGGCTTGCCGGACTGCACCACCGATTCCAGCAGCGGCAGCATGGACTGCAGCCCGCTGAGCTTGGCCTCGTGGACCAGGATGTAGGGGTCTTCCAGCACCGCCTGCATCTTGTCGGCATCGGTGACGAAGTAGGGCGAGAGGTAGCCGCGGTCGAACTGCATGCCTTCGACCACTTCCAGTTCGGTCTCCAGCGACTTGGCCTCTTCGACCGTGATCACGCCCTCGTTGCCGACGCGCTCCATGGCCTCGGCCAGCATTGCCCCGACCTCGGCATCGCCGTTGGCCGAGATCGTGCCGACCTGGGCGATTTCGTCGTTGGACGCAATTCTGCGGGAACGCTTCTGCAGGTCAGCCACCACGGCTTCCACGGCGCTGTCGATACCCCGTTTCAGGTCCATCGGGTTCATGCCGGCGGCCACCGCCTTCACGCCCTCGCGGACGATCGCCTGGGCCAGTACCGTGGCCGTGGTGGTGCCGTCGCCGGCGATATCGCTGGTCTTGGACGCGACCTCGCGGACCATCTGGGCGCCCATGTTCTCGAACTTGTCCTTCAGTTCGATGTCCTTGGCGACGGTCACGCCGTCCTTGGTCACCCGCGGGGCACCGAAGGACTTGTCGAGAACGACGTTGCGGCCCTTGGGACCCAGGGTGACCTTGACCGCATCCGCCAGAACGTCGACGCCGTGCAGCATGCGCTCGCGGGCATCGGTCGAAAACTTGACGTCTTTTGCAGCCATCTTGGGATGCTCCTCCGTGTTTTGGTTGCCGGCGTCGCTCAGGCGGCCTTCTTGGAGGCCTTGGTCTTTTCGAGCACGCCCATGATGTCGGACTCTTTCATGATCAGGAGGTCTTCACCGCCGACCTTCACCTCGGTGCCGGACCACTTGCCGAAGAGAACCAGATCGCCGACCTTCACGTCCGGCGCGATCAGTTCGCCCTTGTCGTTGCGTGCGCCGGGCCCGACGGCGATGACCTCACCCTGGCTGGGTTTTTCCTTGGCGGTGTCCGGGATGATGATGCCACCGGCGGTCTTCTCTTCTTCGTCGACGCGGCGAACGGCGACCCGGTCATGCAAAGGCCTGAATTTCATCGAACTTTCCCCTTTTTTGGTGTGGACGTTTGGTGTGGATTGGGACGATCTTAGCACTCTCGTTTCAAGAGTGCTAATGTAGGATGCACTTGGGATCTCCGGCGCCTGCGTCAAGAGCGCGGGTGGGGTTATTTTCGGTCCCTTGCGGGGGGCTTCAGGCCGGGGCTTAGGCCGGGATGATCGCGCCCTTGGTCCGGATCACCCGGCCGGCGAGGGCGTGGCCCGCTGCGGCGGCCTCTTCGGCACCGCTGCCGCCCAGGCGCGCCGCCAGATAGGCGCCGTTGAAGGAGTCCCCGGCGGCGGTGGTGTCCACCGGCCGCGCGACCGTCTCGCCGGCAACCCTTGACTGCCGGCCTTCAACACTGACAAGGCAAGGCCCAGCGCCGCACTTGACCACCACTTCGCCGACCCCCAGGCTGTGCAGCCGCTCGGCCGTGGCCTCGGGCGATGTGTCGCCGAACAGCGCCGCCTCGTCTTCGTGGGTCGGCAGAGCCAGGTCGGCCAGGGACAGCGTGCGGCGCACCGCCTCCTGCGCCTCCGAGGGGTCGCGCCACAGCCGCGGGCGGTAGTTGGTGTCGAAGGCGAGGCGGCTGCCGCCGGCGCGAAGGCGCTCAAGCAGTTCGTAGAGCCGTTCCCGGCTTCCGGCATCGAGGATTCCCAGTGTGATCCCAGACAGATAGATCAGATCGAAGCCGGCGAGGGCCTCGGCCAGACCGGCCGTCCGCTCCGCCTGAAGCATGTCGCGGGCGGCGGCGGCGCTGCGCCAGTAATGGAAGGTCCGTTCGCCCTGCCCATCGGTGCGGATGATGTAGAGACCCGGCAACCTGCCCGGCAGCCGTGCGACCAGGCCGGTTTCCAGGCCTTCGCGCTGCCAGGCTGCGATCATCTCCGAACTGAACGGATCGTCGCCCAGGGCCGTCACGTAGGAGACCCGGCCGCTTTCCGGCGCCAGCGCGCGGGCGAGATAGACCGCGGTGTTCAGGGTGTCCCCGCCGAAGGTGCGCTGCATGGCGGCGGCCCCTGCTTCCCGGCCGTTTTCCGGGCCACCGGCGCTTTCCGAAAGCTCGATCATGCACTCGCCAAGGCTTGCGATGCGCAGCATGGGAAGGAAGCCGCCGTGCTGTTGAAGACCTGCCGTCCCTTTGGGGCATGCCCGTCAGGGACGACGGCCTAGGCAATAGCGGCTGGCTCGGCGCAGGGCAAGCGCGGCGGACCCGATCGATCAGCCGCAGATGTCGGGTATCATGCGGCGCAGATGGCCGCTGCCGGCGCAGGGCGCAGGCGCCGGCGGCCAAGGGCGATCGCGGCGATCACATCCTCTTCCGTCAGTCCGTCGCGTTTCAGTACCGCCTGGATGACTGCATCGCGCAGCATCTCCTCGATCTCCGGCTCTCCCTGAATCCAGGCGGAGCCGGCACCGGCACTGTAACGAACTGCGAAGGGATTGATCATGAAGTCTGCCTTTCTGAAGAGTTGGCTTCCGGAGAGCCCGCTGGACCGGGCTCACTGTTCGACGCGTTGGTCACCCTGAGAAGAGACAGTCATTCGCAAGCAAAGCTTCCATCGCGAACCACTTTAGACATAGTGGACCATAGGTATGAGAATGATCTGATCTATTTGTGACAATTTGACTGCTGCCCTTGGTTGTAGCGGGCGCGGAGATTTTCCTACAAAAACAATATCAGAAAACAACCTAAAATTGAAAATCGAATATGAAGCCTTCCGGGCTCCGGCCTCTCCGCCCTGCCGCCCGCAGGCGGCAGCGCCTGTGACAGAATTGTCATGCCGCGGAAAGATGTCTCTAACAAAGGCGGGTTAGCGTTTACCCGTTGGCGCCGATGCAGGGCAGGCGGTCAGAGCGGCCTGAAGCGCAATTCGCCGGCATCGCGGCGGTCGGATATCCGCCCACAGCCGGCAGCATGCTTGGCCCCGTGACCCTCGGGTCGTGCGACAACGGAACGTCAGCATCCGGTTCACCCCCCAACCGGAACTCCCCCGTACGATTTGCCCGTACGGGTACCCGGGTCCCGGGTCGCTGTGCAGGTGCGAACAGCCACATGCGCGACGTCCCGGGCCTCACAGTGGTTTAGATCCCTAGCCAACTGGCCGGGCTCTCCGATTTCGGGGTGGCCCGGCTTCCTTTTTCCACAGCCCCTTCCGGAACCCCAGGTCAGCATCCGCCGCCCCTGAAGGCGTCCCCCGAAGGCGCGCGAAATTCAACTGGCGCTTCTGTGCGAGCATGGTAGCGTAGGCGCTTGGACGCAGCGGATTCCGGGCCTTACCGGCGGGATTTTGCACTGCGGAACGAAGCGAAGAACAAGAACTCAGGCGAGGCATCTTCATGGTACGCACTTTGACGGCCGCGGCGGCGGCCTTGCTCGTTTCGACCTCCCTTGCGGCCACGGCCGCGGTCGCCGACGACATCAATCCGGCGGTCGTCTTCGACATGGGCGGCAAGTTCGACAAGTCCTTCAACGAGGGCGTCTTCAACGGGGTCGAGAAGTTCAAGAAGGAAACCGGCGTTTCCTATCGGGAGTTTGAGGTCACCAACGAAACCCAGCGCGAACAGGCGCTGCGGCGCATGGCCCAGCGCGGCGCCGACCCGATCATCGGGGTCGGGTTCGCCCAGGCGCCGGCCCTCGAAAAGGTGGCCAAGGAGTTTCCGGACACCCGCTTTACGATCATCGATTCCGTTGTCGACCTGCCGAACGTCCGTTCGGTGGTGTTCAAGGAGCACGAGGGCTCCTTCCTCGTCGGCATGATTGCGGCGCTGAAGTCGGAGTCCGGCAAGGTCGGCTTCGTCGGCGGCATGGATATCCCGCTGATCCGCAAGTTCGCCTGCGGTTACGAGCAGGGCGCCAAGCACGTGAGCGGCAACACCGAGGTGCTGCAGAACATGACCGGCACCACGCCGGCCGCCTGGAACGATCCGACGCGCGGGTCGGAACTGGCCAAGAGCCAGTTTGACCGCGGCGTCGATGTGATCTACGCGGCTGCCGGCGGCACCGGCGTCGGCGTCTACCAGACCGCCAAGGACAGCGGCAAGTTCGCCATCGGCGTCGACTCCAACCAGAACCACCTGCAGCCGGGCACCATGCTGACCTCCATGCTCAAGCGCGTGGATGTCGCGGCCTACAAGGCCTTCAAGGACGCTCATGACGGCAGCTGGGCCCCCGGCATCCAGGTGCTGGGCCTGGCCGAAGAGGGTGTGGGCTGGGCGCTTGACGAGTACAACAAGGACCTGGTCTCGGCGGACATGATGGCAAAGGTGGAAGCCGCGGCCGCGGACATTGTTTCCGGCAAGCTCAGCGTCCACGACTATATGAGCGACAACAGCTGCTCCTACTAGGCGCAGCCGTCGTCCAGGCTTGATCCACCAGGCTTGATCCAGATGTCCGGACCCGAACACGGCAGGAACTGACCTCTCGGCTTCCTGCCGTGGTTCGGGTGCGTTTTCTGGGTGCTGCCGCCGCCGGCCCGGGAACGACCCTTGTCTCATCAACAAGAAAGCCAGGAACAGCATGCGGGCCCGCCGGGAGGCGCCGGCGACTCGCCCGCCATCGAGCTGCGGGGGATCAGCAAAGCCTTCGGGCCGGTTCAGGCCAACAAGGACGTCTCGCTGAACATCCGCCCGGGGTCGATCCACGGCATCATCGGCGAAAACGGCGCCGGCAAGTCGACCCTGATGAGCATCCTCTATGGCTTCTACGAAGCCGACAGCGGCGAAATTCTCATTTCCGGCGTGCCGACGCGGATCCGCTCTTCCAACGACGCCATCGCCGCCGGCATCGGCATGGTCCACCAGCACTTCATGCTGGTCGACAACATGTCCGTCGTGGAGAACATCATGCTGGGCGCGGAATCCGGCGCGATCCTGACCTCCAGCGTCGCCGCCGCGCGCGCCGAACTGGAGCGCCTGGAACGGGACTACGATCTGGAGGTCGACCCGGATGCGTTGGCCGGCGAACTGCCGGTGGGCCAGCAGCAGCGCGTCGAGATCCTGAAGGCGCTTTACCGCGGCGCCGACATCCTGATCCTCGACGAGCCGACCGGCGTGCTCACCCCGCAGGAAACCGATCAACTCTTCCGCATTCTCGATTCCCTGCGTCAGCAGGGGGTGACCATCGTTCTGATCACCCACAAGCTGCAGGAGATCATGGCAGTCACCGACCATGTCTCCGTCATGCGCGGCGGCGAGATGATCGCCCATCGCAGGACCAGCGAGACCAGCAAGGAAGAGCTGGCAGAGCTGATGGTCGGGCGCAAGGTGCTGCTGCGGGTCGACAAGGCGGCGCCCCAGGCCGGCGAGACCGTTCTGGCGCTGGAGAGCCTGACCTTCGTGGACCGTGTGGGCGTGAAGCGCGTCGACAACGTCAGCTTCTCGGTGCGCGCCGGGGAGATCGTCGGCATCGCCGGCGTTTCCGGCAACGGCCAGAGCGAGCTTCTGGATCTGCTGTCCGGCATCCGCCCGATCAGCGCCGGACGCTTTACCATGATGGGGCAGACCTTCTCCGCGGGCCATCCGCTCGACCCCGCCACCATGCGCGACCTCAAGGTGGCGCACGTGCCGGAGGACCGGCTGCGCAGCGGCCTCGTGCGCACCTTCGCCGCCGAGGAATCGGCGATCTTGGGCTACCACAACGACCCCGCCTACAACGGGCGCGTACTCATGAACCAAGAGGTGATTCACGAGGACTGCGCCAGGAAGATGGCGGATTTCGATGTGCGTCCGCAGAACGCCAGCCTGAAGACCGCCAACTTCTCCGGCGGCAATCAGCAGAAGCTGATCCTGGCGCGGGAAATCTCGCGCAGCCCGCGCCTTCTTCTGGTCGGCCAGCCGACCCGCGGCGTCGACATCGGCGCCATCGAGTTCATTCACCGCAACATCATCGCCATGCGCGATTCGGGCTCCGCCGTGCTGCTGGTTTCCGTGGAGCTGGAGGAAATCATGTCGCTGAGCGACCGCATCGTCGTGATGTTCGAAGGGCGCATCGTCGGCGAGCTGCCGGCCCATGAAGCCAACGAGCGCCTGCTCGGCCTGATGATGGCCAACGCGGCGCCGGCACGCGGCGAAGACGCCTTGCCGGCCGCGGACACGCCGGAGGTCTCGGGCGCATGAGCGCGGCGCCGGGCAGCATTCCGCGCTGGGTCGATATCGGCCTCATTCCGCTGGTCAACATCGCGCTGGCCTTCTTCGTCTCCGGCATCATCCTCTGGACCATCGACGTCGATCCCTTCACCGCGGTGGAGATCATTCTCTTCGGCGCCTTCGGCTACGACGAGGCGATCGGCTACACGCTCTACTACACCACCAACTTCGTCTTCACCGGACTGGCGGTGGCGGTCGCCTTTCACGCCGGGCTGTTCAACATCGGCGGCGAAGGCCAGGCCTACATCGGCGGCCTGGGCGTCGGCCTCGGCATCCTGCTCGTCGACACGACTCTCCCGTTTGTGCTGATCCTGCCGCTTTCGATCCTGCTGGCCGCCGCCTTCGGCGCCGGCTGGGCGGCGATTCCGGCCTACCTGCAGGCCTATCGCGGCAGCCACATCGTCATCACCACCATCATGTTCAACTTCATCGCTTCGGCGCTGATGGTCTACCTGATGGTGAACATCCTCATTCAGCCGGGCTCCATGTCGCCGGAAAGCCGCGAGTTCGCGGCTTCCGGTCAACTGCCGTTCATGCACGAGGTCTTCGGCTGGTTCGGCATGCAGGTCACGCCCTCGCCACTGAACCTTTCTGTCGTCTGGGCGGCAATCTGCTGCGTACTCGTCTGGGCCTTCATCTGGCGCACCCGCTGGGGCTATCAGATCCGCACCGTCGGCGCCAACGAGACGGCGGCCATCTATGCCGGCATCGATCCGCGCCGTGTCATCATGCTGGCGATGGCCGTGTCCGGCGCGCTGGCCGGCTTCGTCGGCATCAACGAGGTGATGGGCGTCCACCACCGCCTGCTGCTGAACTTCACCGCCGGCTACGGCTTCACCGGCATCGCGGTCTCCCTGATGGGCCGCAACCACCCCGTCGGCATCGTGCTCGCCAGCCTGCTCTTCGGCATGCTCTACCAGGGCGGCGCGGAACTGGCCTTCGAGGAGCCGAAGGTGACCCGCGAACTGGTGGTGACCATCCAGGGCCTGGTGATCCTCTTCTCCGGTGCACTGGCCTTCATGATGAAGGGCCCCATCGAGCGGGCCTATCTGCGCATCGCCGGCGGCTTCCAGCGCCCGGCGGGGCAGGAGGGCTGATCGGTGGAGGGGCTGCTCTTCAACCTGCTGCTTTCCATCGACGCCACCTTCCGGGTCGCGACGCCGCTGGTGCTCTGCGCCATGGCCGGGCTCTTCGCCGAGCGTTCCGGCGTCATCGATATCGGCCTGGAGGGCAAGATGCTGGCCGCCGCCTTCGCCGCGGCCTCCATGGCGGCGGTCACCGGCTCGGCCTGGCTGGCGCTCGGCGCCGGCATGGTCGTCTCCGTGGCCCTGGCCCTGCTGCACGGTTTTGCCTGCATCACCCACCGCGGCAACCAGGTTGTCAGCGGCGTGGCCATCAACATCCTGGTCTCCGGCCTCACCGTGGTCCTGGGCATCGCCTGGTTCGCCCGTGGCGGCCAGACTCCCTCCGTCTCCAACGAAGCCCGCTTCACGCCGATCACCTGGCCCGGCGCCGAGACGCTGGCCGGCGTGCCGATCCTCGGCCCGATCTACAGCGAGCTGCTCAGCGGCCACAACCTGCTGGTCTATGTCGCCTTCCTCATCGTCCCGCTCACCTGGTGGGTGGTTTATCGTACCCGCTTCGGCCTGCGCCTGCGCGCCGTCGGCGAGAACCCCAACGCGGTCGACACGGCGGGGATTTCGGTCAGCGGCCTGCGCTATGCGGCGATGCTCTGCTGCGGCGCGCTCTGCGGCATCGCCGGCACCTATCTCTCCATCGCCCAGAACGCCGCCTTCGTGCGCGACATGACGGCCGGGCAGGGCTATATCGCCCTGGCGGCGATGATCTTCGGCAAGTGGCGGCCCGTGCCGGCCATGCTCGCCTGCCTGATGTTCGGTTTCCTGGACGCCGTGGCGATCCGCCTGCAGGGCGTCGAGGTGCCGGTGATCGGGCCGATCCCGGTGCAGCTCATCCAGGCGCTGCCCTATGTGCTGACCGTCGTTCTGCTGGCCGGCTTCATCGGCCGGGCCATCGCCCCCAAGGCCAGCGGCATTCCTTACGTAAAAGAACGCTAGCATGGCCGAGGATCTGGTTACCCTGGCGATCGCTGCCATGGAGCGGGCCTACGCGCCCTATTCGAACTTCCCCGTGGGCGCCGCGCTGCGGGCGCAGAACGGCGCGGTGTTTTCGGGCTGCAATGTCGAGAACGCGGCCTACCCGCAGGGCTGGTGTGCCGAGACCAGCGCCATCGCCGCCATGATCATGGCCGGGGAGACGCGCATTGTGGAGATCGCGGTGGCGGGCGGCGGTGCGGGGCTCTGTACACCCTGTGGCGGCTGCCGCCAGCGCCTGCGGGAGTTCGCCGGCGACGATCTTGTCATCCATGTCTGCGGGCCCGAAGGACTGCGCCGGACGGTGACCCTGGGCGAGCTCTTGCCGCTTTCGTTCGGTCCGGACAATCTGGACTGACCGTTAGGCTCCGGCAGGTAAAAACGCGTCTCAGTGAGGTGTCTTTGATGTTCGAGGAAGCGGCCGAAACCGCCGCCATGATCCGCCGACAGGCCGGCATCGTGCCGAAGGTGGCGCTGGTGCTGGGCTCCGGCCTCGGCGCCGTCGCCGATGCGGTGGAGGCGCCGCAGACCCTCGCCTACCGGGACCTGCCGGGTTTCCCGCGCCCCTCGGTCGCAGGGCACGGCGGCAGCCTGATCCTGGGGCGCATCGCCGGACTGCCGGTGGCGGTGCTTCAGGGCCGCGCGCACTACTACGAAAGCGGGCGCGCCGATGGCATGAACCTGGCTCTGGCGGTGCTGAAGGAACTCGGCTGCGCGCGGCTCATTCTGACCAATGCCGCCGGCTCCCTGCGCGCCGACGTCGGGCCGGGGCGCCTGATGCTGATCCGCGACCACATCAACTTCGCCGGCGTCTCGCCGCTTTTCGGGCTTGCCGGCAACGCGCGCTTCGTCGATCTGGTCGACGCCTACGACCCCGCGGCGCGCGCCGCCATCGTCGACGTCGCCGGGCGCCTGGGCCTGCCGCTGGCCGAGGGCGTCTACGTCTGGTTCTGCGGGCCGCATTTCGAAACCCCGGCGGAAATCCGCGCGGCGCAGGTCCTCGGCGGCGATGCGGTGGGCATGTCGACGGTGCCGGAGGTCATTGTCGCACGGCTGCTGGGCCTGAAGGTTTCCGCGCTGTCGATGATCACAAACCTGGCCGCCGGGATGTCCGCGGAGCCGCTCTCCCACGACCACACCATGCAGCACGCGACGGCGGCCGCCGCCGATATGGCGCGCCTCCTGACCGCCTATCTGGAGACCCTGGCCCATGATGGACCCGAGCCATGACAGATGACACGAAGGCGATGAAAGCCGTGGCGGCGCGGGCCCTCGGCCTGCTCGACCTCACCAGCCTCAATGACGACGACGATGCGGCGGTGGTCGACGCGCTCTGCGAAAGGGCGAGGACGCCATTCGGCCCCGTGGCCGCCGTCTGCATCTGGCCGCGTTTCGTGGCGCAGGCGAAAGACCTGCTGCATGGCAGCGGCATCAAGGTTGCGGCGGTGGCGAACTTCCCCGCCGGCGGCGACGACATCGCCGCGGCGCTGAGCGACACGCGGGAGATCGTCCAGGCCGGCGGCGACGAGGTGGACCTTGTGATGCCCTACACGAAGTGGCTGGCCGGGGAGCGGGATCTGGCCAAGCGGATGATCGCCGACTGCAAGCAGGCCTGCGGCGACACAGCGCGCCTCAAGGTCATCCTCGAAACCGGCCGGCTGGACGCTGCGGAGACGATCTATGAAGCCAGCGGCGATGCCATCGCCGCCGGCGCCGATATGATCAAGACCTCGACCGGCAAGATCGCAGTGTCTGCCACCCTGGAGGCTGCCGAGGCCATGTTGCGGGCGATCAAGGACTCCGGCCGCGATGTCGGCTTCAAGGCGGCGGGCGGCATACGCGACACGGCGGCGGCGGGCGTCTACCTGGCCCTCGCCGACCGGATCATGGGCCCGGACTGGGTCGACCCCTGGCGGTTCCGCTTCGGCGCCTCCGGTCTGCTGAACGATCTTTTGGCCGTGCTCGGAGACGAGGCGGCGGCGCCGGCCGCGGAGCAGGGCTACTGATGGCGCTGCTGCCCCAGGAGATCATCCGCCGCAAGCGCGACGGTGCGGCCCTTTCGCAGGAGGAGATCGCCGCCTTCGTGGCCGGCATCGCCGATGACAGTATCGGCGAGGGCCAGGTTGCGGCCTTTGCCATGGCGGTTTTCCTGCGTGGCATGGCGCGGGCCGAAGCGGTGGCCCTGACCCGCGCCATGACCGAGTCCGGCCAGCGCCTGGACTGGCAGGGCCTGGACCTGCCGGGCCCCTGCGTCGACAAACATTCCACCGGGGGCGTCGGCGACAAGGTCAGCCTGATCCTCGGGCCGCTGGTGGCGGCCTGCGGCGGCTACGTGCCGATGATTTCGGGCCGGGGGCTCGGCCATACCGGCGGCACGCTGGACAAGCTGGACGCCATTCCCGGCTATACCACCGCGCCGGATGTCGATCGCTTCCGCCAGACGGTCAAGGCCGCCGGCTGCGCCATCATCGGCCAGACCGCCGACCTGGCGCCGGCCGACAAGCGGCTCTATGCCATCCGTGACGTCACCGCGACGGTAGAATCCATCCCGCTGATCACGGCGTCCATTCTCTCCAAGAAGCTGGCCGCCGGTCTCCAGGGCCTGGTGATGGACGTAAAGACCGGCAACGGCGCCTTCGCCGCGACGGTGGAGGAGGCGCGGGCCTTGGCGGAGAGCATCGTCGCCGTCGCCGGCGGGGCGGGCCTGCCCACCACGGCGCTGATCACCGACATGAACCAGCCGCTGGGAAGCACCGCGGGCAATGCCCTGGAGGTCGCCGAATCGGTGGCCATGCTGAAGACCGGCCAGGGCGACGCGCGCCTGCGCGAACTGGTCATCGCGCTGGCAGCCGAGATGCTGGTGCTCGGCGGCTTGGCGCCGGAGGCCGCGGCGGCGGCTCAGCAAGCGGAGGCCGCGCTGACATCCGGCGCGGCGGCTGAACGCTTCGGCGCCATGGTGGCCGCCCTTGGCGGAGCGGCGGACTTCGTCGAACGCTCTGATGACTATCTTCCCAAGGCCCCGGTCCAGCGCCCGGTGGCGGCGGAGGCGGCCGGGCGCCTGACCGCCTGCGACACCCGCGCGGTCGGCCTGGCGGTGGTGGAACTGGGCGGCGGGCGGCGGCGGGTCGAAGACAGCATCGACTACGCGGTCGGTTTCAGCGACCTGCTGCCCCTGGGCAGCGCCGTACAGTCCGGCGATCCCCTGGCCGTGGTCCACGCTGCCACCGAAGAGGCCGCGGAGGCGGCAAGCCGGCGCTTGCAGGAAGCCTTCACCTTCGGTCAGACTGTCGAAGACGCCGGCGGGCCGGTGGTGCGGCAGCGCATCACCGCCGCGGATGTTTAAAAGCAGACGCTTAGAAGCGCACGAGAGGAAAGCCCCCCGCGTATGTTTGAGGCGACGGCAGCCCAGCAGCGCATGACACCGCGAGCCGAAGCGGCGCGCTTTGCTGCGCCTTCCGGCGGCCGGCTGACGGCGGAGATGGTGCAGGCCTTTGAACGCGACGGCTTTCTGGTGCTGGAGGACATGGTGCCTCAGGCAGACTGCGAAGCCCTGATCGCCCGCGCCGAGGCCATGGTAGAGGATTTCCAGCCGGCCAGCGTCGCTTCGATCTTTTCGACCCAGGGCCAGGTCCATGGCCGCGACCGCTACTTCCAGGACTCCGGCGACAAGGTCCGCTTCTTCTTTGAAGAGGAGGCCTTCGACGCCGCGGGCGCGCTGCGCCAGGCCAAGCGGCTGTCGATCAACAAGATCGGCCATGCCCAGCACGATCTCGATCCCGTCTTCGCCGCGTTTTCGCACCGCCGCGCTTTCGACAACACCGTCAAGGCGCTGGGCTGTGCCTGCCCCCTGGCGCTGCAGTCGATGTACATCTTCAAGCAGCCGCGCATTGGCGGCGAGGTCGGCTGGCATCAGGATTCGACCTTCCTCTATACCGAGCCCCTGAGCGTGCTCGGCCTATGGTTCTCGCTGGAAGACGCCACGCTGGAGAACGGCTGCCTCTGGGCGCTGCCGGGTGCCCACAAGGGTCCGCTGCGCCAGCGCTGGCGCCGCGTTGGTGAGCGTCTGGTGATGGAATCCCTGGACGAGACACTCTGGGACGAGGAGACGGCGGTGCCGCTGGAGGTGCGCCGGGGCGCCATGGTGGTGCTGCACGGCAAGCTGCCCCACGGCAGCCTGCCCAACCGCTCCGAGCGCTCGCGCCACGCCTATACCCTGCATGTGATCGACGGGGCCTGCGACTATCCGGCGGACAACTGGCTGCAGCGCAGCCCGGCGCTGCCGCTGCGCGGTCTCACCGCCGGCGGCGTGCAGGTGCCGCAATAGAGTTTATGGGGCCGGCGTTTCCGCGCCGCCCGCCTGCGCCGCCCGTCTGCGCCGCAGATTGCTTTTGGATTGGAGAAGAAGATGACTCTTTCTCGCAGCCTCCGGCAGTGCGTTTTCACCGCGGCTCTCATAGCCTCGGCCTTTCTGATCCCGGCCCTTCCCGCAGCCGCGGAACCGGTCACGGTCAGCCTCATGCACATCAACGATCTCGACCGCATCGAGGAATCCAAGGGCAAGGGCGGCATAGCCCGGGTCATGGCCCTGGTGCAGCAGGAACGCGCCCGCGCCGACACCGTGATCTTCACCCACGGCGGCGACACCATCTCGCCCTCGCTGCTGTCCTCCTTCGACAAGGGTGCCCACATGATCGACCTCTACAACGAGGCCGAACTGGACCTGCTGGTGATGGGCAACCACGAGTTCGACTTCGGTCCCGAGGTGGCCAAGCAGCGGGTAAGCGAAGCCCGCTTCACCGTGCTGGCCAGCAACAGCCGCGACAGCGACGGCGAGCCGCTGGACGGCACCGCCGCCACCTGGATGGCCGAAGCCGGGCCCTACAAGATCGGCTTCTTCGGCCTGACGACGCCGGAGACCGCGGACATCTCCAGCCCCGGCACGGTGACCTTCGAACCGCTGCTGCAGTCGGCCCGCGACTACTCCCAGCAACTGCGCGATGAGGGCGCGGACCTGGTGGTGGCCGTGGCCCACACCGGCGTCGAGGAGGATCTCATGCTGATGCGTGCCGACAGCGGCATCGACATTCTGATGTCCGGCCACGACCACCTGCTGGTGACCTACTACGACGGCCAGCGTGCCTTCATCGAGTCCGGATCGCAGGGCGAGCAACTCGTTGTGGTCGATGTGACCCTCAACACGGTGGAAAGCCGCGGGCAGCAACGTTTCGTCTGGGAGCCGGCCTTCCGTATCGTCGACAGCCGCAGTGTCGAGCCCGATGCGGCCATGGCGGCCAAGGTGCAGGTCTACCTCGACCGTTTGAGCGAGGAGCTGGACGTGCCCATCGGCACTGCGCTGACCGCCCTCGACAGCCGGCGCGCCTCCGTACGCGGCGGCGAGACGGCCATCGGCAACCTCATCACCGATGCCATGCGACAAGGCGTCGAGGCCGACGTGGCGCTCACCAACGGCGGCGGCATCCGCGGCGACAAGACCTACGACGCCGGCATCACCCTGACCCGCCGCGACATCCAGACCGAGCTGCCCTTCGGCAACAAGACCGTGAAGCTGGAGCTGACGGGCGCGCAGTTGATGCAGGCCCTGGAGCACGGCTTCAGCAAGGTGGAGGAGGGGGCCGGGCGCTTTCCCAGCGTCTCCGGCATGACCGTGACCTGGAGCCGTTCGGCCCCGGCGGGTCAGCGTGTGCGCTCCGTCACCGTCGGCGGCAAGCTTCTGGACCCGGAGGCGAGCTACACCCTGGCGACCAACGACTTCGTCGCGCGCGGCGGCGACGGCTATGCCGTCTTTACCGAGGCGGTGCCGCTGATCGACGGCATCTCCGCGCGTCTGATGGCGACCATGGTGATGGACTTCGTCGCCGCCACCGGCGAGGTCTCCCCCAAGGTGGAGGGCCGGGTGACGGCTGTCGACTAGAAAGCGGTGGATTGGAGGGGCGGCGACAAGCGCAGGCCGGTGCGAATCGAACGATGATCGAAACGCTCGCCTTCGATGCCGACGATACGCTCTGGCACAACGAGCACCTGTTTCAGGATACGCAGGAGAAGCTTGCGGAAATCGTCGGCCGCCACCGCCCGGGGGAGGACATCGCCGAAGCCCTCTATGCCGTGGAGATGCGCAACCTCGCGCTTTTCGGTTACGGCATCAAGGGCTTCACCCTCTCCATGGTGGAGGCGGCCATCGAGTTGACGCGCGGGCGCATCGCAGCGGACGAGATCCACGAGATCGTGCAGCTCGGTAAGACGATGATGACCGCGCCGGTCGACCTGCTGGAGGGTGTGGAGGCGGTGCTGGACGCTGTCTCCGGACGCTACCGCACGCTGCTCATCACCAAGGGCGACATGGTGGACCAGACCAGCAAGATCGAACGCTCCGGCCTCGCCGGTCACTTCGATCAGGTGGAGATCGTGCCGCGCAAGGACGCGGCGACCTATCGCCGGGTCTTCGACCGTCACGGCGTCGATGCGTTGCGCACCGTGATGGTCGGCAACTCCGTGCCGTCGGACGTGCTGCCGGTGCTGGAACTCGGCGGCTTCGCCGTCCACGTGCCCTATGCCATCCTCTGGGCTCACGAGGCCCATGATGCCGACCCCGTCAGCGAACGATTCCACCGCCTGGAACGGCTGGAGGACCTTCCGAGGCTCTTGCAGCGGCTCGGGGCCTCCGGGCGCTCTTCATAATCAATTCAGCTAAATCGACTACAACCGGAGATCTGGCCGCCGAACCACGGCCGTTTCCGAGAGCTTTGGGGGATTGGACATGCTGGCCGTGATGGGGGCCCTGGCCGAGGAAATCGACCTGCTGCGGGCCGAAATGACCGGGGTCAGCGAGGCCCGCCATGCCGATATCCCGGTGCTGAAGGGCGATTTCAAAGGCACCGAAATCGCGCTGGCGCGCTGCGGCATCGGCAAGGTGAACGCCGCCATCTGCACGCAGATGCTGGTCAACCTCTACGAGCCCGATGCCCTCGTGTTCAGCGGCGTCGCCGGCGGTCTGCTGCCCAATATGCGGGTCGGCGACCTGGTGATCGCCAGCCACCTCATCCAGTTCGACATCGACCTGACCGCTTTCGGCCGGCGCCACGGCGAACTGCCCGATGGGGACCGCATGATCCAGTCGGACCCCGACCTGATCGAAAAGACCGCCGATGCCTTCGACGGTGCGTTCAATGGCGCAGAGGCCGAGCCCAACCTGATGATCGGCACCGTCGTCTCCGGTGACCGCTTCGTCGAGGATTCCAAGACCCTGCGCTGGCTGCAGCGGGAGTTCGGCGCCCTGGCGACGGAGATGGAGGGCGCCGCCGTCGGCTACACCTGCCAGCTCAACAAGCTGCCTTTCGTCGTGGTGCGCGGCCTCTCCGACACCGCCAACGAAGCCGCGCCGGACGATTTCAAGGCCAACCTGGAAACCGTCTGCCGCAACTCCTACCGGCTCATGGACCGCCTCATCCCCGCCTTGGGATAAAGGCTCATTGGTCTAGGCCTTCTGTCGACAGCCAGTAGTCGTCACCGGCGAACCAGAGCCCGGCTGCATCTTTGGGGGGCGCCCCAAGGTGCAGGGCCTGAGTCGGTACGGTCTTGCCGTCGAGCGCCTCCAGCGCTTTTCCGAGGCGTCGGGCCTCCTCCGGACGCCGCGCCCCTACGCAGGGGAAGAAGCCGCAACGGCCGAGGGACCGCGCCGCGAAGCCGTCTGCGGTCTTGGTAGCGAGGAGGAAGAAGCCCCAGCCGTTCCCGCCGGTCAGGGGCAGCAGCAGGCGGCCGCCGGGGACGAGCCGGTCGAGCCAGGCACGCGCCGGATAGGTGGCGCCGGCGAAGGCGATGACCACATCAGCGGACGGCCCGCCGGTCACTTCCACGCCGTTCCCCGGGACGACGGAGGCCTGCGGCCAGAGGGCGAGGGCCGCCTTGGCGCGGCTGGCTAGCTCCGGATCCAACTCGACCGCTTCGACTTGGCCCTTGCGCCCGACGACCTCGGCCAGAACGGCGGTATAGTATCCGGTGCCCGCGCCCACCTGGACGACCCGCTCACCGGCCTTGAGGTCGAGCTGATCGAAGACGTAGGCCCAGAGCGAGGGCTGCCCGTTGTTCAGGTCGCGCGCCTCGTCGATGACCACCAGCACATCGTGGTAGAGCGCGCGGGGATCGGCATCGGGCGTCTCGAAGGCCGGCGCGCCGCGCCGGCGCGAGTAGATATGCCAGGGCCCGGCGCCGCAGAAGCGCTCCCGGGGCACCCGGGCGAAGGCCTCCACCACGGCGGCGTTGCGCGTGACCGGACTGACCGCGCGTAGGTCCTCCGCATACCACCGCCGCGCGGCTTCGATGTCATCCGTCATCCCTGGCTCCTTGTTGCGGTCCGGTCCCGGATCGTGAAGCATCTTCCCCTTCCGGCTGTCGACAATAGCATTGGCGGGCATCGGTTGCCGTGCTATGCGGCGGACATGCTTGCCAGCCTGCCTGATATCTCCTCCCTTACAATCCTTCTTCTCGGCGCCCTGACCGCGGGTTTCGTGACCGGATTTGCCGGCTTCGGCACCGGACTGGTGGCCTCGGGGTTCTGGTTCCATGTGCTGCCGGCGGCCACGGTGCCGCCTCTGGTGGTGATGGCCTCGGTGGCGGCGCAGCTCGTCAGCCTCATCGGCCTCAGGCCCCGCTTCGACTGGCCCCAGGCGGCGCCCTATCTGATCGGCGGCATCCTCGGCGTGCCGCTGGGCGTGATGGCCCTGGCGGCGGCCTCGCCGGACCTGCTGCGCACGGCGGTGGGCATCTTTCTGGTGCTCTATGCCCTGGTGCAGTTCTCCGGCCTCCTGCGCCTGCAGATCGGCGGCTGGGGCGGGCGCTCCTCCGATGCCGCGGTCGGCATCGGCGGCGGCATCATGGGCGGCTTCGCCGGCCTTTCCGGGCCGCTGCCGCTGATCTGGCTGCAGCTGCGCGGTGGACCTGCCACCGGCCAGCGCGCTGTCTACCAGCCCTTCAATCTCATCGTGCTGGCCACCGCCTCCGCCGGCATGGCCCTCGGCGGCCAGGTCGACACCGCGGTGCTGACGGCGCTCTTGTTCTCGGTGCCGGCCACGGTGGTGGGCGCCTGGACGGGCGCGCGGCTCTACCACAAGGCCAGCGAAAGCCTGTTCCGCCGCGTCGTGCTCTCGCTGCTGCTGCTCTCCGGCGTCATGCTGGTGCTGCAGAGTCTTGGGCGCAACGGCGTCTTTGGCTAGGCTGGTTGGCTAGGCAGTCAGAGGGAGAGCCATGCGGCACAACGGTGGATGTCACTGCGGGGCCATTGAGGTCACCTTCGAAAGCGCGATCGCGCCGGAGGCGATGGAGGTGCGGGCCTGCCAGTGCAGCTTCTGCCGCAAGCATGCGTCGCTGGCCGTCTCCGACCCTGCCGGCCATCTCCGCATCACCCTGCGCGACCCCACCGCCGTCCAGCGTTACCGCTTTGGGTTGTCCACTGCAGATTACTTCCTCTGCCGGCGCTGCGGGGTCTACGTGGCCGCGATCCTGGAGGAGGCGGGGCAACACTATGCCATCGTCATCGTCAACGCGCTGGAGGAGGCCGGGCGCTTCAGCCAGCCGCCGCTTGCCGCCGACTACTCCCACGAAGACGAAGCGGCCCGCCGCCGGCGCCGGCGGGAGCGCTGGACCCCGGCGGTGATCGAAGCGCCCTGAGGGGCCCCAAACGCCGGCATGCCGATCCCGACCCGGCTGACATCCACGATCTGCGGCGCAGGGACTGCCTGAAAGACGGCGCACAGCCATTGGGGCGTGTGGGCTGTCAACGCATGTGGGCGGCCCTCACCGCAACGTGATGGCGGCCGGCAGCGGGACGGGCTTGACCTCTGACTGCGTCCCCGGTTATAGAACGAACGTTCAAAAACGGAGGCTGCCGTGGCCCGGCCGCGCGAGTTCGACAAGGAAGAGGTGGTGGCGGCGGCCCTGGGGGTGTTCTGGCGCCAGGGCTATCAGGCCACCAGCGTGCAGGACCTGGTGGAGGCCACCGGCGTCAACCGCGGCTCCCTCTACGATACCTTCGGCGACAAGCACGGCCTCTTTCTGGAAGCGGTGGAGCACTACCGCCGCCGCTTCACCGGGCGTCGCCTGAGGCGCCTGGAAGAGCCGGGTCCGCTGCGCCCGAAGCTGGCCGCCTTCTTTGGCGACGTGGTCGAGTTTTCGGTCGGGGAAGGCCGGCTGCTCGGCTGCCTGATGACCAATGCCGCCATCGAGATGGCGCCGCACGACCGCGAGACGGCGCTGGCCGTCGCCGCCAACATGGGCAGCATGGAAAGCGCATTCCGCCGTGCCCTCACCGCCGCGCAGAAGAACGGGGAGCTTTCAGCCGACAAGTCGCCGCGCGACCTCGCGCGCTTCCTGACTGCAACCGCCAACGGCCTGCGCGTCATGGCCAAGGTGGCGCCGGAACGGGCGGCCTTGAAGAGCGTCGTACGCATCGCGCTGCAGGCGCTCGATTGATTTTTTGGGCCTGTTATTGAACGAACGTTCCAGAATTCCCATTGAATGAAGTGCACAAACCCCAATCAAGGAGACCCCTGAAAATGTTGAAGCCGCGCGAAGCCGCCCCCGAGATGTCCTTTCCCACCATCGACGGCGAAACCTGGACGCTGTCCGAGCGCAAGCCCCAGAGCCTGTCCATGGTCGTGGCCTACCGCGGCCTGCACTGCCCGGTCTGCCGCGGCTACCTGAAGGAGTTGAACGACCGGGTCGGCGAGTTTGCCGAGCGCGGGGTCGAGGTGGTGGCCGTCAGCAGCGACGGCGAGGAGCGGGCCCGCGCTGCCAAGACCGATTGGGAGTTGCCCGATCTCACCCTCGGCTATGACCTCGGCATCGAAGACGCACGGAAGATGGGGCTCTACATCTCCACCAGCCGCGGCAAGACCTCCATCGGCATCGAGGAGCCGGCGATGTTCAACGAGCCGGGCCTTTATCTGGTCAAGCCGGACGGTACACTCTACTCGGCCTTCATCCAGACCACGCCCTTCGCCCGCCCGAAGCTGGAAGAAGTGCTGAAAGCGGTCGACTTCATCAACGCCAACGACTATCCGGCCCGCGGCGAAGCCTGAGGGCGCGCCTGGGGATCAGCCGGTCGGAACCGGACGGGCTGTCACCCCCCTCCCGACCTCCCCCCATTAAGGGGGGAGGGGTTTTGTGACAAGCCTCAATGGATTTTCCCTCCCCCTTGATGGGGGAGGGGTAGGGTGGGGGTGAGCCACAAGCCCGCTGTGTACCCGCTTGCCCCTCCGCCTACTCCGCCGCGTACTTGGCGACCAGGGCGCGGGCTTCGGCCAGCAGGGCTTCGCCGTCCTTGCCCGCCTCGGCCATGGATGCCAGCCAGGTGTCGACCACCGGTGCGGTCGCGGCCTGCCAGCGGGCCAGCTCTTCGCCCTCGATCACATGGAAGCTGTCGCCCAGCTTGGCGGCGGCTTCGCGCCCCGGCGCCTCCGCCTCGTCCCAGAGCCGGCCGATCTTCTTGGCCAGCGGGATGCCGCTGTTGGCGTCGATGACCCGGCGCAGATCTTCGGGCAGGGATTCGTAACGGGCCTTGTTCATGGCGAAGAGGAAGACGGCGGTGTAGAGCCCGCGCTCGCCCCCCACCTCCGTATGGCTCTGGGTCAGCTCGTGCACCTTCAGGGGCAGGGTGACCTCGTAGGGCAGCATGGTGCCCTCCACCACGCCTTTCGACAGCGCCTCGGGCACGGCCGGAACCGGCATGCCCACCGGCGTCGCGCCCAATTCCTTCAGCGCGATGTTGGTCAGCCGTGTCGGCGCGCGCACCTTCAGCCCCTTCAGGTCCTCCAGGCTGCGCACCTCGGTGCCGCGGATGTGCAGGGTGCCCGGCGCATGGACGTGGACCATCAGCGGATGGACGTCGGCGAACTCGGCACGGGCGTGCTTCTCGTAGAAGGCCTGGGCGGCCTGGCTGGTGGCTTCCGCCGAGGCGGCCATGAACGGCAGTTCGAAGACCTCGATGGTGGGGAAGCGCCCCGCGGTATAGCCCGGCAGGGTCCAGACGATGTCCACCACGCCGTCGCGCACCTGATCGTAAAGCTGCGGCGGTTTGCCGCCCAGCTGCATGGCCGGATAGATCTCGATCTTGATGCGCCCGCCGGACTCGGCTTCCACTTTTTCCGCCCAGGGCGCGATGAAGTCCTTATGGGTGGTGGAGGGCGGCGGCAGGAAGTGGTGCAGCCGCAAGGTCACCTCCTGGGCCACAGCCGGACCTGCGGCAAACCCCAATCCGGCAATCATCGCCCCGGCAAGCCCTACAGCCAGCGCCCTGCGCCGGCCCCCAGTGGTCTTCTCCCCGGTCACCTTCTCCCCTGTCGTCTTCAGCATCTCACGTCCTCCCTTTCGGCCCCTTCGGCCCATCTTCTTCGCGCCACCGACGCGCCTGAAATGGCTTCTAGCCCGCAATGACTTCGGGGACGAATGACATAGAATGAGGCGCCGGGCAACGGAGTCCGCGGCATCTTGAGAGCACCCGCCGGTGGTGCGGCGGCCTCCGGTCAAAACATGGATGAGGACGGGGAGAGGCAATGAAGCTGCACAACTACTTTCGAAGCTCCACCTCCTACCGGGTGCGCATCGCGCTGGCACTGAAGGGCTTGGCCTACGACTACGTCGCCTACCATCTGCGCAAGGGCGAGCAGCGCGGGGCGGCCTACTTGGCGCTCAACCCCCAGGGTTTGGTGCCGACCCTGGAGACCGACGGCGGCGCGCTGCTGCCCCAGTCCCTGGCGATCGTCGAGTATCTGGACGAACTGCAGCCCGATCCGCCGCTGCTGCCAGCGACGCCGCTGGAGCGGGCGCGGGTGCGCAGCCTCGCCTATGCCGTCGCCTGCGACATCCATCCCGTGAACAACCTGCGCGTCCTGCAGTATCTGGTCGCCCCGCTGGGCCATGATGCCGCCGTCCAGGGCGAGTGGTTCCGGCACTGGGTGGCGGTGGAGTTCGCGGCGCTGGAGAAGCGTCTCTCGGAGGAACCCGAGACCGGACGCTTCTGTCATGGCGACCGCCCAGGCCTTGCCGACATCTGCCTGGTGCCCCAGGTTATCAACGGGAACCGTTTCGACTGCGACATGACGCCCTATCCGACCATCCGGCGTATTCACGAGGCCTGCATGGCGGTCCCGGCTTTTGCCGAAGCGGCGCCCGAACGCCAGCCGGACGCGGAGACCTGATTCTCTGCTGCCTATGCCCGGAGTCTCTTACGAATACACTGCCTTCACGGCACAGAATCCTAGTCATCCCTGGTGCCGGCAGCTTAGAATGCTCGCCCAATAACGAAATTCGGATAGATGGAGAGCGCCGCCGATGAAAGGTGACAAGCAGGTCATCGCGCACCTCAACAAGGTGCTGAAGAACGAACTGACTGCGATCAATCAGTACTTCCTGCACTCGCGGATGTTGAAGGACTGGGGCGTCACCCGGCTGGCCGAGCACGAGTACGAAGAATCCATCGACGAGATGAAGCACGCCGACAAGCTGATCGAGCGCATCCTGTTTCTCGAAGGGCTGCCGAACCTTCAGGATCTGAACAAACTGATGATTGGCGAGAACGTCAAAGAGATCCTGCAGTGCGACCTGAAGCTGGAAGAGTACGCCATTCCGGACCTGCGTGAGGCGATTGCCCACTGCGAAAGCGTCAGCGACTATGTGTCGCGCGAGATCTTCGTCGACATCCTCGAATCTGAGGAAGAGCACGTCGACTGGCTGGAGACCAATCTGGGCCTTATCGAGAAGATGGGCCTGGAGAACTTCGTCCAGCACCAAAGCGGCCACGACAGCGGTTCGTGAGCGGGGCCGCGGTCTTCGGGGCCCTGTGTTCGGGGCCATCTGAAAGGCTGACGCGGCGCCTACTTCGCCACTGACCCTTGAAGCCTCCGGCCATGGCCTCGTCCCCTGGCCGGGGTTTTTGCCTTGCTGAGCGGGAGAAGCTGGCCTTGAGGCGGGGGTTCGGCCGCAGGCGTGGTACGCGCCGCATTCCGGCTTCCGCTTCTACGCCGATTCACCAACCACTGAAGTACGGCGGCGAGTTGACCGTCCGGCAGGTTGCGCCAGAGGAACATCGCGAAGGCGCTACTCCGCCGCTACCCGGGCGGCGGTATGCACTTCGTCGACGATTTCCTGGGCGCAGGGGATGCAGGTGCCGCAGCAGGGGCCGTTGCCGAGCGCGGCATAGGCCTCGTGGGCGCAGCGGACGCCGCTTTCCGCAATTTCGCGGATCTCGGCATCGCGGTAACCGTTGCATATGCAGACGTACATAAGCTCCTCCGACGCCTGAGTATCGTGCGAATGATAATGATTGTCAATCGCGTTGATGAGAGTAAGATGCCTGCATTAACAGGGGATTGAGGGGGGAACGGAGGCCAGCGGCGATGGCCGCAAGACCCTGACTTTCCACAGTAATTGAGAATGAGATTCAGTCGCGATCACTGGCGGCGTGACGAACGCTCGGACAATCAAATCGGGCAATCAAAGCAGAAAGGGGAAACACAGATGAGACTCTCCGGAACACTGGCGGCGGCAGGCCTGGCGCTGATGCCGGCTGTCGCTCTGGCGGACGGCCATGCAGGTGCAAAGGTGGCGGTGCTGGAAACCTATGCGGATATCGCCCACGCAGGTTACGAGGATTCGCTGATCACCGCGCGGGACCTCCAAAAAGCGGTGGACGCTTTGATCGCCAATCCAACCGAGGGCAGCCTGGCCGCGGCGCGCGACGCCTGGATCGCCGCCCGGGTGCCCTACCAGCAGACCGAGGTTTTCCGCTTCGGCAACGCAGTGGTCGACGACTGGGAGGGCAAGGTGAACGCCTGGCCGCTCGACGAGGGCCTGATCGACTACGTGGACGGCGGTTTCTATGGCACCGAGTCCGACGAGAACCCGATCTTCACGGCCAACGTCATCGCCAACAAGACCCTCAAGGTGAACGGCGAGTCCGTCGATGCGTCGGTCATCACCAAGACCTTGATCGCAGACGTGCTGCACGAGGCCGAGGAGGTGGAGGCCAATGTGGGAACCGGCTATCACGCCATCGAGTTCCTGCTCTGGGGTCAGGATCTGAACGGCTCCGGCCCCGGCGCCGGCAACCGTCCGGCCAGCGACTTCAGCACCGCAAACTGCACCAACGGCAACTGCGACCGCCGCGCGGCCTACCTGAAGGTCGCGACCGACCTGCTGATCGACGACCTGGAGGAGATGGTGGCGCTTTGGGATGAGAACGGCCCCGCTCGCAAAGGCCTTGTGAGCGGCAACCCCGAGGCCGGGATCACCACCATGCTCACCGGCATGGGCTCGCTCTCCTATGGCGAACTGGCGGGCGAGCGCATCAAGCTGGGCCTTATGCTGCACGACCCGGAAGAGGAGCATGATTGCTTCAGCGACAACACGCATTACTCCCACTTCTACAACCAGATCGGCATCACCAACGTCTATCTCGGCACCTACAAGCGGGTCGACGGCAGCGTGGTGAGCGGCCCCAGCCTGTCGGACCTGGTGGCGGGCAAGGACTCTGCCGTCGATACGGAGATGAAGGAAAAGCTGGGGGCCGCCCGCACGGCCATGCAGGCCATGGTGGACCGCGCCAAGACCGTCGAAGCCTATGACCAGATGATCGGCGAGGGCAACGCCGAGGGCAACGCGGTCATCGAGACCGTGGTGCAGTCGCTGACCACCCAGACCAAATCGATCGAGCGGGCGGTTGCCACGCTCGGCCTGGGACAGATCGCTTTCGAGGGCTCCGACAGTCTCGACGATCCGCAGGCGGTGTTTCAGTAAGACAGAGGCGCAACGCACGTAGAGGCGGCCGCCACGAGACTGGGGCAGGGGCGGCGATCGGACAGCTCGCATCATGATCAGACCTTCCCTCTCCTTTCTCGCCTTGATCGCCATAATGAGCGGGCCGGCAGGTTCGCTTGCCGGCCCGACGCCCGAGGAGGCGGCGCGTATTGCGGATGTCATCCGACCGACTGCGGATTTCACCCGCGCCGAGCCTTTCGAGGCGCTGCCCGCGGGGGCGGCCACTTCGAAGAAGCGAAGTCTCGACACCAATTCCTTCTCACAGCATTCCGGAAACATGGACTTCGAGCGGCAGCTCGATTTCAAGCTCGGCAACGCGCTCTTCAAGCGACTCTGGGTCTCTTCGCCGGCCTCCACGGACTCGGCCGACGGTCTGGGACCGTTGTTCAACGCCCGCTCCTGCCAGCGCTGCCACCTGAAGGACGGGCGCGGGCACCCGCCGGTGGCGAACTGGCCGGATGACTCGGCTGTTTCCATGTTTCTGCGCCTCAGCATTCCGCCTGAGACCGAAGAACAGCGTGCGGATCTGGCTGCCAACCGCCGCAACGTCATCCCGGAGCCGACTTACGGTGGCCAGCTTCAGGACCTCGCCATCCAGGGCCACGCCGCCGAAGGCAAGATGCACATCGTCTACGAGGAAGAGCCGGTGACGCTGGCCGATGGAGAGGTCGTGAGCCTGCGGAGGCCGACCTACAGCATCACCAACCTGGGCTACGGGCCGCTGCATCCCGAGGTGATGATGTCGCCCCGGGTGGCCCCGCCGATGATCGGGCTCGGCCTGCTCGAGTCGATTGCCGAAGAGGACATCCTCTCCTGGGCCGACCCGGACGACGCCGACGGCGACGGCATCTCCGGCCGCGCCAACCGTGTCTGGGACAAGGAGGCCGGCGCGGTTGCCCTCGGGCGCTTCGGCTGGAAGGCGGGCGAGCCCACGATGCTGCAGCAAAGCACCCATGCCATCAACGGCGACATCGGGATTTCCGCGCCTTTGGCGCCGGCACCGGCCGGCGACTGCACGGCGGCGCAGAACCTTTGCCTGGACGCGCCGCATGGAGCCTCTGCCCGGCACGAGGGCTTCGAAGCGTCCAGCGAGATGCTGCGCCTCATCACGTTCTACAGCCAGAACCTGGCGGTGCCGGCACGCCGCAACCCCGAAGATCCCCAGGTCCTGGCTGGTAAGAAGGTCTTCTACGAGAGCGGCTGCATCGATTGTCACCGCCCGAAGTACGTGACCCAGCGCGAGGCGGTCGGGCGGGAGCAGTCGTTCCAGCTGATCTGGCCCTACACCGACCTGCTGCTGCACGACATGGGCGAGGGCCTGGCCGACAACCGGCCGGAAGGGCTTGCCAACGGGCGGGAGTGGCGCACGCCGCCGCTCTGGGGTATCGGGCTCACAGAAACGGTAAACGGCCACACGCAGTTCCTGCACGACGGCCGGGCGCGCAGCCTGCTGGAGGCGATTCTCTGGCACGGCGGTGAGGCTCAGGCGGCGCGGGACCGGGTGGTGGCGCTCGGCACGTCGGAGCGCGAGGCGCTTCTGGCATTCCTGAATTCGCTCTGAGGGGAAGGGATGAACCGGCAAATGAGTCCGTCCGTTCGAAGACTGTCGGCTTTAGCAACAGTGGGGTTGGCGGTCTCGTTCACGGCCCCGGCTGCTGCCGACGACTTTGCCGCGCTGAACGAGGTTGTCGTCGCCGACTATCTGCTGCCGCGCTACGAAGCCCTGGCCGACGCAGGCAGTGCCCTGGACGCGGCCCTGCGGCAAGGCTGCGGTGCGGGAACCCTCGGGGCTGATGCCAGCATCGCCGCCTATCACGAGATGGCGGATGCCTGGATGGCGGTTCAGCATCTGCGCCTGGGGCCCAGCGAGTTGTTTCTGCGCGCCGACCGCATACAGTTCTGGCCCGACAAGCGCGGCATTACCGGCCGCCATCTCAGCAGACTCGTGACCGAGGCCGATCCGGCCGCGCTGGAGCCGCAGCGCTTCGCCCAGGGCTCGGTTGCGGTGCAGGGCCTGCCGGCGCTCGAGCGCCTGTTCTTCGCGCCGCCGGAAGGTGCCGATCCCGCCTTCGCCTGCGACGTGGCGGTCGCCATCGGGGCCAATCTCAAGAGCATCGCCGGGGGAATGCTGGACGACTGGCGCGAGGGACCGACGCCCTATGCAGCTGTGATCAGGAGCGCGGCCGAGGGCAATGCCGCCTACATGGACGCCAAGGAGGCGAGCCTGCAGTTCGCCAAGGCGCTGCGTGCGGCTCTGGTGGCAACGACGGACCTCAAGCTCGACCGTCCGCTCAGCACAAGCGCCAAGGCTGTAAAGCCGCGGCGCGCGGAATCCTGGCGCAGCGCGCGTTCGCTGCGCAACATCAGGATCAACATCGAAAGCGCCGAAGCCCTCTACAGGGATGGCGGGCAGGCCGGCTTTGCTGCGCTTCTGCGCCGGCAAGCCGGCGGCGAAGAGGTCGACAAGAACATCGCGACCGCCTTTGCCCAGGCCCGCGCCCGGCTTGACGCCTTGCCGGACTCGCTGCAGGCGGCCCTGGATCAGCCCGAGGGCTGGCAACATCTCGATGACCTGCGCAGTCACCTGCGCGATCTTCTCGCGCTGCTGAGCGGGCCCTTCTCGCAGACCCTGGACCTGCCCCTGGGGTTCAACAGCTTTGACGGCGATTGATGGTGATGGCCATTGACCGGCGCAGTCTGCTGGCCGGGGCAGTCGCTGCTCCGCTGGCTTTGTCTGTGCGCCCAGCCCGGGGCGCGAGGCCGGTGCGCGTCTTCGTCAGCGCCTGCGGCGATGCGGCCGGGCGCTTTTCGGTCAAGGCGGTCGCTGCGGACGGCCGCCTGCTTTCCGACCTTCAGTTGCCCGGGCGCGGCCATGCCGCCGCGCGGCGGCCCGGACGCGACGAGGTTGTCGTTCTGGCGCGGCGCCCCGGGCGCTTTGCGCTGGTCATCGATCCCTTCGCCGGCGGCATCGTCCGGCAGATCGAAGCGGCCCCCGGGCGGCACTTCTATGGCCATGCCGTCTTCAGCCCGGACGGCCGCCGGCTGTTCGCGACCGAGAACGCCTACGCCGAAGGCCAGGGGGTAATCGGGGTGTACGATGCCGCCGCGGGCTACCGCCGCGAGGACGAACTGCCCTCCCACGGCGTCGGCCCCCATGAACTGGCGCTGCTGTCGGACGGGCGGCGTCTGGTGGTTGCCAACGGCGGGATCAGAACCCACCCCAACAGCGGGCGGCGCAAGCTGAACCTGGAAAGCATGCATCCGAACCTCGCCTACGTCGATGCCGGAAGCGGCGCTTTGCTGCAACGCCTGACGCTGCCCGGCGATCTGCACCGGCTGTCGATCCGCCACATGGCCGTGACCGCCGAGGACCAGGTGTGCCTGGCGCTGCAAAACGAGGGGCCGCGCGACCGCCTGGTGCCGCTGGTCGGCCTGCAGCGGGACAGCGCCCCGATCACTCTGGCGAAGGGGCCCGAGGGCGTTCTGCGGCGCATGCGCCACTATGCCGGCGGCGCGGCGCTGGATGATGAGGGCGGCGTGCTCGCCGTCTCCGCCCCGCGGGGCGGCCTGATCACCTTCTGGTCGTCGCAGGAGGGGGGCTTCCTCGGCAGCCTTGAGGTGCCGGACGGCTGCGGCCTCGCCGCAGCGGGCGGTGCCGGTCGCTTTGCCGTCTCAAGCGGCGCAGGGCGCTTGTTGATCTACGATGCGGTCAGCCGGCGGTCCGAGACCCTGCGGGACGACCGGCGCCATGGGCTGGCCTGGGACAACCATCTGCTGGCGTGCTGAAGCGGGAGGCCACGGGGAGGCCACGGGGAGGCCATGGGGCGGCCGTTCGGGCCGATTCGGGGCTGCTTTCCTTTGGGCCCCCGATCCTCGGGAGCCACGTCCTTCCCATCGGGGCTAAGTGCTGCTGCTTTCCCAGAGTGCAATGCAGAGGCCCGAGAACAGCACCGGGCCGCTGGGCGCCGCAGGGGCTGCGCCGCTGCTTTCCAGCGTCACCATCAGCGACTCCGATGTCTTCACCGCGTTCCAGGCGTCCTCATCCAGGGGCCGGCCGGCCCGATCGTCGCCGGCCAGTTGCAGCAGGGGACGGATCGTGCCGCTGCCGCGCTCCACGGCCCAGATCTGGAAGACTTCGGCATCCGGCCTTTCCAGCGGGCGAACCGGCTTTACCGAAAGCCGCCAGGGGCCCTTGTAGGCGGTCACGACCAGGGCGGGTTGCTCGGCCGCGTCCTCCAGCACCGCCACATAGCTCGGCAGCACCTGCTCGGGCGCCGTCGCGGCGATCTGCTGCTGCTGTTGCTGTGCTGGTTGCGAGAGGATGAACCCGGCATAGCCGCCGACCAGCACCACCAGCACCGCCGCCGCCGCGCCAAAGGGGCGCCAGAAGGCAAGGCTGTCCCAGAAACTGGAGCGTTCAGCCTCGGCCTGCGGATCGATCCTTTTGCGCAGGGCGCGGAACACGCGCTCCGGCGGTTGCCGGGGCGGGGTGTCTTCGGTGAGCGGCGTCAGCCGATCCTCCCAGGCCTCGACCTTGTTGCGCAGCGCCGGGCGCGTGCGCATCAGGGTCTCAAATCGCCGCCGCGCCGGGCCCTGCAGGGCGCCGACCACATACTGGCTGGCGAGCGCTTCCTGCAGCTCCGGGTCGTCGTACCTCATTGATCCAAACACTCCCTGACCTTGATCAGCCCGCGGCGGATCCAGGTCTTCACGGTGCCGACCGGGCGTCCAATCCGGTTCGCCACCTCCGTGGGTGTATAACCCTGGTGGTATGACAGCAGGATGCAGTCCCGCTGTTCTTCCGTCAGACCGGAGAGACAGCCCAGCACGCGCTGCATCTCCTGGCTTGTCTCGGCCTGGGCCGCTGGGTTCTCGCCGCTCATTCGCCGGTCCTTTTCAGGACTCCATTCCTCTTCGGCGGCGCGATAGTCAGCCTTGCGCAAAAGATCCAGCGCCTGGTTGCGAACAACGTTTATCATCCAGGTCATCGGCCGCCCCCGGCCCGGATTGTAGCTGTCGGCATAGCGCCAGATCTTCATGTAGGCCTCCTGCAGAGCCTCCTCCGCCCAGGCCTCACGTTTCAATATACGAAAGGCGATGCCGAAGAGTTTCGCAGAAGTGGCTTCATAAAGATCCGCAAAGGCTGATTGGTCGCCCAAGCTGCAACGCGAGAGCAGGAGACCCAGTCGTTCCGAGGACTCGAAGCTCGCCTTCGGCTTCATTACGTTTACCCTAAAATAAGCGGGCCGCTCCGGCTTGCGGTCCGGCTGCCAGTCCTTGAAGTATGGCTGGCCGGGCCAAAGAGATCGACCACCATGTGCGCCGCACCCCGAAGGATCCGGCGGCGGCGGTCGATTTCAACGCATGCTTGGGGATTGCTGTCGGCCAGAGTGCACCCATGACGCGGCGACGTCGGGCAGGATCATAACGGCCGATTCGCCTGTCGAACCAGCATCAATCCTGCAAAGCTGGGTTGCGGCGCGGTGCTTGGAGCGATTTGGGCTTGGAGCGATTTGGGCTTGGAGCGTTTCGGCCGCCGGACCTCTCGGCATATGCCCGTTCTGCTAGAAATACTTTACAGTCCACACTCGCTAATCATATTGATCAGACATACTGTTGAAACAAACTATCCGTAACGTAAAGCTCATTACTCTGTTACACTAAGTTAAGGTCTGACGAATATTTTTTGGGTATTCATTGGCGAATTTCGTGGCGTCAGCTATACCCGAAGCCTAGTGGCTTTGGCATATAATACGGTGCGATTCGTGGGGTTTACCTAAGCAGACCGGCAGCCTTCCGCGCCGGGCGATTTGGATCATGGGTGTCAGATGACCGGGCTTTCTTCAGCTGCACCTCAGGGGGCTTCGTCCTCGCGGCTGACCAGAACCCGACGGCGTGCCGCACGCCGTCGCCGCGGCCTCCTGCTTCCGATCCTCATGCTTGCTGTGCTCACGCTGATGGCGGTTGCCTTTGCGCTCTACTGGGGTGCGCGGGAGCTCAACGACAGCCAGGCGCAGGCGCAGGAGTCTCTCGTTTCGGCCAGCCTGGATGCCCGGCGCGAGGCCTTCCGCCATCTGGTGGTGGACTATGCCTGGTGGGACGAGGCGATCTACGTTCTCGATGTGGGGCTCGACGAGCGCTGGGCGCGGGAGGAACTGGGCGCCTATCTGCTGGAGGCCTTTGGTGTCACCGGCATCTGGGTTCTTGGGCCGCAGAACCAGACAAAAATCGCTTTCCTGGACGGCGAGCCGTCGCGGGTGGATCTGTTCGATCAGCTGCCGGCGACGGTAAACGGGCTGCTGGACGCGGCCCGCCTGGGCCGCAGCATAGAAGCGGTGCCGCCGGCTGGCTTCGTTGTCGTCGGCGGACGCCTGCACATGGTTGGTGCCAGCATCATCTCGCCCTTTGCCCAGGTGGGTGACCCGCCCAGTCCGGAAACCGCGTCCCTGCTGGTTTTCATGCGCCCGCTGGACCAGGATTTTTTCAGCGCGCCGAGCCTGGCGAGCTTTCTGAAGGATGCCGGCTTTGCCGAAGGCCCGGCGGCCGAAGGGTTCCTGGATCACGAGATCCTCGGGTTCGACGGCCGGCCGATCGGCTGCATCTACTGGCGTAACCAGAGGCCGGGCGATGATCTGCTCTGGGGCGTCGCGCCGCTGCTGTTGGGCGCGCTTCTGGTTTTGGTCTTTCTTCTGGTGCTGACGGTACGACGGGTCGAGGCAGTGGTGTCGCACGAGGGGCGGCTTTCAGCCTCGCTCGATCATGAACGCCAGCGGCGCGAGGACAAGTCGCGCTTCGTTTCCATGGTTTCGCACGAGCTGCGGACACCGCTGCAGGCTGTGGGCGCCGCCGCGGACGCCCTGGACCGCTATGGCGGCCGCATGGGGCCCGCCGAGATGCGCGAGGAGGTGGAGACCATCCGCCGCGGTGTCGATGCCTTGGCTGGGCTGGTTGACGATGTCCTGCTCATCGGGAAGGTCGGCGGCGAGGGCAAGGTGCAGTCGATCGATCTGGCCCATCTCTGCTCGGCGGTCTGGCGAGAAGTCTCGACGGCTCTCAAGGCGCACCAGGAACTGCGGCTTTCGGACCGGATCGGCGCGCCGATTGAAAGCGGCGCCCAGGTCATGCTCCACACGGTTCTGTCGAACCTGCTGCAGAATGCGGTGAAGTACGCGCCGGAGGCGGAGGCGGTCGAGGTCACGCTGTCCAAAGGGCAGGGGCGCTATGAGATTTCGGTCCGGGATTTCGGGCCGGGTGTCCCCCGCGAAGAGCGCGAGGCCGTGTTCGAGCCCTACTGGCGTGCCGATCGCGTGCTGGAAACCTCCGGCGCCGGTCTGGGGCTGTCGGTTGCGCGGGCAGCGGCCCGTTCGATCGGCGGCGATCTGACCATCGAATCCGATGGCCTGGAGCGGGGAAGCCGATTCGTTCTGCGCTGGCCGTCCTGACGGCGCATCGTCCTCGCTGCCGCCCTCGCCGCTTCTGACGTCCCCCAAACTTGCGTTCGTGCCGGCATCGCGCGTGCCATGCCGACCCTGTTGACCCCGTTCCCTGTTGACCCCGTCCCCTATTTCGCCCCCTCACCAGTCGCCCTGTATCCGCGCGCGACCAGCAAGTTGCAGGAAAGTAACGTCAAGTTAACACTGATGGTAAATTCATTTTCCCAAATGAATTACGAATGACACGTTATGGGTGCATACGCGTTCAAAGTGTGCTCCCTCATGACACCGCTTACCACGCCGCCTACTCCTAAACCCGCACAATTCTGGGATTTTTGGGCAAGCCAGGCTCCCTGGCAGGTGAATCGTAGTCGATTCGTCTACGAATCTACCGCCTTTGCTCACGTTTAGGTTGTCACAGCGAAGTGAGTTGACGTACTAGTACAAATAATCAGAAATACTTAGGCTTTACAGCTTGACCCTGGATTTGATCGTAGGTTGACCGCCAGGCTGGGCGTTGGATCGAATTTTTACCATCTTTACGAGAGATTTTCCTTTGTCGTCTGCGGTACCTATAGAATATAATCACTTCGGGGTCATGGAATCATCGAAATGTAGGGTGAAATGATGCTTGCTCACGAAACACCAGTCGGGAAGGCTAGGCAGGCGCATCCCGTCGACGTTCATGTCGGCGGCCGCGTGAGGCTTCGTCGCGTCTTTCTGGGATATTCACAAGAAAAGCTGGCCAATGCGCTCGGCCTGACATTCCAGCAGATTCAAAAGTATGAGCGCGGAGCCAACCGTATTTCAGCGAGCAAGCTCTATGAGCTGTCTCGCATCCTAAGCGTGCCGGTCACCTACTTCTTTGAAGGTGTGGAGTCCGACGGCGAGGCGGTGGCGAACGGCGCCGACGCTGCGGCCGGCGGGGCCGGGGCTATTCATTCCTCTGATCCGGATTTCACCAATCAGCGGGAAACTCTGCAGTTGATCAGCTCCTACTATCGGATTCCGGACTCCAAGGTCCGCGCCGAGGTGCTATCCTTGTTGAAGACCTTGGGCAGAACGTCCGAAGGCTGAGCGTTTTCGACAGATCCTAGGGAGGGCATGGGGGACCTCGCGCAAGCGGCAATGGGTTGCCTCCCGCGATCGCGGGTCGCCCGCCTCCGCAAGGTGGCGGCCTCCGACCTTCTTTCTGTGCGCTTAGGCTGGCGCACTGCCCTGGCCGGTCAAGGCGGCCGGCCTCCTCATCGCGGCTTGTGGGGTTCTTCTCTCACGACGGCTTGGCGGGATCGGTCATGACCGGCCTGCCGATCGATCAGGTCGATGCCCTCAGCAGGGTGAAGACGACTGAGGAGATCGGCGGCCTTCTTCAGGGTTTGGTTGAGGCGCTCGGTTTTGCGGCCTACTCCTACGTTCATGTCCGACCGCCGCTGGGCAAGCGCATCCGCTCCTTCGTCCCGGCCGATTCGCCGAACGGGCGCGTGGTGCACGAGTTTCTCGCCACCTTCCCGGATTCCTGGATTGGGCACTATCTGGCGCGCGGCTATGGCGATATCGATCCGACTTTCCTTGCCGCAACCGGCACCACGCTGCCGTTTGACTGGCTGACCCTGACCGCACGGGGCGACCTCAGCAGCGGTCAGCGCCGGCTGTTGAACGAGGCCGAGGATTTCGGCCTGGGCCTTGGGGCGACCGTACCCATCCACGGTCCGGACAGCGGACTGTCGACCCTCAATGTTACCGCCCGCCAGGCCCAGCCGGCCTTCGAGGGAACATATCGGCAGTCCCGCCATGACCTCGTCTGGATCGCCGCCCAGGTTCACGAGGCTTTTCTGCGGCTTTCACAGGACGCGCCGGAAACGCAGCGCGTGCGCCTTACCGACCGCGAACGCGACTGCCTTTTGTGGACGGCGCGCGGGAAGACCGCTTGGGAGGTCGGCCAGATCCTCTCTATCTCCGAAGAGACGGTACTGTTCCACCTGAAGAACGGCACCCGCAAGCTGGGCGTCTTCTCAAAGCATCATGCCGTCGTCAAAGCGGTCATGAGCGGATACATCATCCCCTAACCATCTGATTTCAATAAGGAAGCGTGCTGCGCGGGGGGCGTTGCCCCTCCCGGCAGCTTCCTGCTGCGGGTTTCTCCCCCCCATTTCTGGGGGGCTGCGGATCGCATCGCGGCGCGCTGAAATCACGGCGTATTCGGGGCCTTCGAAGCAAGGCCTGCCGGGATCCGAAACCAGGGGGGGACCGCGCCGTGATCGACGTTGTAACGCCGGATTTCTACAGCGCTTACGCCAAGGATCTGAGGGCGATGTTTCAACAGCGCTTCCGCGTTTTCAGGCAGCGGCTGGGCTGGGACGTTTCTTCCGAGGCGGGTGAGGAGCGCGACGGCTTCGACACGCTCTATCCGACCTACCTGCTTGCCAGCGACCAGGACGGCGCGCTCGTCGGCAGTTGGCGGTTCCTGCCGACGACCGGTCCCTACATGCTGCGCGATGTTTTCCCGGAGCTCCTGGAAGGCGAGAAGGCGCCTTATCATCCGCTGGTCTGGGAGGGCAGCCGCTTTGCGGTGGAGGGCCGCAGCACCCGCGGGCGCACCAGCAGCGAGCTGCTCTGCGCGGTGACCGAGACCTGCCTGGCGATGGGCATCCGCGAACTCATCACCGTCTACGACGCCAGGATGGAGCGCCTGCTGCCACGGCTGGGCTGTCCGCCGCGCCGGCAGTCTGAAGGCAGACGCATCGGCAAGGAAATCGCCTTCGCCGGCCGCTTTGACATGACCCATGCAACGCTGGCGAACCTGCGCGCGGTTGCCGGCATTCGCGGCTCGGTCATCCGCAACGCCTTCGCCCTGGAACAGCAGGCCGTCGCCTAGGCCGGGACGGGACCCGGGTGCGGAGCCAGACACTTTGATGAGAGACTTTTTTGGAGAGTGCAATGAGTAAGAATGAGATGCCGATTGAGCTGAGGCTCTGCGATCCTCTTCAGGATGCCGAGGCCATCAAGCGATGCCTCGATTACCTGAGGATCGAAGCCAAACGCACAGGGCTTTCCTTTGCCGCCCACCTGATCGGAGTCGCTGCGGAGGCCGTCGAGGACTCGATCGCGCTGACCGAGAAGTCGGTGGCTCAGGTGGAGCGCAAAGACGCCAAGCCGGTGCCCGACGTTTCCAACGTCCCATCGACGCAGCGCCACTAGACCGGCGCGGCTGCCGCTCCGCGCCCTGACTTCCCATGCGCCGCCCGTCCGGCGCTTTTCATCCGGCGTGTCGGTCACGCTCCGGAAAGCGGACCGCTCGTCCGCGGACTGGCTGGTGACGGCGTTTCACGCCCGGGTCCGGACCAACAGGAGATCTGCACCATGAGCCTTGTCGTCGATCGTTGCGAAGGGTTTGGAGATCTTGACCGCGGGTCCGCCGTTCCGGCCTTGAAGGGACTGCCGCTGCTGGGCCTCGCGCCGGCACTGCGCCGCGATCCGCTGCGCTTCTTCACGCGGGTGGCCGCGGACCATGGCGATGCGGTCTGGTTGCACCTGGGACCGGACCGGGTCCTGATGGTGAACGACCCAGCGATGATCCGTCACGTTCTGCAGGACAATCGCCCGAACTACGTGAAGAGCCGCTTCTACGACATGATGCGGCCGGTTCTGGGCGAAGGCATCTTTCTGGCCGAGGGCGATGACTGGCTGGGGCAGCGCAAGACCGCGCTGCGCAGCTTTCAGGGTTGCCAGCTGCGCCGCATGACCGCGGCGATGCAGGATGCGGTCGACGACATGCTGCAGCGCTGGCAACTGCCCGCGGCCCGGGGCGAGGCGCTCGACGTTGTGCCGGAGATGATGCGGCTGACCCTGGACATTCTGATGCGCACCCTGTTCTCCGTCCGGCTGGACGGTGACCACGAAGAGGTCTTTCAGGCCATGACCGTTGTGCTGCGCGACGCGGAGCGCCGCGTCTGGTCGCCGTTTCAGATGCCCCGCTGGCTGCCGACGGCGCGCAACCGGTCGGTGGCGAAGGCGCTCGCCGTCCTCGACCGCTTTGTCTACACCATGATCGCAGAGCGGCGTCGCGCCGGCGCAGAGGAACGCCGGGACAGCGAAGACGCAGGCGGCGATCTGTTGGACCTGCTTCTGGCCGCGCAGGGCCAGGACACCGACAGGAAACTGCGAGACCAGATCCTGTCGATGGTTCTCGCCGGTCACGAGACCACGGCCAATGCCTTGGCGTGGTGCTGGTACCTGCTGTCCCTGCACCCGGAATCCCTTCGCCGCGTCACGGCCGAGGCGGAGGCTCTGCCCGCGGGGCGCCCGCCGGCCTTCGCCGAGCTGGCCGGGCTGACCTATACGCGCTGCGTCTTCGACGAGGCCTTGCGGCTTTATCCTCCGCTCTGGACCTTCTCGCGCACGGCGCTTGCCGAAGACGAAATCGCCGGGCTGCCGGTTGCGGCCGGGACGAACGTCATGCTGAACGTGTTTGCCGTCCACCGCCGGCCGGAGCTTTGGGACAACCCGGAAGGCTTCGATCCGGCGCGCTTCGATCCCGAGACCGGCGACCCGCGCCGCCGCTTCGCATACTTTCCCTTCAGCGACGGACCGCGCAGCTGTCTTGGCGAGCGCTTTGCGGTTCTCGAATCCCTCATCGCCATCAGTTCGGTGGTGCGCCGCTTCGACCTGCACCTGCTTCCGGGGCAGGACGTCAGGCCGGAGCCGATGATCACGCTCAGGCCCCAGGGCCTCAAGATGCGGCCCTTTGCACGGACGGCTTAGGGTTATGCCCGCGCCCGTCTTGGTGATCCTGATCTATCTGATCGGGTTGGGTATCGTTTATCCGGCGCTGCCCTTCCAGGCCCTGGCCTTGGGAGCGAGCCCGCTTCAGGTGTCGATGATCCTGGTCACCGATACGGCCATGGTGCTGCTGCTGGCGCCGCTGTTCGGGCGCCTGAGCGACCGCTTCGGCCGACGCGGCGTGACCTGCCTGGCACTGGCGACCGCCCCCTTTGCCTATCTCCTGATGGCCTATGCCGACTCGCTGCTGATGCTCTTTGCGGCGCGGGCCCTCGCAGGCGTCAGCAACGCGGCGGTGCCGGTGATCCAGGCGCTCATGGCCGACAGCACCTGTCCGAAGCGCCGCGTGCACGGGATGGCCAACGTGAATTCCGCCTTCGCCCTCGCCTTTATCGTCGGGCCGCTGCTCAGCCGCAGCTGGCTGCTGGGGCCAGAGGGCGACGACTATCAGGCGGGCGCCCTGGGTGGCGCGGGCTTTGCCGTTTTGGCGGTTGTCCTGGCTGTCCTCCTGCTGCGGGAGGTCCGCCAGCCGGGGCAGGCCGGAGCCGCTGTCCGGTTCGCCAGCTCGCGGGCAGGCCTCCTGAAGGTTCCGCAGAGGCTGTTTCTGGCGCCTTTGCTGTTGGGGCCCATCGTGATCATGGCGCTTCTGGCCTTCGCCTATGCGGCGATGGAAGCGACGCTGGGCCTGTGGTCGGACCGGGTGCTCGCGTGGCGCGCATCCGACGTCGCCCTGGGGTTCATCTGCGCCGGCGTGGCCGCCCTGTTCAGTCTCTGGGTTCTGATTCCGCTGCTCTGCCGGCGCATCGGCGAGGAAGCCGTCGCCGCCGCTTCGTCCCTCGCCATGGTCTTCGGCTTGTTGCTCTTCGCCTTCTGGCCCGGCGACCTTGCGATTGCCTTTGCGATGATGCTTCTGGGCGCCGGCGTTGCGACGAGCCTTTCCTGCCTGCAGGCTCTTCTGTCCAAGGCGGCACCGGCTTCGGCGCAGGGGGCGGTGCTGGGCGTCAATCACGCCGTTCTCAGCATTGCGCGCATTCTGGGGCCGATCTGGGGCGGGTTTGCCCTCGGCAGTCTCGGGACAAGCTGGCCGCATCTCTCCGGCGCCGTTCTCGTTGTCAGTGCGCTGATCGCCTTGATCCTGCTGTACAGGCCGCGCGCGCAGCCCCAGGCACAGCTCCAGCCCCAACCCCAGCCTCAACCCCAGCCCCAGTCCCAACAACGTCAGACATCCCTGCTTTGAGAGGAGGCAAAGATGAACGTTGCCAGTTTCCTCGATGCCACTGCCACCCGAACGCCGGCGGCAACGGCCGTGGTCCACGACGGCAGGCGCTACAGCTACAGGCAGGTGGTGAGGGAGGCCAACAGGGTTGCCAACGGTCTGCAGGCCGAAGGCTTCGGCCCCGGCAGCCGCATCGCCCTTGCCTGCAACAACAGGCCCGGGTTTCTGGCCGCCTACTACGGCATCCTCAAGATCGGCGCGGTTGCCGTCGTGCTCAGCACGACGCTCAGAGAACGGGACATCCGCTTCCAGCTTGAAGACTCCGGTGCCGAGGCCCTGCTCTGCTTTGAGGGTTGCGGCGACCGGGCCTATGCCGATGAAGCCCTGCCGGCAGCCGATGCCGCGCCGCACTGCGCCAAGGTCTGGGTCATTCCCGCCCGTCCCGAGGCAGCCTCTACGGTGGCGGGCTATCCCGCCCTTGCCGATCTGACGGCCGGTCAGTCAGACCGCTGCGCCACGCGCAGCTACGCAGCTCAGGAGACGGCCGTCATCCTCTACACCTCCGGCTCGACGGGGCGTCCCAAGGGCGTCGAACTCACCCAGTCGAACCTCATCGAGATGGTGCGGATCAACCGCGGCCTCGCGGCGCCGGCGGCCACCGCCGTGCGGCTGGTTTCGACGCCGCTGTTCCACGTGATGGGCCAGATCTGCGGCATGAACCTGGCGGTTCTCAACGGCGAGACCATGGTGCTGGTAGAGCGCTTCGATCCCGCCCTGATCTGGCGCCTCATTGTCGAAGAGGCGGCGACCTACTTCGTCCATATGCCGATCTTCTACCGCTACCTGCTGGAGCGCGCTGATGCGGTGGACACTGCCGCGGTGCGGCGCAGCCTGCGCCTCTGTGCGACCGGTGGCGCGCCGCTGCAGGACGATCTCCGCACCGCCTTCCAGGCGCGCTTCGGTCTCCCCCTGGTTCCCGGCTACGGCCTGACCGAGGTGACGTCGATCGTGGCCTGGGGGGCGGATATGCCGCTGCCACGGGCAACCACTGTCGGGAAGGTGGTGCCCGGTGTCGAAGCGGTCGTCGCCGACGGGGCCGGCAGGGCGCTGGCGCCGGGTGAGGAGGGCGAGATTCTGGTGCGCGGGCCCGGGGTGATGAAGCGCTACCTCAATCTGCCTGACGTGACAGGGACCCGTCTCAGGCACGGCTGGTTCCACACCGGCGACATCGGACGCTTCGACGGCTTCGGCCGGCTCGACGTTCTCGGGCGCGTTGACGACAAGATCCTGCGCGGCGAGGAGCATATCTACCCGGCCGAGGTGGAAACGGCGCTCAAAGGCCATCCGGCGGTCCGCGAGGCGGCGGTCATCGGGATTCCCGACGACGTTCTGGGTCAGGAGGCGAAGACCTTTGTGGTGCTCAAGGAAGGCTGCGCCCTCAGCGGCGGCGACCTGCTCGGCTGGCTGGCACGGACGCTGCCCGACGGCAAGTGTCCGGGTCTGCTACAGTTTCAAGAGAGCCTGCCGCTGACCCCGACAGGCAAGGTCGCGCGCCACCTGTTGCGCTAGCGCTCCCGGCGGCTGGCCGGCGATGCTAACGGATTGTACACCATCGCTGGCTAGCCTGCGGTCCGTATACCACTTCCGTCCGTCCGCACCCGTCATCCAGACAGGGCATCATGGTAAACCGCAGCTTTACCGTCCGAGGGAAAGAGCGCCGCCGCGACCGCCGCCGGCGGCTTCAGCTTTCCGCAGAGATCGACGGCCATGCCGTCTCTCTGGTGGACATTTCCATTGCCGGCTTCGGGGCTGCGGTCGATGCAACGGACCGGGCAGCGCCAAAGCTGCCGCTCGGCCACCGCGGGCGGCTCGACATCTGGCTGTCGGATGGCCGGCGCATGCGCCTGGAGATAGAGATCGGGCGCGAGGTGGGCCCGGACGGCATGTTTGGCGGCCGCTTCCTCGATATCTCCGACGAGAACTTCCGGCTCATCGAAGCGATCCTGCTGGGCCGCGAGCATCTCGTCTAGAACGGATCCAGCAAGCCCGCTTCACTCTTACGGATGGAGCGGTGCGTTTTCCTCACACGGTTCTCGAAGAGGGGCATGACGGCCGGTCACGCTGTCTTTGACAGCGAGCCTGTCGAACCGGCTCAGTCGGTCTGCGCGACCTGGGTCGGGGCCGGTGCGGGCTTGCGCGAATAGAAGATGTGGAGGCCGATCTTGGGGCCCCGCACGAAGGCCTTGCGCCAGGACGGGCTCACATAGTCGGCGTGATACCAAAGCGCACCGCCAGTGTTGTCGCTGACACGGCCCCAGTAGACCTTGCTGGCCAGGCGCTCGCTCTCGGCCCAGGCGGTCATGTCGGTGACGAGATCCTCCTTGCCGTCGCAGTACCAGGAGAACTGGCACTTGTGCAGCACCTCGGCCGTGCCGTCGCGCACGACGTCGCAGACCGTCTCCGGGAAATTGCGGGAGGCGACGCGGTTCATCACCACATGGGCGACCGCCAGCTGGCCTTCCAGCGGCTCGCTGCGGGCCTCGAAGTAGATGTTCTGCGCCAGGCAGGTCAGCTCATCGCGCAGGTTGCCCGGGTCGGGCGTGTAGACGCTGGCGAGCTGCTCCTCCAGATCCAGCTGGCGGAGACCGACCTGGCGGATAAAGAAGAAGTCGGGGTCGATGTCCTTGACGTCGACGGGAATGAAGCTCTGGGCGGTCACCCGGGTCCAGGCGCTCTCTGTGCTGTCGCTGGTCGCCACATGGGCAAGCGCGGCGCCCGCGATCACACAGGCGATGGGTGCCGACACCGCAGAACAGACCGCCCCGGCGGAAAGACCGCGCAGGTTGAAGCCCAGCTTCGCCCCGGCTTTCACCCAGCCCCGGCGCGCGCGGGCAAGCCAGCGCTTCCGGTTGGGCCACCGAGGGGCCGATATGGCTTCACTGCGACTCATTGTCTGTCCTGTACCCTGTGAACGCGGCGCGGTCTGCGCTCTGTCGTGGTGGGGCGGGCGATGGTTTACCGAAGGCCGTGCTTCGGCCTCTCCCTTCCCTTGTACGCTTAACCGCTAGTAAAGGTTTACACAATCTTAACATCGCATATCAAGAACTTTCGCCAAAAGTTTGAGATAAATTTGCCACATTTTCTAGTAAAATTAACTATTAATGCCGAATATCTTTGAAAACAGCTTTGTATTGATGAGAAAGAAAATTTCGTTCTGAGTATTTTTATTTGGATAAGAAAACTTTTTCTCGATTTTCTGTGTTGGTATTCTGATATTGCTGAAAGGATAACTAAACAAACGCCTGGCGATTACATCACCTTTCGCCAGCGCAAAAGAGGACTCGCGGCGCAATCTACTGGCCGCCGGCCTGCCGGATCTTTCGCCCGGGCGAGGCGTTAACCATTGAATATTGGAGTCTGAAACAACCGTAGCGCCGCCCGGCGGGCCGGTGGGCCTCTGTGTCAACCGTAGGGCGCCCGGGAAGGGGGCGCAGGCGCAGGCATTGCTGGTTGACGGACGTGGTTAAGAAAGGGCGCGCCGGGCAGGCGTGCTGGACGATGGGGCGCTAAACGAGGGGGGCTCTAAACGAGGGGGTTGGGGCGCCGCGCCCAGGGAGCCTTGTGGATACCGCATTCGGTCTTGGCGCTGCCCTGCCAGCGCCCGCTGCGGGAAGCGCCCTCAGGGCCCCCGGAGGGGGCCGTGCAGGGCGCGCAGCCGATGGAGGCATAGCCCTGGTCTGTAAGCGGATGGGCCGGCAGGCCCCGCGACTCGAAGGCCCGGCGCAGCTCTGCGGAATCCCACTGCGCCAGGGGGTTAACCTTGATGCGGCCGGACTCGGCCTCGAAGACCGGGATCTGGCCGCGCAGGCCGCCCTGGAACCGCTTGCGGCCGTTGATCCAGGCACTGAAGCCGCTGAGGGCCCGCTCCAGCGGCAGCACCTTGCGCAGGCGGCAGCAGAGGTCCGGGTTGCGCCGCCACAGGGTGCCGTCCGCATCGGCGCGGGCAAGATCCTCGGTCGCCGGCGTCACCGAGCGCAGGTCTGTCAGTCCCAGCCGCTCCGCCAGGCGGTCGCGGTAGGCGAGGGTCTCCGGAAAGTGTTTCCCGGTCTCCAGGAAGATCACCGGGGTCGCGGGGTCGACCTGGGCGACGAGGTCCAGCAGCACAGCGGACTCCGCGCCGAAGGACGACACCACGGCGATGCGTCCGGGAAAGACATGCTTGATCGCCGCTTCCAGCACCGTCTCGCTGTCTACCTCGCTGGCGGCGGCGCCGTAGCGCAGCTCCAGAAGGCGGGCGCGCTCCTGCAGCCGCAGGGCCCGGTCCTGGTTGGCCGCGGGGCGAACCGTCAACGCCGATCTGCTCGTCCGTGAGGCCAGCACTCTTGCGACTCCCCGGTCCAGGCTCTTGCCCGAGCTCTGTGACTTGCGGCGCTACTCGGCAGCAACCGCGCGCGAAGATCGGAAGCCGGCGCCGAGCGCGCCGCTGGGCGCACGGCCGTCTGCAGTCGGCTGGTACCAGATCTGGATTTCCTCGATGGCGTCCTTCCAGGCCGCCGCGGTCTTCTCGTCCGCCACCGCGAAGCTGTCGAAGCCACAGCGCAGCATGAAGAAGAGCTGGTCGCGCAGCACATTGCCGACGGCCCGCAGTTCGCCCTTGAAGCCGTGGCGCTCCCGCAGCAGGCGCGCATAGGAATAGGCGCGTCCGTCGTTGAACTTCGGGAACTCCAGGGCGATGAGGTCGAAGTGCTTCAGGTCTCCAGCGATGTCTTCGGGCGGCTGGTCGCTGGCCAGACGCAGGCCCAGGCGGCCGTTGCGGCGCAGCAGCGCCGCGCGCTGATCGCGCCACTGATCCAGCGTGACGATCAGGTCCACCTCCAGAGAAGGGGTCTCCGTCGGCGCGGTTTGGCTGTCGTTTGCCGGCGCGTCGTCTGCCGGTTCGGACGTCTCGGGGAGGTCGGACCAGGGGTCGTCGGCGATCCGTCCGTCTTTAAGCAGCGGCATAGAGCTTCTCCTTGAACGGCGCGATGCCGACACGGGCGTATGTATCGTTGAACTTCTCGTTGTCCTGGCGCAGATCCAGGTAGGTCTCGACGATGTTGTCGACGGCATCGACCACCGCGTCGTAGGAGAACGCAGGGCCGACGATCTTGCCGACGGCGGCGTTTTCATCGGCGCTGCCGCCCAGGGTGATCTGGTAGAACTCCTCGCCCTTCTTGTCGACGCCCAGGATGCCGATGTGGCCGGCATGATGGTGGCCGCAGGCATTGATGCAGCCGGAGATCTTGATCTTCAGATCGCCGATCTCGTGCTGGCGGTTGAGGTCGCTGAAGCGCTGGGTGATGCGCTGGGCGACGGGAATGGAGCGGGCGTTGGCCAGGTTGCAGTAATCAAGCCCGGGGCAAGCGATGATATCGGAGACGAGACCGATGTTGGGCGTGCCCAGGCCGTGCTGGACCAGCATCTCCCAGACCTTGGCCAGATCGCTGAGCTTCACGTGCGGCAGCACCAGGTTCTGTTCGTGGGTGACGCGGATCTCATCGAAGCTGAACGCTTCCGCCAGGTCGGCCACGGCGTCCATCTGCGCGGCGCTGGCATCGCCGGGCGCCTCGCCCTCGGGCTTCAGCGAGATGGAGACGATGGCATAGCCGGGGACCTTGTGGGCGGAGACGTTGCTGCGCACCCAGCGGGCGAAGTCCCGATCCTCGAAGCGCCGCGCCTCGAAGCCGCGGTCACTCTCCGGCAGGTCCTCAAAGGCCGGCGGGGCGAAGTAGCTCTCGATGCGGGCGATCTCCTCGGCCGGCAGGGTGAGTGCGCCGTCTTTCAGATGCGCCCATTCCTCTTCGACCAGGCGGGTGAACGCCTCGGCGCCGGTCTGCTGCACCAGGATCTTGATGCGCGCCTTGTAGAGGTTGTCGCGCCGGCCGAGCTGGTTGTAGACCCGCAGGATGGCCTCCAGGTAGCTCAGCAGGTGGGCCTTGGGCAAGAACTCGCGGATGGTGGTGCCGATCACCGGGGTGCGGCCCTGGCCGCCGCCGACGATCACCTCGAAGCCGACCTTGCCGGCCGCGTTGCGGCGGACCTGCAGGCCGATGTCGTGGAAGCGCACAGCGGCGCGGTCGTTGGGCGCACCGGTGATGGCGATCTTGAACTTGCGCGGCAGGAACGAGAATTCCGGGTGCAGGGTCGACCACTGGCGGATGATCTCGCCGTAGATGCGCGGGTCCTCGATTTCGTCGGCGCTGGCGCCGGCGAAGTGGTCGGCGGTGACGTTGCGGATGCAGTTGCCGCTGGTCTGAATGGCGTGCATCTCGACCTCGGCCAACTCCTCCAGGATCTTCGGCACGTCTTCCAGCTTCGGCCAGTTGTACTGGATGTTCTGGCGCGTGGTGAAGTGGCCGTAGCCGCGGTCGTAGTCGCGCGCGACGCTGGCCAGCCTACGCATCTGGCGCGACGACAGCGTGCCGTAGGGCACGGCAACGCGCAGCATATAGGCGTGAAGCTGCAGGTAGAGCCCGTTCATCAGGCGCAGGGGCCGGAACTCTTCTTCGCTCAGTTCACCGGAGAGACGGCGTTCCACCTGTCCGCGGAACTGGGCGGTGCGCTGACGGACAAAGGCCAGATCGAATTCGTCGTAGCGGTACATCGTCTTGTGTTCCTCTCGCCCTAGGCTTCCGCCACCAAGGGGGCTTTACGATAGTCGGCGCGCACGGTCGGGCCGGCGGCACGGATGGTCTCCCGGGTGGACAGCGGCTGCAGGATGCCGTCCACCTCGGTGACCTCGACCAGATAGGGGCCGACGATCTTGCGTGCGGCCACGTCGGCCTCCGCACGCTTCAGCAAGTCGTCCTGGGCGGCGCTGTCGTTGCTGGTTACGGCTTGGTTCAGCCAGGCCGTCCACAGGCCGCTTTCGGTGAGATAGACGACATCGCCTTCGCGCAGGCGGTTGGCGGTGACGGCTTTCAGAGGCACAGGTTTCTGGGGCATCGCTGTGATCTCCGTCAGACGGCCAACGCTTCGGGCAAGCGCCGGGGGAGGGCGGTCAGTTCGGCCTCCAGGCCACGGTCTTCGCCGGTCATGGCCTTGCGGGCGACTTCGCCGATGATGATGAGCGCAGGTCCCGTGACCGCCGCCTGCCGCAGGCGCAGATCCAGGTCCTCCAGCCGCCCGGTGACGATGCGCTGGTCGTCGCGGGTGCCGTTCTCGATCACCGCGACGGGGGTCCCGGCGGAGAGCCCGTGTTCGATCAGGCGCTTCGCGACAACGCCGGCTGTCGAGACGCCCATGTAGACCGCCAAGGTCTGTTTGCCGCTGGCCAGGCTCGTCCAGTCCAGATCCGGCTCGCCGTCCCGCGCATGGCCGGTGATGAAGGTGACGGCCAGGGCCGTGCCCCGCAGGGTGAGCGGAATGCCCGCTGCCGCGGCGCAGCCCGCCGCCGCCGTTACGCCCGGGACGACCTCGACCGTGACCCCGCGGGCCTCCAGATAATCCATTTCCTCGCCGCCGCGCCCGAAGATGAAGGGGTCGCCGCCCTTCAGGCGCACCACCCGGTGTCCGGCCAGGGCGTGCTCGGCCATCAGGGCGTTGATCTCGTCCTGGCTCTTGCTGTGGTTGGCCTTGGCCTTGCCGACGTAGATCCGCTCCGCATCGCGGCGCGCATAGTCGACGATTTCCGGGCCGACCAGCTTGTCGTAGAGCACGACATCGGCTTCCTGCAGGCGGCGCAGGGCCTTGAAGGTCAGCAGGTCCGGGTCGCCCGGACCGGCGCCGACGATGGCGACCGAACCGGCCGGCGCGGCCTGCGACGCCGGGCCGTTGATCAGGCCCAGCATGGCCTCGCGGGCTGCGGTTTCGCGCCCGGCCAGTACTTCTTCGGCGACCGGTCCGGTAAAGAACCGCTCCCAGAAGCGCCGGCGGCCTGCGGGGGGAATGGTCGCGCCGACGGCGGCGCGGAAGGTTCCGGCAAAGCGCGCCAGGGCGCCGAGGCGGGCCGGCAGCATCGCTTCGATCCGGGCCCGCAGCTGGCGCGCCAGGATCGGCGCGTCGCCGCCGCTGGAGATACCGATCACCAGGGGGTCGCGGTCGATCACCGCCGGCATGATGAAACTGGAAAGGTCGGGCCGATCAACCACGTTGACGGCGACGCCGGCTTCGGCCGCCGCTGCGGCCACCGCCTCGTCCACGGCCGGCTTGCCGCTGGCGGAGATCACCAGGGCGCGTCCCCGGACGTCTTCGGTCCTGAACGGACGACACATCCATAGGACCCGGCTGTCGCGGGCCTGCTCGGCCATATCGGTGCTGAGGCGCGGCGCCACCAGGGTGACCTTGGCGTGCGCCTTCAGCAGCAGGCGCAGCTTGCGCAGCGCCAGTTCGCCGCCCCCCACCAACAGGGCGGAGCGGCTGGAAAGATCGTGGAAGGCCGGGAAATACCGCATGGGTCCTGCTTTCGTGCCGGTCGGGTCTCCGTTGCCGCGGCAGCATGCTGCGAAACGAAAATCCGATACAAGTCAGTGTGTTAGAGTGCCGTACCCAGTTTGCAATCGGCCAGTGGCGGTCGGTGCTAGGCATGCCCGGGCCAATTTCACAAAAAACGTAGGGTGATCATTTTCAATTGTCCATAGGAAAATGTATAAATTGGGTATTACACTAACTAATAGTGTGCATTAGATGATACGGAGCTTCCCGGATGACAGGGGGCCGCCGCCTGCGTATCAATGCGCTGGAGGGGGGCCGTCACCGCGGCCGCAGGAAAGCAATCAGCCGTCTCGAGGGAGCGGCCGTCTCGAGGGAGTGATTGAATGATCCGTGGGTTGTCTGCCGGGCGTTTGGCGGCGCCGTTGCTTTGCGTCGTGGCGATGGGTCTTCTGGGTGCCTGCAGCGCCATGCCGTTTCAGGTTTCCGGTTCGGACGAGGCCGTGGAGTCCGCTCGGGCGGAAAGCGCCGGCCTGCTGCCGCGGTTGCGGCCCTATGCCTTCGGCCTTTGCTACAGCCCGGCGGTGAACGAGGATTCGGAAGTCGACGACGAAGCGGCCTACATCTGCGACGGCGGGCGCCTGGTGCGCAAGAACGAGGACGTTTTCTGGAACGGCTGTTCGCTGACCCAACCCAACCGGGTCAATTTCGTCTGCTTCCCGCCGGACAAGGCCAAGCGGCCGACAGCCTCCCAACCCCAATAACCGGGCCGAAAAGGTCTGTCCTGCCTCAGACCGGCAGCCCGTGCCGGGCGAGAGCTGCCAGGCTGTCGGCGCGCTGGCTGACCACCGCTCGGTCCCCTTCCAGGCGCAGAACCGGGCAGGGGAGGGTTTCCAGCCAGGTTTCGTGCATTTCGCGGCTCCGCCCTTCCGGGGGGCCGATTTCGTACTCGGCGGCCCACTCAAGAAAAGCGATGCTGGCGTCATGGCGGTCGCCGCCGGGTTCGATCCGGTTGCCGTAGCGCTCGACCTCCCGCCGGCGCAGGCGTTCCAGGCGCACCCCGGTGGGCACTGAGAGGAAAATCACCAGGTCGAACTGTGGGATGAGCGGCGCGCCCCAATGGCCGATGGAGCCGGAAAGCACCCATGATCCGGCCTCGGCGAAGGCCCTGTTCAACAGGCGCAGACGCTCCTCGACCGGTCGTTTCAGCGTGTAGGGCGGATCGCCTGGCTGCCAGTAGAATTCATCGGTATCGAAGCGGGCCACCCCCAGATGCTCTGAGAGCGCATGGCCCAGGGTCGAGGTGCCGCTGCCGGAAGCGCCGGTGATGTGCAATCGGATCATCGCTCAGGAGTCGAGCCGGGCCCATTCGTCGAGGACGCCGGGGTCGCTCTCGGCGGCCGCATGTCTGCTGCGCAGGCGCGCGACGGCTTCCTGCGGCAACAGGCAGAGCAGGGCCCAGACCGCCGCGCCGCGTACCAGCGCGGAAGGGTCATTCAGCAGGGCCTCGATTGCTTTTGCTGGTGCCTTGTTCCCGGCGTTGCCAAGGGCGATCAGCACATTGCGCAGGAAGCGGTCGCGCCCGATGCGCTTGATGGGCGAGCCGGCAAAGAGCCTGCGAAAGCCGGCGTCGTCGAGGTCGAGAAAGTCGGCCAGCCGCGGCGCGGTGAGTTCGGCACGGGGCAGGAAGGCGGCCTCGCGGGTCGGCTGCGCGAACTTGTTCCAGGGGCAGACGGCAAGGCAGTCGTCGCAGCCGTAGATGCGGTTGCCCATGGCCTTGCGGAACTCCAGCGGGATCGGCCCCTTGTGTTCGATGGTGAGGTAAGAGATGCAGCGCCGCGCGTCGAGTTTGTAGGGGGCCGGGAAGGCGTCGGTAGGGCAGATGTCGAGACAGTTGCGGCAGCTTCCGCAGTGATCGCTTTCCGCCCTGTCGGCTTCGACTTCCAGATCGGTGTAGACCTCGCCGAGAAACAGCCAGGAGCCCAGCGCGCGCGACACGAGGTTGCTGTGTTTGCCCTGCCAGCCGAGGCCGCCGGCCTGCGCCAGGTGTTTTTCCATCACCGGCGCGGTGTCGACGAAGACCTTCACTCCGGCCGCCAGATCCTCATGCATCCAGCGCGCCAGGGCCTTCAGACGCTTCTTCATCAGGTCGTGATAGTCGGCGTTGCGGGCGTAGACGGAGATTGCCGCACGCTGCGGTTCGTCCAGCAGCGCCAGGGGGTCTTCGGCGGGGCCGTAGTTCTGGCCCAGAACGACGACGCTGCGCGCTTCCGGCCAGAGCGCCTTCGGGTTGGCGCGGCGTTCCGCATTGCGGGCCAGCCAGTCCATCTCACCGTGATAGCCCGCCGCCAGGAACTCCTTCAGCGCGGCGGCTGCGTCGGGGGCGACCTCCGCCCTGGCAAAGCCCACGGCGTCGAACCCCAGCGCCAGGGCCCGCTCCCGGATTGCCGCCTTTTTAGAGGGCAGGGAGGTCTCCCGCGTCCTGTTGCCCGGTAAACGCTGCGATGAAATCGTCAAGCCGCTGGTCCTCGATTGCCTGGCGCAGGCCGGCCATGAGTTCCTGATAATAGGCCAGATTGTGGCGGGTCAGCAGGATCGGGCCAAGCATCTCCTTCGCCTTGAAGAGATGGTGCAGATAGGCGCGGGAGTAGTTGGTGCAGGTCGGGCAGGGGCAGTCCGGATCCAGCGGGCGGGCATCGTCCTGATGGCGCGCGTTGCGGATGTTCACGCTGCCGCGGCGGGTGAAGGCCTGGCCGGTGCGCCCCGATCGGGTCGGCAGCACGCAGTCGAATATATCGATGCCGCGGGCGACGGCGCCGACGATGTCCGCCGGCTTGCCGACGCCCATGAGATAGCGCGGATGGGTTGCCGGCATATGCGGGACCGTGGCGTCCAGCACCTCGAACATCACCGCCTGTCCCTCGCCGACGGCCAGCCCGCCGACCGCATAGCCGTCGAAACCGATCTCGATCAGCGCCTCGGCGGAGGCACGCCGCAGCGCCGGATAGACACCGCCCTGGACGATGCCGAAGAGCCCATAGCCCGGCCGCACGGTAAAGGCCTTGTGGCAGCGGGCCGCCCAGCGCATGGAACGCTCCATGGACTCGCGCGCTTCCGCCTCCGTCGCCGGGTAAGGCGTGCACTCGTCGAGCACCATGGTGATGTTGGCGTCGAGAAGCTCCTGGATTTCCACCGCCCGCTCCGGCGTCAGGGCGTGGCGCTCGCCATCCAGGTGGGAGCGGAAGGTGACGCCCTCCTCGGTGATCTTGCGCAGTTCCTGCAGCGACATCACCTGGTAGCCGCCGGAATCCGTCAGGATCGGCCGCGGCCAGTTCATGAAACGATGCAGGCCGCCCAGGCGCGCAACCCGCTCCGCCCCTGGGCGCAGCATCAGGTGGTAGGTGTTGGCGAGCAGGATCTCGGCCCCGCTTTCGCGCACCTGGTCAGGAGTCAGTCCCTTCACGGTGGCGGCGGTGCCGACGGTCATGAAGGCGGGCGTATTGATCGTCCCGTGCGCCGTCTCAAGCTGCCCGCGGCGGGCCTTGCCGTCGACGGCACTGACCGCAAAGCGGAGGCCGTGGGCGCCGGCAGCGGTTTGTTCGGCCCTGTTCACCGGGCGCCCTCCGGCTCCAGCAGGCAGGCATCGCCGTAGGAGTAGAAGCGGTACTGCTCAGCGACGGCGTGGGCGTAGGCGGCCTCCATGCGCGCCTTGCCGGCAAAAGCGCAGACCAGCATGAAAAGGGTCGACCGCGGCAGGTGGAAGTTGGTCAGCAGCAGGTCCACGGCCTTGAAGCGGTGGCCCGGCAGGATGAAAAGATCGGTGTCGCCGACGAAGGGCGTGACCGTGCCGTCGTCCGCGGCAACGCTCTCCAGCAGGCGCAGCGCGGTGGTGCCGACCGCGACGATGCGCCCGCCAGCGGCCCGGACAGCATTGATCCTGTCCGCGGCGTCGCGGGTGATTTCGCCGGTCTCGCTGTGCATCCGGTGGGCGGCGGGGTCGTCTGTCTTCACCGGCAGGAAGGTGCCGGCGCCGACATGCAGGGTGACCGCCACCCGGTCGATCCCGGCCCCTTCGAGTGCGGCCAGCAGGCTCTCGGTGAAGTGCAGGCCGGCGGTGGGCGCGGCGACGGCGCCGGCCCGTTCCGCGAAGACCGTCTGGTAGTCCTCCCGGTCCTGCGGATCGCCCCCGGAGTCGCGCTTGATGTAGGGCGGCAGCGGCATGATCCCGTGGCGGTCCAACGCGGCCAGCAGGTCGCTGCCCGCTTCGTCGAAGACCAGGGTGACTTCGCCGCCCTCGCCCTTTTCGGCGACCGCGGCGCCGAAGTCCTCGGCGAAAACGATCCGGTCGCCGGCAGAGAGCTTACGCGCCGGGCGCGCAAAAGCCTTCCAGGTCCTGGCCGAGGTGCCGGCGTCCACCGCCTTGTGCAGGGTGACCTCGATGCCGCTGCTGCCCCTTGTGCCGGTCAGCCGCGCCGGGATCACCTTGGTGTCGTTGATGACCAGCAGGTCGCCGGGGCGCAACAGGCGGGGCAGGTCGGCGATGGTCCGGTCCGCCAGAACCGGCCCCACATGCAGCAGGCGCGCGGTCTCGCGCGGCTCGATCGGATGCTGGGCGATCAGCGCGCGCGGCAGGTCGAAATCGAAGTCGTCGGTGCGCATGGCGGTTTCTGGGCGAAGGCCGGATCTGGGAGGTGTTCGGTTCAGGGCGAAAGCCGGGACGGTTGTCGTATCACCCGCGCGGGGACAGGCCAAGCACCCCGGTGAACTCCCCGGCTGGTTCCCAGGAGAGGCACCGCTGAAGAACCGGCGGCCGGTCAAACCGCCAGTCTGCGGTCGTAGCGCAGGCCGACGCTGACCCGCGGCGTCTCGAAGCGGTCGACGAAGTGAAAGGGGCGGTCGGTTCTGCCATAGAGCCCTGGTCCGCGCATCAGCACCAGCCAGCCGGGCGGCGCCGCCACCGCCCGGGCCTCCGCCCCGCTGCGGTCGCGGCAGACCGCAAAGCGGCAGCGTCCGCTCAGGGTGATGACGGAGATGAGGCCGCGGTAGGCGATATGGTCGCGGTGGGGCGTGATCCCGCCGGAGCCTTTGGGGTAGCGCTGGACGATGAGATCGTTGACGGCAAAGCCTTCCGTCAGGGGCGGCGGCGTCAACAGTGCCAGGGCATCGGTGAAGGCGGCGTCCAGCGCCGCAGCGCAGGCGGCAAGAGCGCCGTCATCGGGAACCGCGCAGCTCACTTCGCAGTCCTGCCAGACGCGCTTGTCGCCTTCTCCGATCACCGGTCGTGCCGGGCGGTAGCGCAGGCTTTGAGAGTCCGCGATCAAGGCTTCGATGGCCTCTGGCCCCAGCAGCGGGAGCGAAACGGCATCGGCCTGCGGCAGCGCGGCGATCGCTTCTGCAAGGGCTCTGCGGCCGCTTTGGAAACGCTCGAAGACGGCGGTGCGACTCACTGTTCGCCCGAGGCGCTCGTCGGGGCCTTGGTTTCGGGTGAGGGAATGAGCAGCACCGGCGTGGCCGGCTGCGGCCCGCCGGCGGTTTCCAGCGGCGGCCGCAGGTAGAGGTTGTCCGCAACGGTGGGGACCTGCGGCACGGCCCCGGCGATGGTTGCCGTTTCCGGCATCGGCGGAACCGCTCCGCGCGCAATCGCATCGCCACGACCGCCGGCGTAATCGTCTGCGCGATACGTGGCCAGCCCCTTGCTGTCGATGACGAAGACGACCTCACCGGCGGGGCCGGAGGCGGCCACTGGCGCGGCGGCACGAGGGGTCTGCAGGGCTTCAGGGGCGGCTGTCGCCGATCCGAAGGTTCGGGAGTAGACGTCGCGATAGGGAGAGCCCTGGGCAGAGGACGCATAGGTGGGTGAAAAGTAGCCGCCGTCCTGGGCTGCGGCGGGGACCGGCCAGAGCGCAGAAAGACCAAGCAGGCTCAAGGCCGCTGTCATCGTCGGAAGTCGTGCCACCGCCATCGTTCCTTCCCCCGAAGGCACTGCAGTCAACAGCCGCCATAGTGGCGCTGCAGTGGCCTTGGCGTCCAGAGACAATGCATCCGCAGAAGCCGTTTCACGGCGCCGATGCCGCCGGCTTATCGGCCCGCTTCGCCCGCCAGACGCTGGCCGTCGCGCCAGGCCCAGGGCGCGACGAACTCGCCTTTCCAGAGGCCGCGCCGGGCTTCCTCCGCGCCGTGCTGAATCGGACCGAAGAGCGCCCCATAGCGCTCTGCGGGATCGTCATCAGGCCGGACCAGAGCCCAGCCGGTGTAGATCATGCCCTCCGAGAGGTCGTATCCCGCCGCGGTGCAGCGCGCCAGCGGTACATCGGCGGATGCGGCGCGGCCTTTCAGCCGCCGGCATTCGACCTCGACACCGGCGGTCAGATCCATAAGGGCCGCCTGCGCAAGCAATCCACAGTCATAGAAGCGCTCTTTGCGGGTGCAGCGCTGCGCCAGCTCGGGCGCATCGACCCCGGCCAGATCGTAGTTCTGCCCGGCAACGGAGAGCGAGTCGCCATCGATGATCTCGGCCGTGCCGCGCACCGGCGAACCGCTCTCGGACCGGGCGCTCTGCTGAGACCAGGCCACAGCAAGGGCGGCCAGGACGAAAAGGCCCGTCCCGGCTGCAGCCGGGGCACGCCGACGCCCGTTACTTGACCCGCCGAAAGACCTCTCAGCAGGCCCCTCAGCAGGAAGGACCGCAGCGATGCTCGCCGATTGTCTTGACCAATGCATAGATCTGCCGCCGGACCGTGGCATCCTCAATTCGGCTGTAGGCTTGGACGAGACGAAGCATATCACGCTGGGTCATCAGGTCGGACACACGTTCCGGTGACTCGATGTCGGTCTGGCCGGCGGCGGGCGGCTGTCCGGGCGCTTCTCTGGCGGAGAGCTCCTGGAAGAAATACTGAACCGGGACCTGCAGAACCTGGGACAGGCGGTAAAGGCGGCTGGCGACGATACGGTTGGTGCCGCGCTCGTATTTCTGAATCTGCTGAAATGTAATACCCAAAGAGTTCGCCAGGCTGCTCTGGCTGAGGCCAAGGGCCAGGCGCCGGAGCCGCAACCTGGAACCTATGGAGACGTCGACGGGGTCGGGCTTTGCGGGAGTAATCGTGGGAGTCTCAGACACGCTGTCATTTCTCTCATTCTGAATGACCCCGCGGCGATGGGTTGGTGATTCGGAGTTTTGTCTCAAAGGGTGACCGCGCAGACTTACTGCGCAAGCTTCTCGCGGATCAAGTGATCGATTTGTTCATGCAGACGTATTCATTTGTTCATGAACAACACTGGGTTGAACGACCGGCCCGGCACGCGCGAAAGAAACGCCGCGAACATCGCAGGTCAAAACGTGCAGAGGCATCGTAAACCAGCGCGTGCAGCCTTCTCCGCGCTGCAGCGTCTAGGCAGGCGAACGGGCGCGGATGCGGCTCGACAGAAGAATCAATTCCTCTATGCGAGGCCCGGTCGGTTTGGCTCAGGTGCTGGGCTTGCGCAGGGCTGCGCCCTCGGCCGCTGTCTCTGCGCCGCCGGAGCGGCTGGCAGCGCCGTCCACCGAAGCGGTATCGGTCGGTGCGGGCTGCCGCGCCGCGCAGCAGTTCACGTAGAGCTCGCTCAGGGCGCTCAACATCTTGCCCACCTCGGGGCTGGATACCGAGTAGAGCACCGTTTGCGCGTTGCGGCGGGTCTTCACCAGGTTGTCCCGGCGAAGCTTGGCCAGATGTTGGGACAGGGCGGATTGACTGAGCCCAACCAGCCGGCAAAGCTCGGTCACGGAGTGTTCGCGTTCGGACAGGTGGCAGAGGATTACCAGGCGCCGCTCATTGCCCATGGCTTTGAGCAGGCGGCTCGCCCGTCCGGCGGTCAGAAGAAGTGGTCCGTATGGCATATTAGGAAACGTTGTTCGGGGGTGGGGCAGGTCAAGCGCAAGCCGCGAACTTTTTTTGTTCCCAATTATCCGAAAGGCGGTGAGGTTTTCCGAAGTCTTGCGGAACGGCGGGATTTCTGGGGGAATGGCGCCGATTCGCCGTGGAGGACCTCTATTTTACTAACAACGGATGTAGAAATGAAAGATGTCTGAGATGTCGAAAACCGTGCTCGACGCTACCGGGCTGCGCTGCCCGCTGCCCGTCCTGCGGGCCCGAAAGGCGATGAAATCGGTCGAAGCCGGCGCGGTCCTGGAAGTCATCGCCACGGATCCGGGCGCGGTCGCGGATTTCCAGGCTTTTTGCCAGACCACGGGCGATGAACTGCTGTCCTGGGACGAGGCGGAGGGCCGCTTTACCTTCCAGATCAGGAAAGCCGGCTAGAAGCGGCGGGGCCGCGCCGGGACCGTTCCCGACAGCCCCGGCCTGCCGGGCCCACTCTCATGGGCCTTGTTTCCTCCTGCGCCTTGCTTCTGCCGGCCTTACTCTCCGGGGGCCGGCTGTGCGGGGCCCGCCACCTTCGGGCCGGACGCGGCCTTGCGCCCTTCCAGCGCGCCGACCAGCAGCGCCATCATCGGCGGGATGATCAGCAGCGTCAGCATGGCGGAGAGGGAGAGGCCGCCGACCACCACCGACCCCAGGCCGCGATAGAGCTCCGAGCCGGCGCCGGGGAACAGCACCAGCGGCAGCATCCCGAAGACCGACGTCAGGGTCGACATGAAGATCGGCCGGATGCGGTTGCGCGTCGCCTCGACGATCGCCGCGCCGGCGGCCAGGCCCTCTTCGCGCAGGTGATAGAGCGTCTGATGCACCAGCAGGATGGCGTTGTTCACCACGATGCCGATCAAAATGACGAAACCGAGCAGGGTCAGCATGTCGAGCGGCTGGTAGACGGAGGTGTTGAGCACAACCAGCCCGGCCACGCCGCCGGCGGCGGCCAGAGGCACCGAAAGCAGGATGATCAGCGGATAGATGAAACTCTCGAACAGCACGGCCATGACCAGAAAAACGATGGCCAGCGCCAGCAGGAGATCCAGGACCATGGCTTCCCAGGTCTGGGTCAGTTTATCGGCCGTGCCGGAAATGTTGAACGTGACCCCGGGCGGCAGGCCCTCGGCCTCCATCGGCTCCATGACCTCGCTGCGCAGGGTGTCCAGGGCGGCTTCCAGTGGAATGCCGGGGGCGGGGCGGATTTCCAGGGTGACGGTGCGGAAGCGCTCGCGGTGGCGGATTTCGGTGGGTCCCGAGGTCAGCACCACTTCAGCCAGAGACGAAGCCGGAATGATGTCGCCGCTGGGAGTCACCACCGGCAGGCTGGCGATGCCCTGGGTCTCGACGACGTTGTAATCCGGGCCTTTCAGCATCAGGTCCAGGCGGTCGGAGCCGACGGTGACCTCCGCCACCCTGAGGCCGTCATTGAAGGTGTCGATGGCTTCACCCAGCTCGCGCGCGGTCACGTTGTTGTCGGCAAGGCGCAGGCGGTTGGGGAAGAGCCGCACTTCCGGTGCGCCCAGTTCCAGGCCCGGGTTCGGGCGCAGCTGGTGGCCCTCGCTGCGCGGCAGGATCTGCGAGATTCGGCCCACCGCCTGTTGGGCGACGCCGAGGATGGTCTCCAGCTCCTGACCGGAGATGTCGAAGTCGATCTTGCGGCCCGAACCGATGCCGCGCCCGAAGATCGACGGCTGGTTGATGAAGCCGAAGGTTCCGGGCTCGCGGAACACCGGGCCCTCCAGGACCGGGATCAGCTCCGAAGCGCGCTGCGGGTCGACCGCGGTGGCGCCTAGGAAGGTGGTGGCCCTGGTGGCGACGAAGAAGAAGCGTTCGATCTGCGGCGGCTCGGCGTTTTCTGCCCCGCCGGGCCAAAGAGACCTCAAAGCCCCGGTGAAGCCTTCCCCGATGCCGTCCAGGGAAAAGCCGTCTTCTTCCTGGGTTTGGTAGCTGTCGGCTTCCATGCCGCTTTCGGTGATCCAGAGCGGCCGGGTCGCGGCTTCGATGCCTTTGGCGATGTCGGTGGTGGTGCCGAGGTTGTAGCCCGGCGGCGGAATGATGATGCCGAAAACGAGGTTCCGGTTGCCTTCCGGCAGGTATTCCAGCTTGGGCAGGAAGTGCCAGGCGCCCATTGACGCCGCTGTCGTGACGGACGCCACGACCACGAAAGCCACCAGGCGGCTGGCGACCACAAGCCGCACGAAGCCCATGATGATGGCGATGAGCCTTTCCGCCAGCCAGTCGACCAGCGGCAGGCGCAGACGGGTGATGCTTTTCTCGTCCAGCTTCTTGCTGCCGCCGCTCAGCAGCCAGCTGGAGAGCGCCGGCAGCACGGTGACCGAGACCAGCAGCGACAGCATGACGGAGACCGAGATGGCCACCGCGATATCGCGGAACAGTTGGCCCACCTCCAGCTGCATCACCAGGATGGGGATGAACACCATCACGGTGGTCAGGGCGGAGACGAGCACCGCCCCCCAGACCTGCTTGGCGCCCAGATAGGCGGCCTCGCGGGCCGGCCGGCCCTGTTCGCGCAGGCGGTAAATGTTCTCCAGCACCACGATGGCGGCATCCACCACCATGCCGACCGCAAAGGCGATGCCGGCCAGGGAGATCACGTTGATGGAGCGTCCCATGGCGGCCATGGCCACGAAGGCGCCGATGACCGAAACCGGAATCGCGATGGACACCACCAGGGTGGCGCGGACGGAGCGCAGGAAGACGAGAAGAATAATGGCGGCAAGGGTCCCGCCGACCCAGATGTTCTGCTGCACCAGATCGATGGCGGAGTTGATGTAGACCGTCTCATCGTAGACCTGGCGCAGCCTCAGGCCCTCGGCCGGGATCACCCCGGCCCGCAGTTCTTCGACCGCTGCCTTGATGCCGTCCATGGTCTCGATGACGTTGGCGCCGGTTTCGCGCTGGGCGTTCATCGCCATGGCGCCCTGGGCGAGCATGCGGATCGAGGCCCCGGCTTCCTTGTAGCCGTAGGAAACCTCTGCGATGTCGCCGATCCGCACCCGCGCCAGGCGGCCGCTGTCGTCATTGGAATCGCTGCGCACCACGACGTCGCGGATCGCTTCCAGGGTGTTCAACTCGCCCTCGGTGCGGACCACGTAGCGCCGCTTGCCTTCGTCCACGTCGCCGGCGCTGAGCGAGGCGTTGGCGCGGCGCAGGGCATCGACGACCTCGCTCACCGTCATGCGGTAGCGCGCCAGCACCTTGGGTTCGACGATCACCTGGATTTCCCGCTCCGTCCCGCCGAACACATTGACGCGGCTGACGCCGGGAACGCGTTCGATGCGCTCGCGCAGAATGTCCTCGGCGAAGTCGCCGTACTCGTGGATGGGCCGTTCGTTGCCGTCCTCGCGGGTGATGATGAACCACGCGATGGGACTGTCTTCGCTGCCGGCGGTATCCAGCGAGGGTTCGTCGGCCTCGTCCGGATAGCCGTTCACCCGGTCGAGCCGGTTGGAGACCAGCAGCAGAGCGCGGTCCATATTGGTGCCGACGGCGAACTCCAGGGTGATGCGGGCCCGGCCCTGCTCGGAGCGCGAGGTGATGGTCTCCAGGCCCTCGATACCTTTCAGCTCTTCTTCCTGGCGGTTGGTGATCTCTCGCTCGACCTCGGCCGGCGCGGCGCCGCCCCAGTTCGTCGATACGGTGATGACCGGCCGGTTGACATCGGGCGCCAGCTGGATGGGGATGGTCTGCAGCGCGACGATCCCGAACATCACCACCATCAGCACCGCGGCTATGACCGCGATCGGCCTTTCGATGGCGAGCTTGATGAGGTTCATCAGGTTTCTCCGTCGATCTGGACGGCGGCGCCGGGGCGCAGGCGTTCATTGCCGCGCACCACGGTCTGCTCGCCTTCGTCGAGGCCCTGGACGACCTCGTAGCGGTTGCCGACCGGCTCGCCCAGCACGATCGGGCGCGGCTGTGCCTGACCCTCGGAGACAACGAAGACAATGGTGCCGTTGGGACGTTTGATGATGGCGTCCTTGTGAACGGAGACGACGTCCCGCGGCGCGCCAACCGGCACCATCACGGTGACCGACTGCTCGTTGGCAAGCGGGCTGTTGATCTCTCCGAAGCGCGGCACGAAGCGCACGGCACGGGTCCGGGTCAGCGGATTCTCGTCGGGGATCACGGCCCGGACCGTCGCCCCGATCAGGGTCCCGTCGTCCAGCACCACTTCGACGGCGGCGCCGGAGGTGAGTCCCAGCAGCCGGTTGGCCGGCACGTCAGCCTCCACCTCCAGGGTCTGATCGGCGATCATGCGCACCACAGCCGCGCCGTCCTGCGCATAGGAGCCGGCCTCGCTCAGGCGCTGGGTGATCACCCCGTCATAGGGCGCGCGCACGGTGGCGTCTTCCAGGTCGATTTCGGCCAAGCGCAGCGTGGCGCGGGCGCTGGTCACCGCGGCCTCCGCTTCGCTGGCCGCAGCCTCGGCGATGGCGACCTCCTGACGGGCATCGTCGAAACGGGCCTGGCTGAAGGCGGCGGACTGCTTCAGCCCCTCCAGGCGCTGCAGTTCCTGTCGTGCCAGGGTGATCTCGGCCTGCTTGGTCCTCAACTCTGCCCGGGCCACGGAAAGGCCCGCGGCCGCCAGATCCCGTTCGGCCTCCATCGACACCCTGTCGAGCACGGCAATGACATCGCCGGCCGCAACCCGGTCGCCGACCTCGACGGTGTACTCCTGGATCGGGCCGCTGACCCGGGCGGCGACCGACCCGGCCTGTCGGGCGACGAGGCGGCCCACCACAGGCACCGTCTGGGTCAGCGGTTCGCTGCGCACGGCATCGACACGCACCAGGGAGGCGTTGTTTTGCGCCGTTGCGTTCTGAACCGCGAAACCGCTGCCAAGGCTCGCTCCCGCAAGACAGACCACCGCAATCGCCAGACACCGGCGTGCCGCCTTCAACCCCATGTTTCGCCTATCTCCAAACACCCTGCCGACGCCGCGACTCTCGCGCAAATTGGCGGGATCTCAAAAAAACTAAATAGATCATTGATTTGGCGTCTGGCCGCAGGGAGTCAATGGGCCAAGCCAACAACTGCGGCAGCATAGGCCCAGTCTGCGCCGCTGTCTCCTGACAATTCATTTAGGCAGGAAACCGCATTTCGGTTGAAATTGCAGGGATGACGCCGGGCGGTCACGGGCTATGATGGGCCGACCCCCCAGAGCCAGGGCCGCCGTATGAGTACGCTTCTTTTCAGTCATCCCGCCTGCGAGCAGCACGATCCCGGGCCTCTTCATCCGGAAAATCCGGGCCGTCTCAAGGCCATCATGAAGACTCTCGACAGTCCCGAGTTTTCCGGTCTGCTGCGCCGCGAAGCCCCGCGCGCCGAGCATGGACAGATTGCGCGGGTCCATCCTGACAGCTTCGTGCACGAGGTTCTGGCCGCCATACCGGACCATGGCGACCGCATGCTGGATGCCGATACCATCGTCTCGCCGGGCTCGGGCGAAGCCGCATTGCGGGCCGCCGGCGCGGTGGTCGCGGCGGTTGACGCGGTGATGGCGGGCGAAGCCGACAACGCCTTCTGCGCGGTCCGCCCGCCGGGCCACCATGCCGAGCCGCGCCAGGCCATGGGCTTCTGCCTGTTCAATAATGTCGCGGTCGGCGCCCTGCATGCCCGCGAGGTGCACCGCTGCCACCGCGTCGCCGTGGTCGATTTCGATGTCCACCATGGCAACGGAACCCAGGCCATGTTCTGGGACGATCCGGACCTGTTCTACGCCTCGACGCATCAGTTTCCGTTCTATCCCGGAACCGGACGCGCGCAAGAGCGCGGCGTTGCAAACAACATCATCAACGTGCCGCTGCCGCCGCCGGCCGGATCGGCGGAGTTCCGGCAGGCGATGCGCGACTGTGTGATTCCGGCCATGACGCGCTTCGAGCCGGAGTTCGTGTTCATCTCGGCCGGATTCGATGCCCATGCCGACGACCCCCTGGCCAGCCTGAACTTCGTCGAGGAGGACTATGCCTGGGCGACGCAGCAGTTGATGGAGCTGGCCCGCAGCGCCTGTGGGGGGCGATTGGTCTCGGTTCTGGAGGGGGGCTACGATCATGCGGCTCTGGCCAGCTGTGCCGCAGCCCATGTCCGCACGCTGATGCGCTTTTGACCTCTGGCGCCGACTGCGTTAAAGGGCGGGACCGCTGAATTGGGAACGACGCCGGCCGCCCGCAGCGGTCGACATGGCGCACGAGGACCAGACACACCCCGGGGGGGAAACGGATGCCCAAGAACGAGGTTCCCAACGACATCCAGGCGATGAGCTTCGAGGAGGCGCTCGACGCCCTGAAGCAGATCGTGGCCAAGCTGGAGCAGGGACAGGGCGCCCTTGACTCCGCGATCGAGGATTACGAGCGCGGCGCGGCCCTGAAGCGCCATTGCGATCAGAAACTGCGCGAGGCGCAGGCCAAGATCGAGAAAATCAGCCTTTCGGCCGACGGCACGGCCGACACCACCGCGCTCGATGTCGACTGAACAGGGGTGACCGGGGCGCAGACGATGAAACTTCAGGATGCCTTGGCCAGCCAGGGAGAAACGATTTCGGCCCTGCTCGACCGGATGCTCCCGAAGACCGACGGACCGCGCGGGCGCGTTGTCGAGGCGATGCGCTATGCCGCCCTGTCGGGCGGAAAACGCCTGAGGCCGTTCCTGGTGCGCGAATCGGCCCGCCTCTTCGATGTCCCCGAGCAGCAGGCGCTCAGGGTCGGGGCCGCCATCGAGATGGTGCACTGCTACAGCCTGATCCACGACGATCTGCCGGCGATGGACGACAGCGACCTGCGGCGCGGCCGCCCGACGGTTCACATCGCCTTCGACGAGGCAACCGCGATCCTGGCCGGCGACGGGCTGCTGACGGAGGCTTTCGCGGTTCTGTCCGGGCCCGAGACCCATGACCTTGCGGCGGTGCGGGTTGAATTGTTGCGGCAACTGGCCGCCGCGGCCGGGGCGGCGGGCATGGTGGGCGGCCAGATGATCGATATGTCGCCGGAGCGCGCTGAGCTTGACCTGGCCGGAATCTCCCACCTGCAAAGCCTGAAGACCGGGGCGCTGATCCTGTTTTCCTGCGAGGCCGGCCCGATCCTGGCACAGGCGCCCGAGCCTCAGCGGCAGGCGCTGAAGGACTATGCCCGCGATCTCGGCCTCGCCTTTCAGATCGCCGACGACATCCTGGACGCCGAAAGCACGCCGGAAGCGCTCGGCAAGCCGACGGGCCAGGACGCAAGTCTCGGAAAAGCCACATTCGTCGGCCAGCTTGGCATCTCAGGCGCCCGTAACAAGGCGGAGGCCCTGGTGGATTCAGCCTGTCGGCGGCTTGATCTTTTCGGCCAAAAGGCGGACCTTTTGAGAGAGGCGGCGGCCTTTGTGGTCGCGCGACGGTCGTGAGGCCCCGGTAAGACCCGGACGCTTCCGCGATCGGGGCTCCAAAGCCGTGGCAAGGGGTTCGCAGGAAGAGGCGCCGCGCTGAAGGATGCCGCAGCAAAAGATGCAGCAAAAGATAACGATAAAGCAGATAGAGCATAGGAGTGGCAGAAGCCTTGGCAGAGATCGGTCATAATCGGCGCCCGACGCCGCTGCTCGACAGCGTTTCCGACCCCTCGGATCTGCGCAAACTCGACGAAGGACAGCTGCGTGACTTCGCCGACGAACTGCGTGCGGAGATGATCGAGGCGGTCTCCGTGACCGGCGGCCATCTGGGCGCCGGCCTTGGTGTCGTCGAACTGACGACGGCCCTGCACCATGTCTTCAACACGCCCGATGACCGGCTGATCTGGGATGTCTCCCACCAGTGCTATCCGCATAAGATCCTGACCGGCCGGCGTGACCGTATCCGCAGCCTGCGCCAGGGCGGCGGGCTCTCCGGCTTCACCAGCCGCAAGGAGAGCCCTTACGACCCCTTCGGTGCGGCGCACAGCTCGACCTCGATTTCCGCCGGCCTGGGCTTCTCCGTTGCGCGCGACTTCCGCGGCGATGACAACGCGGTCATTGCGGTGATCGGCGATGGCGCGATGAGTGCCGGCATGGCTTACGAGGCGATGAACAACGCCGGAGCCATGAACAGCCGTCTGATTGTCATCCTCAACGACAACGACATGTCCATCGCGCCGCCCGTGGGGGCGATGAGCGCCTACCTCTCGCAGCTGATTTCCTCCAAGCCGTTCCAGTCCGTGCGCAGCCTCGGGCGGGTTGTGGCCAAGCGCTTCCCGCGCCCCATCGAGATGGCGGCGCGCCGCGCCGAGGAATATGCCCGCGGCCTGCTGACCGGCGGCACGCTGTTCGAGGAAATGGGTTTCTTCTACGTCGGGCCTATCGACGGCCACAACTTCGACCATCTTCTGCCGGTGCTGAAGAACGTGCGCGACGCGGACTACGAGGGCCCGGTGCTGATCCACTGTGTGACCCAGAAGGGCAAGGGCTACGAGCCGGCGGAGGCGGCGGCGGACAAGTACCACGGCGTCGCGAAGTTCGATGTCGTCACCGGCAAGCAGGCCAAGCCCGCCCCCAAGGCGCCGGCCTATCAGAACGTCTTCGCCAAGGGTCTGATCGCCGAGGCGGAGCATGACGACAGGATTGTCGCCGTCACCGCCGCCATGCCGTCCGGTACCGGCCTCAACAAGTTTGCCGAACGCTTCCCGGATCGCACCTTCGATGTGGGGATCGCCGAGCAGCACGCGGTCACTTTCTGCGCCGGCCTGGCCTGCGAGGGCTTCCGGCCTTTCGCGGCGATCTACTCGACCTTCCTGCAGCGCGCCTATGACCAGGTCGTCCACGACGTCGCGATCCAGAGCCTGCCGGTGCGCTTTGCCATCGACCGCGCGGGCATGGTGGGGGCCGACGGGGTTACCCACCAGGGCAGCTACGATCTGACCTACCTGGGCTGTCTGCCGAACTTTGTCATCATGGCGCCCAGCGACGAGGCCGAACTGATGCACATGGTGGCGACCGCCTGCCAGATCGACGACCGGCCCTCCGCGCTGCGCTATCCGCGCGGCGAGGCGCTGGGGATCGAGATGCCGGAGCGGGGGAGCGCAGTGGAAATCGGCAAGGGCCGCATCCTGCGTGAAGGCAGCAAGGTTGCCATCCTGTCGCTGGGCACGCGCCTTGCCGATGCCCTGGCCGCTGCCGACGATCTCGCCGCCCGCGGCCTGTCGACGACGGTGGCCGATGCCCGCTTCGCCAAGCCGCTGGACGAGGACCTTGTACGGCGTCTTGCCGGCGAGCACGAAGTTCTGATCACGGTCGAGGAGGGCGCAATCGGCGGGTTTGCCACCCAGGTGATGCAGTTCCTCGCGCGCCAGGGACTGTTCGACAAGGGGCTGCGCTTCCGCCCGGTCACCCTGCCGGACTTCTTCATCGATCACGACAAGCCGGAGCGTCAGCTGGCGCTGGCCGGGGTCGACCGCGAAGGCATCCTCGCCGCGGCGCTGCAGGCCTTGGGCCAGCAGGAGGTCGAGTCACCGGCCCGCGCCTGATCTCCGGCTAATCCCCGGCTGATCCGCCCCGTGATCCCCGGGGCGCAAAGGAGAGGCGGCGTTGCGGCGCGCCCGGTCCCTTATTGCAGATTGATCGGCTGGGTGCTCGCCGGCGCTCCGGGTTCGCGCACCCGGTAAGCGGGGAACCGCAGGGTGACCGTGGTGCCGGCGCCGCGCTTGCTGTCGATGGCCAGGGTGCCGCCATGCATCTCGATGAGGCGCTTGGTCAGGGGCAGGCCGACGCCCAGGCCCGAGGGGTGGCGTGCCTCGCTGCCGCTGATCCGGCCGAAGGGTTCGACGGCCTCGCGTACCTCGGCTTCGCTCATGCCACAGCCGTCGTCCGAGACCGAGATATCGAAACCGCCATCGGCGCGCTGCGCGGTACGGATGGCGATCTCGCTGCCCTTTGCAACGTGGCGCGCGGCGTTGCCGACCAGATTGACCAGCATCTGGGTGAGCTGATGCTGGTCGGCCAGCATCCTCGGGTCCTTCAGGCTGGAACTCACCACCGCCGTTGCGCCGAAGCGGTCCAGTTCCGGCTGGGCCAGTTCGACGGAGAGCCGCGCAACGCTTTCCGGGTCGATGACCGATTCCTGCAGCCGCAGACCGCCCCGTTCGGCCCGCGCGAGGTCCATCATCCCGTTGAGAACGTTCAGCAGATGATGCCCGCAGTTCTCGATCTTGGTGGCATAGGCCGGATAGCGCTCGTCCTCGATCGGGCCGAAGAACTCCCGCCGGATGATCTCGGCGAAGCCCAGCATGGCCGACAGCGGCGTCCGCAGTTCATGCGCCAGATGGGCGATGACGTCCATCTGCGCCTGGTGGGAAAGCTCCTCCTCGGCGCGCTGCAGGCTGTTGAGGGCCCCCGCGACCTCCTGGCTGATCCCCTGGGACTCGGCGCCCAGAAGCCGGCGCAGACGCCGCAGTTCCATTTCTCCGATGACCAGATCGGCGAAGTCGCGCAGCTGTGCCTGCTGGGCCTCGTCCATAGCCTGGCGGGGCTTGGTGTCGATCAGGCAGAGGGTGCCGAGGCGGAAGCCGTTGCGGGTGACCAGCGGGGCGCCGGCGTAGAAGCGGATCTCCGGGTCACCGAGGACCAGCGGATTGTCCGCGAAGCGCAGGTCCTTGGTCGCGTCCGGCACCTGCAGAACCCGGTTTTCCATGATCGCAAACTGGCAGAAGGAGTACTCGCGCGGCGTCTCGTCGACAGCCAGCCCGACCTTGGACTTGAACCACTGCCGGGCCGGATCGATGAGGGAAATCAGGGTGATGGGGACGTCGAATTGTCCCGCGACCAAGCGGGTAATACGATCGAATGCCGGCTCCGGCGGGGTGTCCAGGATATCCAGAGCCTGCAGAGAGGCCAGTCGCTGGACTTCGTCAAAGGGAATCGGGTTCATGCGGCGGTGATCGTCCCGGATGAGTATCGCTTGGCCCAGATGGTCATTAGTCTTGTCATGATTAATGAACTGTTAACACTTGTGCAAATCGGGGCCCTTCTTCGCCGTTGCCTTTGTCCGGAGCCCATGGCAGATCATGCAGGGCCTGTGTTCCAGGCTTTCAAGTCGCCGTTTGCATGACCGCCCTGCAGCTTATGCGGGTTTTCACGGCCATATATAGTCTTCATAGTGCAAACGATGTCAAAAACAATGGCTGAGACAACCGCCCCTCTGACAGCGCCCCCACCGCACTCCCTATGGCGACGCGAGATCTGGGCCACGCTGCGCCTCTCGGCGCCGCTGGCGCTCACCCAGCTTGCGATGATCGGCATCAACACCACCGACATCGTCATGATGGGTTGGCTGGGGCCCGCGGATCTGGCGGCCGGCGCCCTCGGCATGAACATCTTCATCCCGCTCTATCTGTTCGGCATGGGCATCGCCACCGTCGTCACCCCGATGACGGCCCAGGCGCTGGGCGCGCGGGACTTCCACGGCGTGCGCCGGACGGTGCGCCAGGGCTTCTGGCTGACCCTGCTGTTTGCCGCCCTTTTCAGCCTGATCATCTGGAACGGGCGCTGGCTGCTGCTGCTCTTCGGCCAGGAGGCGGACACCGCGCTGCGGGCCGACGACTATCTGAAGGCGGTGACCTGGGCGATGCTGCCGTCGCTGTGGTTCGTCGTCCTGCGCTGCTTCGTCACGGCGCATTCGCGCCCGCGCTCGGTCCTGATCATCACCCTGGCGGCGGTGGCCGCCAACGCGATCGGCAACTATGGCCTGATGTTCGGCAACTTCGGCCTGCCCCGCTGGGAACTGATGGGGGCCGGTGTGACCAGCTCCATTGTGTCCTGGCTGATGCTGCTGGCCATGCTCGTTTTCGTGCTGCGGGACCGGCGCTTCAAACGCTATGCGATCCTCGTGCGTTTCTGGCGGCCGGACTGGCCGCGTTTTCGCGAGCTGTTTCGCATCGGCCTGCCGATCGGCCTCACGCTCCTGTCCGAAACCAGCCTGTTTGCGGGGGCGGCTTTCCTCGCCGGCCTGATCAGCACGGAGGCCCTGGCCGCCCACGCCATCGCGCTGCAGTGCGCTGCGGTGGCCTTTATGGTGCCCCTGGGAATCAGCCAGGCGTCCATGGTCAGGGTCGGTCTGGCGGCGGGCTCCCGCGATCCCGCGGCGGTCGGCCGTGCGGGCTGGTCGTCGCTGCTGGTCGGCATGCTGTTCATGACCGGTTCGGCTCTGGTGTTCTGGTTCGCCGGCCCCCAGCTGGTGGGCCTGTTTCTGGATCGCGACCTGCCTGCCAACGCGCCGGTGGTGGAACTGGCGGTCGCCTTCCTGGTGATCGCCGCCCTGTTCCAGCTCGTCGACGGGGCCCAGGTGATCGCCATTTCGGCCCTGCGCGGCCTCAAGGACACCAAGGTGCCGATGTGGCTGGCCATGACCGGCTACTGGGGCGTTGGCTTCACGACCTCCGTCGTCCTGGCCTTTCCCCTTGGCCTGGGCGGACAGGGGGTCTGGACCGGCCTTGCGGTGGGGCTGGCCTTTGTCGCGCTGACCGCTGTCTGGCGGTTCCACCGCCGTGCCCATTTCCTGCCCAACGGGGGCTTGGCGCTCGCATGAGCCGCGCGGCCAAGACCCGCGCCCCTAAGATTCGCATCGACGTGGCCCTGGTCGAGCGCGGACTGGTGGAAAGCCGCGCCCGGGCGCAGGCGCTGGTGATGGCCGGCAAGGTCTTTGCCGGCGAGCGCAAGGTCCAGAAAGCTGGCGAGGCGGTGGCGCCGGACCAGCCGCTGGAGGTGCGCGGCCAGGACCATCCCTGGGTCAGCCGCGGCGGCCTGAAGCTGGCCCACGCCCTGGCGCATTTCGATCTCGATCCGGCGGGCCTCGTCTGCCTGGACATCGGCGCCTCCACCGGCGGCTTTACCGATGTGCTGCTGCAGCACGGGGCGGCGCGGGTCTATGCCGTGGATGTTGGGCACGGCCAGCTGGCCTGGAAGCTGCGCAACGATCCGCGCGTGGTCGTGCTGGAGCGTTGCAACGCCCGCACCTTGAGCGCGGCGGAGGTGCCGGAGCCGGTCGACCTGCTGGTCTGCGATGCCAGCTTCATCGGCCTGGAGGTCGTCCTCCCGGCGCCGCTGGCGCTCACCCGGGCCGAGGCGCGCCTCGCCGTGCTGATCAAGCCGCAGTTCGAGGTCGGCAGGGACCGTGTCGGCAAGGGCGGCGTGGTGCGCGATCCGGCGCTGCACGAAGAGGTCTGCCAGCGGATCGAGGCCTGGATGAACGCCCAGCCCGGCTGGCAGGTCGAGGGCATCGTCGAAAGCCCGGTGACCGGCCCGGAGGGCAACAAGGAGTTCCTGATGGTGGCCCGCAAGACGCCGACTTAACGCGGCGTTTCCCTCGCGGGCCGGCGCTATCCCGAAGATGCTCCCTAAAAGGCGCCGGGGCGCGGCTGCGCGCTTTGCGGCAGCGGGCCGCTGTGCAGCGTCTGGCCGCGCGGATCGCCGCTCATCGCTTCCATCGCCTCGATCAGCGGTGCGACGGCCTGGACCAGGCGGGCGAGGCTGCGCACCAGGGCCTGAGCGCCCGGATTGTCGATTTCCCCGCCCAGCGTGTCCTCAAAGAAGGCCGAGAAGGGGTCACGCCGTTCCGGATAGGGCAGCAGCCGGACGGCGGCGTCGGCTGGAATGCCGGCCGCCTCCTTGGCGACGCTCAGCGCCTTGCTGTATCCGCCAAGGTCGTCCACCAGTCCGGCGGCCAGGGCGTCCTCGCCCGACCAGATGCGTCCGCCGGCCGCTGCCTGAACGGCCTCCGGCGACAGGTTGCGCCCGCGCGCCACCTTGTCGGTGAAGTCGGCGTAGGTGGCGTCCAGGGTTGCCTGCAGCCATTCCCACTCCTCGCGCGTGAAGGGGGCATGGGGGCTCCAGAGGTTGGCCCGCCGGCCGGCCTGGACGCCGTCCCAGTTGACGCCGAGGTCGCGCCAGAGCTCGTTCAGGGCGAACTTGCCGGTGACCACGCCGATGGAGCCGGTGAGGGTGCCGGGCTGGGCCACGATGCTGTGCGCCGGCGCCGCCACGAAGTAGCCGCCGGAGCCGGCGATGTTGCCCATCGAGACCACCACCGGCTTGCCGAGGTCGCGGGCGCGCTGGACCTCGCGCCAGATCGCATCGGAGCCGACGTAGGACCCGCCCGGGCTGTCGACGCGAAACAGGATCGCCGCCACCTCGCTGTCGTCGATCGCCTCCGACAGTGCGTTCACCACGTCGACGGCGCCCATGCGCACCCGGCCGAACACCGGGTCGTTCTCGCCGGGTTCCAGCACGATAGGACCGCTGCCGTGGACCAGCGCGATGATCGGGCCCTCCTCGGAGTCCTCCCGGGTCGCGCGGGCGTAGTCGCGCAGCGAGACCAGCTCGGACTCCGACCCCGCCGCCGTCTCCACGGCGTCACGCGCCTGGTCCCAGTAACCGAGGTTGTCGACGAGCCCCGCCTGCAAGGCGTCGGGGCCCCGGTGGGGGGCGCTGTCGATCAGCTGGCGGACCGCCGTGGTCTCGAGGTTGCGGGCCTTGGCGACGGCGGTGACGATCTGCGACAGGCTGGAGTCCAGGTACTGCTGCAGGTTCTGGCGCTGCGCCTCCGGCAGGCGGGCCTCCGTGAAGATCGCCATGGCGCCCTTGTATTCCTCGCGCTGGCCGACCTGGGCGCGCACGCCATAGTCCTCCAGAAGCTGGCGCAGGAAGGGCTGCTGCATGGAAAACCCGGTGATGTCGACATCGCCGGAGGGCTGGATCCAGAGCTCTCCGGCGGCGCTCGCCAGGTAGTAGTGCAGGGTGCCGTTGCCGGCCTCGCCGAAGGTCTCCGCAAAGGCGGTCACCGGCTTGCCCTGCGCCCGGAAGTCGTCGATGGCCGCGCGCAGTTCCTGCACCTGGGCGAGGCCGGGTTGCCCCCAGCCGGCCCGCAGGATGAGCGCTTTCACCCGCTCGTCGCGGGCCGCGCGGTGCAGGCCGTCGACGGCGTCCCGCAGCACCAGCGCCGAGCCCAGCGAAGCCCGCGCCAGCGGGTTGTCGGGTTGCTGTTCCACCAGGCCGTCGGCCAGATCCAGCACCAGCACGGTCTCCTGCGGCAGTTCGGCCAGTTGCGGTTCGAAGCCGTCGAAGCGCTGCAGCAGCAGGCCGGCGAAAAGGATGCCGGCAGCGACAAGGAAGCCAACGGCCGCGAAAAGGCCGACGAAACACTTGAGGATGAACAGGATGATTCGGGTCATGGCGCTATATCAGCGGCTGGGCCGCCCGAGGGCCAGTTAAATTTCCGTGCCAGCCTAGGACGGATTGCCGCTGCCTGCGGGCCGGCCGGACGGGCTGGGCAGCAAAACGCCCTCTTGTCACTGGACGGGCTTGGGCGCAGTCTCGCGCTTTTCGCGCAGCCGGAGCCAGCATGAAGTCCAGAGCACACAGTCCCGCGGTCCGCCAAAGCCCGGGAACCTGCCGATTGCGGGCCCCCCGTGCGGCGTAGGGCGCGCCAGGGTGGTGGCCGCCAGGTCGAGGTCGTGGTGCAAAGCCTCGGGGCCAAGGGCGACGGGCTCAGCGAATGCGAAGGGCGCCCGCTTTTCGTGCCCATGACCCTGCCCGGGGACCGGGTGTCGGTGCGGATCACCGGCGAACGCAGCGGCGGTTTCAAGGGCGAGGCGGTCGAACTGCTGGCCGAGGGCGGCGCGCGGGTCGAGCCGCCCTGTCCGCATTTCGGGCCCTGCGGCGGCTGCGCGCTGCAGCACTTCGAGGACACCGCCTATGCCGACTGGAAGGCGGCCCTGCTGCCGCAGGCCCTGGCGCGCCGGGGGCTGCAGGCGGAACGGCTGCACCCGATGCTGCGGGTGCCGCCCGGCCGGCGCCGCCGCGTCGTGCTTTCGGCGGAGCGCAAGGGCGGGGCGGTTCTGCTGGGCTATCACGAGCGCGAGTCCCACCGCCTGGTCGACATCCATGACTGCCTGCTGCTGACCCCCGCTCTGACTGCGCTGATCGCACCCCTGCGCGGCCTGCTTGACGGCGTTCTGGACCCCCGGGAGGAGGCGCGGGTCACCGCGCTGGACAGCGAGACCGGGCTGGACGTGCTGATCGAATCGCGCCACCGCCTGGACATGGAAGACCGCGAGCGGTTGGCGGACTTTGCCGCCGGGGCCGATCTTGCCCGCCTTTCCTGGAGTGCCGGCCGGGAGGAGGCGGAACCGGTTGCCCTGCGCCGCAGCCCGGTTCTGACCTTCGGCGCCACTGCCGTGGTGCCGCCGCCGGGCGGCTTCGTGCAGCCGACCGCCGAAGGGCAGCAGGCGCTTGTCGAACGCGTGCTGGCCGCCATCCCGGCGACGGCGGAGACCGCCGCAGACCTCTTTGCCGGCTGCGGGACCTTCACCTTCCCGCTCGCCGAGCGCCTTCAGGTTTACGCCGCCGAGGGTTCCGAGGCGGCGGTCGCCGCCCTCTCCGCGGCGGCGCGCCAGGATGCGCGGGGCGCGCGCATCACCGCCGAGCAGCGCGACCTCGCCCGCTTTCCGGTGCAGGCCGACGAGCTTTCCGGCGGCGATGTCGTGGTCTTCGATCCGCCTCGGACCGGGGCCAGGGAACAGGTCCGCGCACTGGCGCAAAGCGACGTTCCTCTGGTTATTGCCGTGTCCTGCAATCCGACCACCTTCGCGCGCGATGCCCGCAGCCTTGTGGACGGCGGCTACCGCCTGACGGAGGCGACCCCCATCGACCAGTTCCCCTGGTCGGGGCATCTGGAACTGGTTGCGGTTTTCGCGCGCTGAGCTTGCGGAGACGCTCAGCCGACCCCGCGGTCCAGCAGGAAGCCGTCGGGGAACACCGTCTCCATCCCGGTTTCCGGCAGAGCGCCGATGTTGGCGTCGCCGAAGCGCGTGTCTTCCAGCATGGCGCCGATGAAGTTGGCGCCGCGCAGATCGCTGCCCGAGAAGGTGGCGTTGCGCAGATTGGCGTTGGAGAAGTCGCAGGCGGCGAGGATCGAGCCGTCGAAGTTGACCCCCTTGAGATTTGCATTGGCGAAGGAGATGGTCGCCAGGCTGCGGCCGGAGAGATCGACTTCGGTGAGGTTCTGCTCGGCGAAGTCCGCCCTCTTGCCCTGCTTGCCGTCGCTGTTCACCCAGCGCTCGTGGTCGGCAAGGGTCTTGACCAGGGTGACCGGATCAACGGCCTCCATGGGTGTCGAAAGCAGGCCGGAAAGCTCCACGCGGGTATCTTCGAAGGTTGCGCCGCGCAGATCGGCCTCCTGCAGCCGCGCGTTGGTGAGCACCACACTCTTCAGTTCGGCGCCGGTGAAGCGGCTGCCGCGCAGATCGGCGCCGTAAAGCTCCGTCCCGTCGAGCATTGCACCTGCAAAGTCGACGTCCTTCAGCACGGCGTTGCGCAGGTTCGTGTGGCTGAGGTTGGCGTTGCGGAACGAGGAGCGGATTTCCCGGAACACCTCCTGATCGCCCTTTGCGCCGTTGGCGATGATGCCGCCGCGGCGCAGATCGGCCTCGTCGAAACGCGCGTCCCGCAGGTTGGCCTTGTCGAAGACCACGGCGCGCAGATCGGCCCGTTCGAAATTGGCCCGGGTGAGATCCGCCGACTCGAAGGTCGAGCCGAAAAGCTTCGCCCGGCTGAAGTTGGCATCGGTCAGATTGGCGCGCGAAAACAGGCAGGCCATGAAGTGCGCCTCGGCGAAGCAGAGCCGGCTGATGTCGAGTTCCACCAGGACGCAGTTGCGCATGATGACCCGCCGCCCGTCGCGCTTTTTATCGACGAAGCGTTGATGAACCTCGGCCAGCTTGACCAGGGCTTCCTGGGTGATGATACGCCTGCTGAGAACGATGTTTTTGCTGTTGCTGCCTTTGCTATCGCTCGGCACGGCTGACCTGATACATGACTCTGAATCCCCCGTGGCTTGTCCAGCCACACTCTATAGTAGTCACCCCAGTTCAACTTTAAGGCGGATTGTAGAGCAGGGGAAGTGCTATTTCGGATGGATGCAGGCTTGCCGCGAAAAAGTCTGCGCGGCGGTCCGATGGGGCCTTCGTTGGCGGGGCCGGCGTCTGCCCCCTGCGATGGATACTCGGGTCAAGCCCTGACATGGCGGCTGACGATGACGGAGCAGGTGGCGCTGGTCCTTCAAGCGCACGCCGATTCTGCCACCCACACTTCCGTCACCCTCGGGCTTGACCCGAGGGTCTATCGGACCGCCTACCGGAACCCCTGCCGGAGAGGTCCGGAACTGCGAGCGCAATGGATACTCGGGACAAGCCCACTGGTGTCCGG